GGAATGCGAATTTAAAATATGTACCTTCATATATAGCGGCCGTTAACCTACTAACTATTATTTGATAGCTTATAAGGTATATAATTAAATATATTACTAATAAAATTAGTTATAATGAAAATTTATTAATTTATAGTATAGATCGCTTACTATTAGTATATAAACAATCTATAATTGATTATTGTGTATTTCCAAATACACCTATTATTCCTTTTATTTTTATGGCATAGCTCTTTTTAAGGTAAATCTTATATATATAAAAGAAAGTCGTGTTAGTTACTTCGCTTATAACTCAAGAACGGCTGAACCGATTTAGCTGAAAATTGGCAGGGAGGTAGTTTAGAGCCAGGAGAAGGACATAGGATACTTTTTATCCCGTTCGACCGCGTTCAGATTTTTATGATATTTTAATTTTTGGATTTCTCTTAGTCCGGAATAGGTAAGTATTAAAACATATAATTAAAATGTGAGAAAGAAAGATTTTTTCTTTTTATATCTATTTAAAACGTACCTAGCGACGAACCCGAGCGAAGCGAGGGTGAGCCGCTAGTATTTAATTTAATTAACAAAATCTAAATAAAGTTATTTATAGTCATAATAAATTAAACATTTCATAAAAAACTAACTAGGTCATTGTCGTCATATAAAATTATTTTGTATATCATATTAATAACATACAACTATTAGAATGCAGTACTATGTAATATTTTCTTTTGACAAGAGTGATTATTGGTAAGTTGGTTTGGGCCAATGTCACAGTGTTTATATAAAATGGCGCATCAATTGAGGTCGCTGTGCGTAATATCATGATCATTGTTTCCGCTACCTACAAATTATACGGAAGCGTATGTAATAAGGCCGTTGTCTAACGTATCTAAATGTGTCGTAATAGGAGACGTATTATTTATGACTAGCAGCTAACCCTCGCTTCGCTTGGGTTCGCCTCTACAAAAACACTAATAGATCTATTAGTTCCCACGGGAACCGTTCATTTTTCCGGGATGAAAAGTAACCTGTTGTGTGACTGGCAATATAAGGTATCAACATGCCATTTTTTTCTAAATTAGGTGCATAAGTTGTTGTGTAATAAGCTGGTATATGTTACTACAAAACAGACGAACAAAAAAAAATTGAAAAAATATCTGGATTTGTTCTATTTGTCTTCTTACATCCCCCTGACTCTGTTTTTAGCATTTTTTTGCTATGTACAGACATTCGACCTCTACTGTTTTATTATATTATATAGATTTAAAACTTCAAATGTGATAATAATGTGACTCTACCATTTCCGTTACAAAGTACAATAACTTATTACAATTACATAACAATGTTATGGTTGATAATTAAATAAATAGTATCACGCAATGAGCGGTAAAGATAATAGAGTAAAATATAGAGTTCACAACTAAAGGAAAATTAATATAGCCAATAAAAATATCTATAAAAATCACGGACTCAAATTTCAATTATCGTAAAAGCGAACTTTATTATGATTTCAAACCACAACGCTTTAAGAATAGAATAAATGACAATAGCAACTAAATGAAAATTATATTATTGGTAATATGCGGCGAAAATACAAGAAAATGAATAACACATGCATTGTATATAAGTGACTTCCTCAATAAAAATAGAAATTTAATAGCAAAAATACCCATAGACTCCACCACCACTCTTATAGGTACAAAAACGGGGTAAAATGTTGTGTTATGGACTAAAATAAAACAAAAAGGTGAGCGTAGACGTAGGACATTGCTAGTACAAAATTTTATTATACCTTTAACTTCAGCGCTATTCTCAATGTCTAGCGAGGCATGATGTGATGCCAATTTGCTCATTACGGGTCACTAACTTTGACCGATATGTTTGTTCGAACAAAGTTGTTACGATCAATTTCAACGCATTCAAACGATTATTCCAAGCGTTATTCTTATGATTTCCTAATCTACAAGTAAGTCTGTTAAGTATTAGATAAATAGTAAGTAAATACCAGAACAACATGAAATTATTAATTTGAGAGCAAAAAGAAGGTTGTAAATAGTTAAATGCGATACGTTTTAGCAGTAAATCCTTAGTCTGCGTCGTGTTTTATTTAGTTCGATTAATCGAAGACCAACATTCGAGAGTTATAGGTATTTTAGCCAACGTAAAATGAAGCTTACATTTTTTATGTTTATAGAAAATATCAAAGAATTAAACATTTATTAAAATATTCACTACATGGTTTTAAAAATATAAAATTTTTAAAGTTAAAATCAATATTTTTACTCCTTCACTATTCACTCCTCTCCTCGAGTGGACCACTCGACCGAATATTATGAAAGTTAGTTAAAGAGAAAACCAGAAACTATAATAAACAAAATCCTAATGTCTTCTAATTTTAATAAAATAAACACTTATCTAATCAAGTTATAAATTTATAATTACTTATACATATAAAATGCATATTACACCTAAGAGAAAGACAGTAAAATTTTGTCGTTTTTCAAATAGGTACTAACGCATTGGTTACCTAATTTCAAATTCCCAACGGGACAATGTAATAAGCATTCTACCAAGACCCTGGCATTATTTATCCAATTGAAAAGATTAAGTTTATCTGAATAACAGGAATATTATCTAACATTTATGCGAATGAAAATTTAATGATCATGAGTGTTGACCTCGATCACGTCCTGCCTTTCTCTCAATAATAAAATCTTTCGATAATTATTATATTTACAAGTATATGTGGTACAATATATCGTGAATGTGAGTGTATATTTTCGTGTTATTGTAGATTTTTTCAAACTAATAATAATAAAATCGCAAAGAATGAATATTGTTGTGTAGTTATTTGCTTGTACCATTCTTATTAAGAACTAGCGACTCACCCTCGCTTCGCTCGGGTTCATCCTTACGTTGATTCCCCATACAAACTTTCATCCCCATTTTCCGGGATAAAAAGTATCCTATGTCTTTCCCAGGGTCTTAAACTATCTTCTTGCCAAATTTCATCTAAATCGGTTCTGTAGATCCATAGATTACCTTCTTATACAACGTCACAAACTTTACCTCTTTATAATATTAGTATAGACTAGCGACTTACCCACACTTAGCTCGGGTGCGTGCGTCGGTACATTTTAAATAGATACAAATAGTTATAGTGAGCGTACCTAGCAAACTAAATTGTTAAATATGTTAATTTGTAACTAATATTTTTTGTGTAGTAAATAATTTAATTTTTTGTATAAAAGACAACTCGGTCGTACCAGGTATCGTGTTTTCTCATGGGAATAAGAGATTTTCTGTAGTAAAAGGTATCTTTAATTTTGACCTGAGTAATAAGCTATCACTACACAAAATTTAGTTAAAATTCGTTCAGTACTGTTTGCGTGAAATGCACACAGATATACAGACAAACAGACATATAGAAATAAGGTGTGTAGAGATCAATCTATTGTTAATTAAGGATTGAGAAGAGATAGTAACAAAGTGGATCGAATGATACAATATTCAAATATAGTGTGAGCGTTCGTGAGCTATTATAAATAGTATTCCCCATACTTTATATTTTGAATTAATATCAGATTTAATTAAACGTTAATACAAAATACTTTTTCTTATTTATTTCGATTTTCTACTCTACATACAAATACTATAATAATATCTGTAATAAATATAGCGGTAAAATCAAGTCATATCAACAGAACTTTATAACATTTAATCGATGCATTTTTTTAATGGTGTGACACTGTAATCGTAACGTCGAAACTCATATCACGTTAAAAAATAATTATTTGATGCTGGAATAAATAACAATTAACATACCTACCTACTATCACAGACTAAAAAAATACATTTCACATGTGATCAAATAAAAATTAAAAAGGTTGTAAATGTAAAAATATTATACTTTAAAATTTATATCTGATGCATAACACAGATAAAACTGACTAATTTATTTAGATTGCAACTTTCTGAAATTTTGTAACGCATGCGTTACTAATTCCTATTGTATTTCTTAGGATAAAACTTTGCGTTGTCGTGCGCACGACCATAAAGATTGTTAACATACTCGTAGGTAGTAAGTCCGTGTCACCATTATGTCAATATAATGAGATAGGGAGCGTGCAAGTTGTATTAGATAATTTATTAATTATTAGATTAATTATTATTATTATTGTTAATTAAAATACAATAGTTCTACAGCTAGTGACAAAATTAGTCGAAATATGTATAAATGTGTATGTATGTACTATATACTTGTCTATAATATGTAAGTGGGTACCTTCTGTGTATGAATACGTATCGCTAAATCTTAGCAACCACAAAGCGAGGCTATTAACTACATGAATGTATGTTTATTTGTAACGTTTTCATTTCTAACGATTACCTATGACAAACTGAATTAAATTGTTACATTCATATGTGTACCCCCACGAAGGTTTTAGATATACGTATGAGTTGTACCTACTCGGCTTTCTTAAAATAATTCAAATATACATAAATATGTTCACTATGGAAATACTAGAAGCTCACCCTCGCTTCGCTCGGGTTCGTCTCTAGAAAAACAAAAACAAATCTATCCCACGGCAACTGTACATTTTTCCGGGATAAAAAGTAGCCTATGTGCTATTTAGACTAAAATCTATCTATACTTACTACCTAAACTTTTACATTTATAATATTAGTATAGATTATGTGTGCATTTTGTGTAATAATTATTTATTATATACTTAAGCAGAGTCAGGCCCAGTAAATAATATTTTATATTAGGTAACAGGAGATTAACAATTACTATGAGGTGTGAAAAGATACGACATATTATGTAGTTATAAACAAAGTAGTAGAGCGTTCAATAAATAGTACCTCTACAATCGATAACAACCGTCGTGTTGATCATGCGACCAAGGAACCTGTTGTAATAAATGTATAATTTTTCTTTAAGTGCACTTGTAGTTTGTCTATACTACATATGAAGGTAGTTTACAGACGCCCGTGAATGCCGCGCCGCGTGGATGGCGCCGCAAATATGGCGGTCGCTCGCCTTCTTACTGGTAGCTGCCTCATTCACCCTAGCTAAATGTAAGTATAATTATAATTAATTACATTTTACATATGAATAGCGATTGTCAATATTATGTGACAAAAATGAGTAAATTACACCAGTGTAACAAAACAGTGTAACCATGGTTCGAAGTCGAAATATTCACGCCAGTCCTAAAATTCAACGAACATTAGAAGAAATAAGTTATACTTAGTTATATTCATAGGTTTAGGTGCCATTTTTATATAAGTATTAAATATTTAATACTTGTTTTAAAATGGTCACCTTATATGGTTCACTTTATTTAAAGAGGAAGTAAAAAAGTAGAATTCTTCTGAATTCGCACCATATGTAATGTAGAATTGTTAAGTTTCCCACCATACACGATGGTGGGAACGGTCTCGTTTCACCGCGAGATACTGCCCTACAGCGCAACATCAAGGTCGAAAAAACTGGCGTCAGCCGCTCACCCGGAGACAGCCGCAATTTGGGTTACCTGCTTTGTGTTCTCTACGCTCTTTACATTTTAATATAAGCCCCCTTTGTTGCAATTGTGTGACAAATAGGTACTATTGAATGTAGCTGAGAAGTTACATTTCTCCATTTCCATTAATGTTACCTACATAACTACTCATATATCAGCACGAAAGAAAAAAAAATGTTAATGTATATCTGATTTTAAACCTATTAGGGTCATTAAGAAAAGTATATACAAATTCAGGTAGCTCTACATTTTTACTTCACCTTTTTTTTAAACCTTCTAGTTATACTTTGGTCTTTTTCTTTTTACTTTTAAAACTCAGACGCAGAATTAGAGTCATGGCGAGGTGGGGGAAGACCAGTGACGGCTGCGCAGGAGGCGGAGGACGAGCGACACGACGCGGAGCTCCTTGCCGCCGTGCGAGCCTCCGTAAAGCAGTGGGAGGTTAAAAAATCGCGCACCAGGTAAGATATATTTTTATGAGGGACTAGTGATCTTCCCTTAGCTTCATCTAGGTGTAGTGATACATATATATATATATATATATATATATAACAAAACACACATATAGTTTATAGTTATATACAATATACATACATATTTGGTTTATGTCATACTGATTACTGGTACACTGTCCCTTTTAGACTTATAAATTTTATTTTTTCGAATACGACACGTGCACCACCTATCGTTTTTTATGAGAAATCTTTAGGCGCAATGACGCACGCAGAATAGGCTCAGATTTCTTGCAAACGTATGGGTAGTTTAAAATCATATACCTTACAAACAGACAGCAAACATACAAACATTTTTTTTATTTAATACATTAAAAAAATACATATACACATTCATTTCTATTATATACAAACTAGCGACTCACCCTCGCTCCGCTCGGGTTCGTCCCTGGGGTGGGGTCTGGGAGGACCACCCTTATCCTTATCACTTAGGGGTATGGAAAATAGATAGTAGCCGATTCTCCGACCTACTGAATACGCATATAAAATTTGGTAAAAATCGGTAAAGCCGTTTCGGAGGAGTACGGTAACAAACATTGTGACATGGAAATTTTATATATAAGATAACATATAACATATTTAAATAAAATAAAAACTTTTTAACAAAAAAATAAAAACCGACTTCAAACAAAAGCACTAAAAAGTAAAAAATAACTGATTGGTAGTTTTCATTTACTATACATACCTAATCAAATATTTTCGAAGTCGGTGTGCTTTGGACAAGTAATTAAAGCCTACCTATTAAATACATACCTAATCAAATATTTTCGAAATCGGTGCCAGCCCATACAAAGTAATGCACACCGACTTCGAAAATATTTGATTAGGTATGTATAGTAAATGAAAACTACCAATCAGTAATTTTTTACTTTTTAGTGTTTTTGTTTGAAGTCGGTTTTTATTTTTTTGTTAAAAAGTTTTTATTTTTCCCTTTTTAGTGTAGACAGTAGTAGCAAAGTAAGAATTCTAAAGTGTTAGGCTTGTCAAACCAAACAAAATAAGCCCAAACTCAAAGTATCTACTATTAGTCGTTGAAGAGTTCCACCTATCCACCTTCTGGCCTTACCATCAGATCAACAATACAAAAAAAAAAACAAAAAAAATACAGTCGAATTGAGAACCTCCTCCTTTTTGAAGTCGGTTGATAAATCCAAAGCAATAGAGTTCAAATTTTTGCTCATCTCGACGCCCGACTTTAGCAAAAAAGGCTGAAAGGATTTCATTATATCTTATATGTACAAACGCTAGAGTAAATTTAATAAACAAATAAATAAACTAGCATTTTTATAATTCTTAAATGAAATTCTACGATAGCACTCATTGGATGTCATCAAAAGATCCTAGATATTTGACTTCCCACTAAAATGTGTGCCTCACGCTTATTTCTACCTCTCACGTGCAATATGTGGAATGACTTGCCTGACTTTTTTCTGAGTGTATTAAAATTGATTTTTTCAAGAGCTTATAGGTTTTATAAAAACCAGCAAAGAATTCAAATTTCCCCTAATGTATGAGGCACGATAGCTAGATATCATGAGATTATTTAGAAAATGCTTTGCCTATCTCTACCTAAAAGAGGTGGAAAGCTTTCGTTATTACGCTAAGCTTTTTGATTATATGTCTATGTCTGTATGCAATACATACTCTACTAGCGTGTATTTTCATTCTTGCAACATATTCTTACATGTACCTAATATGTACCTATGTATAATTTTTTATTATTAAAAAAATTATCATTTTACCATCAAAAATATCATTATCTGTGAATTTTGCTATAAAGTATAAACCTTATTTCGTACAATAAGGCAAATTGTAATATCAACACTTTCACCACTCAACTCCATGCGCACTTTCTATTGTGCAAATTTATTATCTATCTATATAGCAATGAAGCGCGTTAAAGACAGCTTTGTAAAAATCAAATCATTCGATTTACGAAGGGGTTATACTTATGTATATCTATACTAATATTATAAATAGTTAAAGTTTGTGAGGTTGTAGGGGGTAATCTCTATATTTACTGAACATATTTAAAAGATGTTGTAAGGACATAGGATATTTTTTATCCCGGAAATCATCCTTTAAGGTTAAGGGGGTGAAAATGGGAATAAAAGTTTGTATTGGAAGGCAAGCGAAGGACGAACCCAAGCGAAGCGAGGGTGAGTCGCTAGTCTAAAATATTTTGGAATGAAGGAAACTGCTTTAAAATAACAGCTTCGAATGTCTATTTTATCATTTAAAACTGGATATATATTGCTTTCATTATAGCATATATTAAATTTGAAAAATTGCACATTTTGCAAATATTGCAATTGAAATTGTTTAAAAATTTCAGTCATTAAAGAAAAAAAAGGTAATAATTATAATATTATAATTTTCTTTTCTGAGTTTTGAAGTGTCTAAGTATCCGGGCAAGTCAAGGTGTAGTTCAAAATGTATTGTGCTTATATACGCATTTTATATAATATAGAAAGTAAATGCTATGTTATGTAATAGATTTAAATAATTTATTATTTATTTATTGTGATTAACTTTAACATTATAACAGGGTAACTTAGTTAAAATGTATGATGTTTTTTTTTATTTAAGGACTAAGAGGTCACAAGGAAGTGTTTGTTATGGAGAATTCGGTTGTTTTGAAGATTCTGGCCCTTTCGCATACTTAGAGACCCTGCCAAGCCCTCCGTCGGAGGTTGGCACGCATTTTCTTCTCTACTCTACAACTAACAGGTTATTTTATTTTTCAGTGTCCTTCTAAAATATTAAACCTATAATTCATTTAACTTTACATGTATGGTTACAATGCATGCCTAAATATATTATTGACAAAAATATAATATAGGCATTTAAAGATTTAAAATGAAATCCAACATATGATTACATAAACAGTTGTATAAGAACTCTCGGCAAATAGCTGTTGATTAAAACAGGATGCAGTCTGATTTTTGGGAGAGTGAAGTCATATAGTAATGAAAGACATTCAGGTTAAGGTGAATACCTAAAGAATTTTGACTCACAGGCACAATTAGATAATCGGCGGTGCCTTAAGTGGTAAATTTGCACTGAAAATGAACGATGACAATTTTAATACTTTTATTACAACGTTAAGGAATCATAACAACTACTCGTAAATAAAGAGTCAGAGCTTAAAAATAACAAAGAAGGCAAGGCCGGTATGTATTGATAGTTGGTATTTAATACATTATAGTCGATTTCACTTTTAATTCAAACGCTGAGGTTACTCTACTAAATAGAGCACAGGTCAAGTGTATCTAACAAAAACACTGCGTTATGAAATATCTCATAAATGATATATTTCAAAGGACAAGTAAATAACGAATTTACTAAAACCTTTATTGTTTTCAAATTCAAGAAAGGAGGTTCATAATTCGTGCGCATTGTAAGCCGATTTTTATGATTATTCTTTTTTAATGAATAGCTGTATACGTCAATGGAAGCTTCAAGAAAATATTGTACTTCCGAGGGTTTCAATATTTACTTATAAGTTATAGGGTTATTTTAAAGTTATAATAGTTATGTTAAGTATTTTTAAGTATCAAAGTGATTATTGGTTTTTATGTATGTATATAGAGGAGACCAGCCGCTTATAGCAGTGCCGGCTAGCAACATGTCTGCCGCGTGGAGTTGGGCGGCGCGCGCCTTCGACACGGCGCGTCCCACGCGTGTCATCGTGCACGGCTTCGGATCCAACTGTGATAACGTGTGGGTGTACGAGATGCGCTCCGCTTTAATGGCAGTGGTAAGGACTCAAAATCTTACATACTTATTTAAAAGCAAAAGCCTCTTTATAATTTCAATTTAGAACATGACAAACATATGATGCAGTAGACGTATTACGTTGCGCGCCAATAAAGGTACTAGTCGTGAGTCCAAATCTTATCATGATCTAATCTAAAATATTATTTGCCAAGTTGCTTTAACATTATTATAATTGAGATAAAACAATATTTAGTTCTTGAATGTTCTTAATATAACATAGGTACTGATAGTTGTTTTATTTATCTTCTAGGAAGAATGCAATGTAATTTGCGTAGATTGGGAAGGTGGTGCGTCTATGCCAAATTACCTTCGAGCAGCAGCTAACACTAGACTTGTGGGTAAACAGTTGGCAATGCTGCTACAAGGTAAACTACTTTTAACGGCTTAAATAAGTAGCGCCGACTTGTCGACTAATCATAATTTATTTTTATTTGTCTTTAAAGACAAATATCTATAATATATCACTAATCGTTTAAAATGCATGCACCACTTACATACTATATTTACATGGAAATTACATATATTAATGCAAGTGAACATTTAAACAGGTTTGACTCAGCATATAGATTTGCGATTCGAGGACGTACATTTAATTGGATTTAGCTTGGGAGCACATGTCGCTGGCTTCACTGGTTCTGAACTGAGAAACATAAGTCGTATCACAGGTATAATATTCCACTGTTACGTTTACTTATTTAATTACTTCGTCAACTTTGTAAACTATATTCAAAATATTACGTAGCCTCATATGTCGCATATTGCGTAATAAAAATGGAAAGTTTCGTAACATTTGAGTTAATATAAAATGATTTTTTGTAGGTTTAGATCCAGCTGGGCCTCTGTTTGAATTCCAAGACTTCAGAGCGCGATTAGATAAATCGGATGCCAAATTCGTAGATGTCATCCACTCTAACGGGGAAACGCTAATCCTTGGCGGGCTGGGCGCTGCGCAACCACTTGGGCACGTCGATTTCTACCCGAATGGCGGCCGCGTGCAACATGGCTGTTCCAATCTGTGGGTATTTTTTGTTTAAATCTAACTAGTTTTATTTAAAAATGCTAACATGTTAACGCTTAAAAGTCGTTAATTTTAAATAGTGAAAGTAAACAAGCTTTATTTATTAATCACAGGTTTGTCGGTGCGGTATCCGATCTCGTGTTGCCGTGGGCCGGCGCGTCGCCGGAAGGACGGTCGTTGTGCAATCATCGTCGCGCTTACAAGTTCTTTACTGATTCCGTTTCACCTAAATGTCATTTTCCAGCATTTCCTTGTTCAGATTATGACACATTCTTGGAGGTAGGTACAAGTTAAATATGTAGATTTGCTGAGCAATATAATCACTTTCTATTTATTTTATACTTAACTTTTAAAATAAATAAATTTTAATAAACTTCATTTGATAATATAGCTATTTATTAAAATAGTATTTTCAATTTTAATTACTTTGAACTTCCATGTGAAAGCCTTTATGTGGGTAAACCACTGACCCATGTGAAAATTAAGTCTATGACCAATGTCACTAATCTAGATTATAGTCGATTAAGGTCGTTTTATTAATCCCTCCACGATCGCGGACACGCCGGCGTTGCAGTTAACAATAGATTTCTTAGAAATTTAATTAATTTCTTAGAAATTTACCTGGAGGTTTTAATATAATCTTTATATTTCAATCATTCACAGGCATCGATACATCAAAATACATAAAATTCATTTAATCTTCTTCTCCCTGCCCATTTCCCAATCACTTGGGGTCGGCGCAGTACATCTTCTGTACTGCTGATAGGATTTGGCAAAAGTTTTACGACCGGCCGCCTGCCTGACGTCAACCCTCCTTGGGAATGCTATTGTTTATCGCGGAAGTCTTGTAATATGCACATTCGATTTTGTTTACTTTTAAAACATTGTTTCATACTATTACTAAAAGTTTGAATATAATTTTCGGATATATTTTGAAATAAATTTTGATCACATTTTTTTTCTAAAGAAATACCGACATATAATATAGAATAAAAAACGAAATTACTATTTAAATATAGAATAAAAATGTTTTATTATAAAAAAAAATAATGCTTTCAGGGTCGATGTTTCCCTTGTGATGGAGACCGTCGTTGCGGCAATATGGGATACTACGCCGACCGCTCTCTCGGTCGCGGGCAATTGTATCTCCTTACTAGAGAAGAAGAACCTTTTTGTGGTACGTTAGTACAGTATAATTATAGATAATGGTTAAACTTTTTTATTTACCAATTATTATTCAAAATATATTAAAATTTATAATACTTTGTTTAGCTCATCAATACCACGTAGCGTTGTGGGGCGCCAGTGAAACAAATCAAAAGCAGAATTATGGTCGTATAACGCTTACTTTACAGGGGGATTCAGGATTAAATGAATCTTTTCCCATGACCAAGTAAGTCCTGTATTTTATTTAATAATATATAATTTACGCCGTCGCTCCGTTTCAGCGTAAAAGAAGGACAAACAAACTTTCACATTTATTATATTTAAATTTGGATCAAACTTTATACAGGCGTGAAGACAGTGAACACGGAATCAGATTCGGCCGCGTGCTAGTGCCACACCCCGCACTGGGCGTGCCGCTGCGTGCTTCGGTACACTATGCGGCTTATAACGGATGGCTCAGCGCCGGCGTACGGTCCGTCATCATACACAAGTTGCTCATCACTGATAGCTTCGGGAAAACGTAAGTTAAATGCCTTTATATATGCATTAACTAGCCTTATTACATAGAAAATTGGCATAAACGTTTTCTGCCGATACCCTCCTTTTCCCACTTTAAAAAGTAGATGTCAAATTATTCGACAAAATCCGCTACTGCTTGAGGAGCTCATTAACATCAATTAGATAGTTTTCTTCTTCGGAATAAAAAGAAAGTGAGTGATATCTATTATCTACACATATAATAAAATTGTAACTAAGCCGAATTAAATATTTTTTGGAAAATCTTATTGGAATAAACATTATTATCGATACAGAGGCCGAATCTATAGTTTTTAGAATTTTTGTCTGTCTGTCTGTTACCGCATGAAAGAAAAACCACTGGAGAGATTTTGATAAAATTTGGTATGATGATAGCTAGTTATCCGAATCAACATATAGGATACTTTTTACCGCGAGAACGTCTTTAAAACGTTAGCCGGTGTATAAGGATCAAAAATCCGTAAAATGGCCCCAATATCCAGCTTTATTGTCAAAAGTATCATTTATAAAAGTTGCAGAGTTTTACTGGACCTATAACTTTTGTAGAGAACATTTTTCGATAGGACGTCAAATTAAGCCAGAAATTGAAAAAAACTATTTTTCAACGCTTTTCAACTATAAGAAATGTTTAAATAATTGGTCTATAAATTTTTTGCGTCAGAAATATAAATATGTATTCCAAAAATTTTGTTAACATAATAACAATTCTGTTACGTACCTATAATACTACGTATATAAGGGCTCCAAGAAGCGAAAAAGGAATAGACCAATTATTTAAACATCTTTTGTTGTCTTCAATGACAAAAGTCCGACAAAATTTTATTAATTAACAATCGCCTAACTTTTTCAAAAATTAACTTAAAACTTTTATCCAAACAGTACTAAATTCTTTGGAGTGTTTACAAATACACCATAATTTATAAAAAAAATTTGATATTTGACACTGTAAAAAAATGATTTTACGTAACGTACTCGTTTTAGAGGCGGCGAGCGCATACCTCATCAGCCGCTTGGAGCCCTATTTTCAAAGTTAAATTAAAATTATAAATACATAATGTAGGTAGAGTCCCTGAAGTCGAGATTTTTTTATTGGAAATTTTCTCTTGTTTAAGAATATTGTTTCTTTTTTAATTTCTTAATTTAATAAGTTTTTGAGTTATTAGCGAAAAAATAAATAGGTATCTTTTTTTTTATAATTTTGCAATTTCTTACATGCTGAAAAATGGTTCAAACACATTTTTCTAGGATTCATTAGAATCCAATGAGCTATTGCACATATTTTTAGGAGCTTTTTCGTTCATTTTCACCGTTTTTAACTTGTAATCTAGGCTATTATAGTTGTTTGAGCGTTGGTATTGTGCTATTTGCACTATACCAACTCAATATGGGTAGCTAATTTGACATCTGAGGTATACAGTTTAATTTTATTTGTAAGTAAAGATATTTTTTTATGTAGGTCATCTTTCTGCAAAAATTTACGACTCTTGTCAGATGAGTCAGCCCAGCTACCCCTGCAGCCAGGAGACTGTAATATTCAAGAGGTAGGTATCAGTAAATACATACATACACACCTCACAATAAAACTGACAACTTCACTTGAAACGTTTTTATATTCTAGGTGGAAGAACCTTCGAACAGCACTATACCCATTAAGGAAGTTGTTCACGAAGAAACTGTACCCAGTGCGCCACCAGATGACCCACATGATAATGAACTACCTGAAGACACGCCCCAGAGACCTTTTGTACTCGCCGACTCTTATGACTACGAAGAAACAGTCGACACAGGCAGAGCATTTGGTATGACGAATACAAAAACCGCGCCCAGTGGAATTGTAGAAATCGCTGAACCTATCCTACGTCCTCGACCTCGCAAAACTCCTCGGCAAAGAGCGGATTCTCCCGATGAAACTCGTGAGATATCAGAGCCGATACTTCGCGCTACGCAACCACCGCGTACTACAACCACACCGTCTCCATCCCGTAAGCCTAAAAATTATGACATCTCCACAGCACCAAATGATGTACCTTGGGATGAACGAGCGGAAAAAGAAGAGACAAGTTTTGCTGTGCAGTTTCTACCAGCTCGTCTTGCTTCCTTCATCTCGAGAGCGGAACGTTACGCCCGAGACACTATTTTGCCCTTGGTTTCTGCCTATGCACCACGATTACCTATATTTGGGTCACGAGAAGTCCCTAAAACTACGGCAAGATTTATACCTACGGAAGAAATAAACGTGACCAATACTGTACCTGTTCCTACGCCAACTTTAGAAATGAAGATAGAATCTCTTAGGATAATGGGCCCGCCGGGAGAAAGACGTGAATTCGAGACTCCTGAGGAACCTGATATACCAGTCGTTATTTCTACAACAACTACTACATCTACAACGACTCCTTCAACTACGACGACGACAACCACTACAACAACGACAACAACAAAGGAGCCCCTACGACCAGCGCCAGTTGAAATGTTACAAGTAGTTGAAGGACCTGCAGTATCCACGAGTACTGCGCTTCCACCGATAGCCTTGCGCAGTAAAGGGGAAAAAATATTAATTGTTTATCCAATTAATGCTAGAGATGAAAGAAAAATCAAATCGCACTCGATCTCTGAAGAGATGCAATTCGAGGCACTGTACAGACATACCGCAGAGCCTACGGGTGTTCGAGTGGACTTGCCCACCTTTACTCCACCAGTTTCCACCGAAAATCCTTTTCCATCCAGTCATTCTACTTCTACAATAAAAACATCTGACCTTCATTACATGCCAGTTCCAACGAATGAGGAAAAAAGAACAAACACAAACAAAAGGTGAGGTACGAGATATACATATATGTATTAAAATATGTAAATATATCTTTAAATAGACTGCTTACAGCTATTTATATATTTGTAGAAAATTGGATATTTCACTTTTTATAAATGTTGCAATTAATTTTAAGTGTTTTCAATATTATCTCATGTATCTACTGTATTTCAATGAAAACTTTTTGATATTAAAAATTTGTACATATTTCAACATAGCATTAGACATAGAATAAGACAACTAATTTTTATTAAAATTTTATTTATTAAACACTTTTTATGTCCTTAAAAATAATATTTCTCGGAAATTATTGTGAGAAACCTAACAGTATATCAACTTAAAACTTATACCTCTTCACCTAAAACATAGGCACTTCGTATTTTAACAAAATTAAACCTTCATAGCAGTACTCACATAGATAATAAATGAAAGTTACATAAAAATATGTAGGTATCTGACTTTGTGAATTGTGACCAAATTCATATACTTCTAAATGAGCTGCACCGCGCCGCGCCATCACATCACAAAACCTTACATAGAATACTTAAAAGTAAAGTATTTGTACTATTTCTTGCATTTTAGATGAAAAAAAACATGAAAATTAACTTCTTACAGCTTTGATTGAACTCAATACTTATTAAATGAATTTTAATTTACATAAAACAAATGGTTAACACAAAAATTGGACTTAAACAGAACCCATATCGAAAACAAAATTTATATAAAAACGTCCGATACAGACAACAGAGGTGGGTGGATAAAGCCCACGAGTGCAATAAACCTTAGAAAAGTTCAGTTTTATGTTCGACATTGCTTATAGAAAGCCTAAAAAATATAGACACAAATTACTTGTTCCGACAACATAACTGAAAAGCAGGAGGTTCTCAATCATGCTGTACTTTTCTAATAGCAAACTTTTTTAAATACTCTTTTGTAAACAAGCTTACCTGAAGTTCAATTCCATTTAAAATCATTTAAGATTTTACATGTACAATTCATTTTTTTTCTATTAGCGTTATCAATAATAGAGACTCAAGTAGGTTAACTCCAATGACAGTAACAGTACTACTTCATATATTTATCCGAGTGTTGTGTAAGTATGCGGGCGGAGGACTTGGCGTCGAGGAAGAGCGTGTGCACCGCGCGGATGTGCTGCGGGGAGATGCGCTGCGCTCCCTCTGCGCGCGCTGTCAGCGCCGCCGGCGTCAGCAGCTGGGCGGCGTACCTGCGTAAACAGTGCTTGTTGTGTTTTGCGCATGTTTGCACATTGTACTCGGATGAGTACACGCATGCAGTCGTATAACGAAAGCATATAAAGCAGGGGGGATGTTGCAAGAGTACCCGTGCCCCGGCCAATATGCGACTGAGGTGGAACACCGTGTGGTTTTAGTGTAGGCTGCTGCGCTTCTCGCGGCAGGAGCCCCACATAACCCGTCCTCTCCCCCAAAGGTACCCGGGAACAGGGGTTTACACACGTTACAATAAATGGGGGAGAGGGTGTTGACAGGGGTAGAGTGGTGGGAAGGGTGTTGCCGGAAGTAACGTGGGGGGGTGGTGGTTGACGGAGGCGAAGTGGGGGGAGGGTGTTGACAGGAGCGAAGGGCGGGGGGGTGTTTGAAGTAACGCAACGGGAGGGCCAAGACAACATTGGGGACGAGACGAAACGGAGCGGGGAACACCCCACTTCTTGTCATACTTAATTTTATACGACAGTCTTTAGATGGCTTTAGGGTTGACGGGTACAACTATAACAAGGCATAATTGATATTTTTTTGGACAACCCTTGCATTTGGCGAAATTTCTATTAAGAACAAACGCGATCACCTACTGTATGGATTTATATGTATACTGTGTGGTCTAGTAACTACTGTCTATGACTGCAAATCTGGTGGTACTAAGTTCGAGTCCCCGTTCGGGCTAAGTACTTCTACTACTAGGGGCCTATGTGTCTTGGAGAGTAAGTACAGCCATTTGCCCTGCACCAGATCTCTTACCGCATACATATATGTATATAGAATTATCCAGATAGGACAATGAGAGTGATATGCACACACACTGCAGTATAATATCTATTCAAGTGGCTTTTTCAGAAAATCATATTTTTTTAATTACAGATGATAAACATTAATACAACTATGTAAAATTATACCATACCTGAGTGTACTATTTGCGCCGACCTCGGAGAGCGCAGTTAAGGCTTCATCATCAATAGATATACCTTCTGTTGTTGCGCGCAGTTTTAATATCTAAAACATATAATCATTCAGAATGGTAAAAAGCATTTAAATACATATTCAGATTAACCTATTAATGTAAAAAAAAACAGACTTCTAGAAAAAAGTAAAAAATAACTGATTGGTAGTTTTCATTTATACAATACAATATGATACCGAACTTCTGCACTATCAACGGAAATATAAACATTTTAACAACACAAGTTTCAAGTAATATGACAATTAGAAGTAGGTAAAAATGTTATTAGCTATTTTTCCACTCTTAGGAGTGGTTTTGTTTTTAGATTTAAATGGAACTAAATTGGAAGTATACACTTTGAAACAAAACAAAAATTGTCCAAATCGGTTACAGTTAAATGAAGGAATTCTGAGATATTAAAAAAAAACAGCCGAATTGAGAACGTCCTCCTTTTTGAAGAAGTTGGTTGATAAAAATTTTCAACAAAGCTTACCTGTAAAAGTTCAGCTTTATTGTAAGGCAATGTACGAATAATTAAAAGCCTATCTAGTAAGTCCAATGGAATGCCATGTGGTGAAATAATATCCTCTGTCCCTCTGAAAAATTATGATAAATAATAATGAATATCTGGTAATTTTAAAAGGCAGTGATCGCCCAGTGGTAACATCCTCGCTTGGGAAATCAAGAGAAGCAGGTTCAAATCCCGGGTCTCGCAACTCTGATATTGTCAGGTCTGAATCATTTCCAAAGTGATTAACACTTGCTTTACGGCGAAGAGAAACATCGTAAGGAAACCTGCATGTTTGAAAGAACCTAGCAAGTTTTCGAAAGACATGTTTAGCCCGCCCGCACTTGGCCAGCGTGGTGGACTATGGCCTGATCCCTCTCGTATTGAAGGGAGGCCAGCAGTGGGACGTTAAAAAGGGGACTAAATACAAATTTAAAAATGTTACATTTTATTGCACTGATGTAAGAAGTGAAATACTAACCGTATTAGGCATCGCCCTCTGTTGGTTGCGAAAATGACTATAGGCGCAATTGCAGACTCTAAGGCACGGTGTAAATATGTAAAAGTTTCTATATCAAGCATATGAACCTGTAATTAACAAAGTCATATTACTGTTTTGTTTTAATCTAGTTTTAAGTTAGCAATACTAATTTAATTTAGACTATACATACTATTATATGTAAACTCTTAATTTAGGAGGAGGAGAAGTATCCAATATTTTTCTTATAAGTGATATATATATAATACCATACCATAAATTAGTAAATCCATACAGTCATCTAAGGAAGGTGTCTTATAATATAGAATAGAATACATGGTAGTTGTTTGGGGTGTGCGAGGAACGATCGTGAATCACTCCCAACTGTCATTCATACTTTTATATGACAGTCGGGAAAAAGTTGACGGGTAAGAGTTGACAGCTATAACTGTAATATGCCATGAGATGGTACTACAGCATTTAATTTTTGAAAGAATTTTCATAATGTGGTATGAATATTGATTTAAGATAAATTTAATAAGCAAGTAGACACAACACACTTAACAACTAGTAGAAAAAGTTGTATTTGTTACTTATTATGCTAATAGTTTTAAGTAATAGCGTACCTCATCGATAAATAACACTCCTGGAACTAATTCTGCTATTCCTTGATCAATATATTTATTGACTACCTTATTGATTTCCTTTCTTAGTTTATCTAAAATAAAAATATACATAATTTAATAATTTAAACTTGGTCAGGTGTAGGGAGATTTGTCCCTGGGCAGTTCGATACATCTGCACAATACGATTTGTGTTGCATTTTTACCAAGAAATGTATGACTATCACTTTATACAACTAGTGTTTGAAACTCTAGTTCTAGAAGTTTCTTTTAGACCCTTAAAATATCAATATCTAAGAAAAGGTCTTTAAAATACAAATAAAAAGGTTCAGGGAGCAAGAAAACTTACCAGTTATCTCAGTTTTCTTTGGCTTCATTAACTGGCCCATCATAGACATTATGTCGTGTCCCCCCTGTGGCCTGGCATTTGCACAATCTAAATCATGTAGAGTTACATCTTGAACCACCTCTTTTTTTTTATGCACATCACCTTTAGGTAAAGGTACATATTCCTCTGCCTGTAAAAAAAAAATTAGAAATATTTCTATGATTTCTTACTTAATAAATTAAAAATACAAATTTTCTATATATAAAAATATATAACTTTATCATTTTTATTACCTCTAAATCGAATTCAGTTGCAAAAGTGTCACTTCTTCCTTGTCTTTTCACAGCACCAGAATTAGCTTCTATGTAAATAACATCACCTACTTCAACTTTTTCTTTTTGAAGTGATTCGTAAATAGTAGGGTCAAGTTTCAGCTGCTTGGTACCTTTAGCAGTCTTCAACCCAATAATTACATGAGAAACAGTTTTTCCATATCCTAGAGAAAAAGAAAAAAATATTTGAGTGAATCAGATTTTTTTATAAAATAAAATGGATTATAAAATTATATTTAAAAAAGTATACCTCCAGCTGGGTTCTCAGTTTCAACTGGGGTCAGTTCTGTTACTTCCCCTTCATAGACTTCTTTGGTTTCTCTAATACGTAAGCCAATAGCACGGCGGAAGTTTTCCATTAGAACTTCAGTTTTTTTAATCTCTGTACTATACACTTCACTGCCTACCATTGGGCAGAATGGTACCTATTAATGCAGTTAGGAATGCAATCAAAATCACATAAAATATAATAACATAAACATAGATACAATGGACATCCTTTTTTTATGCCATTTCTATCAGAAATATATTAATTATATTTGTTTATATTTGAAGAATTTTTGTTTCCTTAAACTTATTTAATGTTTAGTTAATTGTTCCATTAAAAGCTTATTTTATTACTGTTCAAAAAATCTTTCAATGTTACATATTTTTTATTTTACAAACTGAAAATAAGAGAATCCTAATTATAGTGAATTATAACTAACTAATGATAGTGAAAAAGAAATTAAATAACTTTACCTTATTGCCAAGTTCTTGAGCAATAGCTAGTGCTATTGCAGTCTTTCCAGTGCCTGGAGGGCCAGCAAGTAATAATGCTCGACCAGCCATCTTTTTACTTCTTATCATATCAACCACAATGCCGGCTGCCTGCAACCAAAACCAAATAATTAAATATTTATATAGACTTATAAAAAATATAATAGAATTATATATGTATTTTTCCTATACATCATCATCATCAATTTTGGCCTATTTCTTTGTTCGTTTAGGTTTTAAAATGCAATACATTTTAACACTTAGGCTCTGCATTTCTTATTAATAGGTTAAATGAATACAGCAAGTCATCACATGAAATAAAACTAAGAGAATGCAGAGGCACAGCAAAGGTGAGGCTGATGTTATTATGACTAAAAAACTTCTGATTATGCTGTTGCTACAGTTTTTCCCGCGACTGAGCACTTTTTATATTTATAATGTTTTGTTAAAGTAATAAGAATATTAATTGAATATTACTATTATGTGATATTTTATGAAAATCAGTATTAAACGTAAATCGATTAAAGTGAAAACAACTATGGAACTCCATGGTAACCAAATAAACTAACCTCAATATTTTATCAATAACTCACTAGACGTTCATAACACATTAATATAATAACAGTTAGAGAACACGTTTAAAAAACGTAATTATTTTATTAGATTAGCATATGTAGTTATTAATTATTCCTACCTCTCTTGCTGCTTCTTGACCCACGAGACCGGCTGCCATCTGAATCGGTACTCCATTTTCATCTAATCCCAAACCTTTTATGTGGCTATGCGCAGATATTCTTTGAGTCTTCGCAGTACTTTTTACTTCTTCAATTTTCATTTTTAGATTTACTAATAAAACAAACTTTTAATTTAAATCAATGATGAATGAAATTTTTATAACAACAGCACCGTGACCGGTGACAGACGACAGTCTCAAATGTATAATCCATAGACTACACCATAGAGTATATTGCTACATAGACTACACTAGAGAGTAGTGTGAAGAGAGTAGAGAATTTTATTTGTCAACGACGGTAGAGACCTCTATTTGTCATCTGTGGTAGAGACATAATAGGTGAGAAAGACACGATTTTTTTCTATACCTATCTTCAATGTTGTCTTACGTCTGTCGAACTCGAGTCATATGTCCGATGTGTCAAAATCTGACAACTATTTGTCATGTTCTTATTGACAAGTTAACACTCGAATTCAATATTTTTCAATTTTTATTTACATTGGTACATTATTAAATAGACATATTGTAAATAATTATCGCCAATAATAAGTCTTAAACATCTGACAGATGAAAAGAAGAGCCAACTATTAAATAATTATATATAATGCATTAAGCATTAAAGTGGAAAAGGTGTCACATAATAATGGAGTATACTGCTCAAAATTTAGAATATGCGGTTTCCGTGTTTTATAACGGCGAACAAGAAGATCGGGCAAAAGCACATGCATGGCTTACAGCAGCGCAACGAGTACCAGAAGCTTGGAATTTTGTTTGGGAATTGCTCCAACCTAGCAAAGTAAAGTTACAAGAATTGTATAAATATTTCCACTCCATCATCCCTGTTGATTAATCACATATTGATTTGAATATTCTTTAACTAAAAAAACTTATTTAAAAAATATTCTTTAAAGTATTATCATAAAAATATTTGTTTTTATAATTGTGTCTACAAGCTTTAAAAATAAAACTGTGGATTGTGAGATTTCTATGGAGCAATCGTTGTCAATCAATAAATCAAGGATTTAGCAGAAAGTAATAAATGAAAATAATACTATTTGAATGTGAGATAGAGTACTGAAGATATATCAGTTTTTTTTTGTAATGATATGAATTATATAGTATGATAGTATTTTTTTTAATGATACGAATTTTTGTTAGTTTTAACTGATAGTTAGAAAGTAGATAATTAAGATAACTTTCATATATTTTTTATTCAGGGAACAGAAATACAATTCTATGCAGCTACGACATTACATACAAAAATTCTGAGGTGCTGGAGTGAGGTACCCCCTGAGAGTTATCCACAATTAAAGGAAAAATTATTACAATCTGTAATTGGTTATTCTAAAGGCCCAAAAATTGTTACTAACAGACTATGTATCAGTGTGAGTATAATATAAAACTATTTGTACCTACTTTTTTATTATTTTCATTAAATTATGTTGATATTGTTGATATTCCTTTTAAATACCATCTTATTTCTTTTAATTATAGTTAGCTGCATTCATTTTACAACAAGGTTCAATAGACCTAGCTGATACTTTAAGACCGCTCTCAGCTGCAGAGAACACATCTTTATTACTCGAAGTGCTTACTGTGATACCAGAAGAAGTAAGTGCATTTATGTTACAGCTTATTAGTATAAACTATTAATTTAGTTAAAGTAACAAAAAAGCCAATGTTTATACAATTCTTTAAAATGAAGGAAATAAAATATTATATTAGTGAGTTACTCAGAAGTCACAGTCGGAGCTTTCTACATAAAGTTATAAGTATAAGCCAATCAATGTTATATTGTATTAGTCTTATTACCAGTGCCGGATTAAGCAAGCGCGGGGCCCGTAGCAAATTCTTTTGAAGAACCCTTGATCTGCTGTGTATAGTTTTTTTTTTAAGAAAATTGTACTTTTGTCCAAAAACTCCGAGCGAAGCGCAAAGACCAAAGGTATTTATATTTAATACAAAGTACATTATATTTTTAGAAATAGCTAATTTTATATTTTTAGACCAATCTGAATCTGCTTATTTTTAAGAGAAAAAAATATATTGAAAACCTGAAGTTTTATGATTTTAAAATGTTAGCAGGTATATAGGGAATTCAAATTCGTAAATGCCCCCTATGGCCAGCTACCCCCGAGAAATGGCGGGATGCAAAGCGTTGAAAAGATATTTTTTTTTCCAAATTCTGCTTTACTGTGACGTTCTATCGAAAAATGTTTTGTACAAAAGTTGTAGGTTTAGTAGAAATCTACAACTTTTATAAATGACATTTTATACAATAATCTCAAAGTTTTCGAGAAATTTGCAAAAAACTTGGTTTTTAACTTTTTCTTGGTTTTTTATTTTTAATTTCTAGAATAATCTTTTGATTTACATGAAACTAGGGGAATAGAAATGAATTGAACGATTTTTTTTAAACGTAAACGCCCACTTGAAGTTGGGGGTGATTGTTAGCCTCTCGAGACCATAAAACATACTTTTAACGGAAATGGCTAAACATTTCAATTTCATTTTTTTTATTTATTATATGTATTTCGAAGATTACAGTTTCATGGACGTCTTTGTGACATCAAATAAATTCAATATACCACGTCTTAATAAGTTTCACTCAAAAAATCACGCTCAGGCAGAGATGACCGGGTTTATGGGTTTAAATATGCGGGGCCCGTAGCAATTGCTACTCTTGCTACGTGGTTAATCCGGCACTGCTTATTACCTATACAAATATTGTTTATTCCAGAAGGTATTTATGAATTTTTGTTTTTAGTACAATAGTATGACTATGGGAACATCTTTACGTCAAAAAAATCGTGCTGCATTAAACCAAGCAAGTTCTATGGTGTTGGATGATATGCTAAGATATCTTCAGAGTGTTTACAAGTTAGTATGCCATTTAATGCCATTTGGTCATGATTGAGATATTATTGTTCATTTTTGTTTGGATAAGTATACAAATAATAATACCAATTTTAATTTTTGTAAAAACTTTATGCTTATTTGTAAAGTGCCATTTTGATTATAAACTATACCCATGAAGCCCTGGACAAAAGTTTGTTATTCACTATATTATATATTTTTTTGTACATGAACTATGTAGCATAGATAATACAATGATCAATGTGGGCAAAGGTGGACTTAGTCAAAGAGATCTCTTTGAGCCAACTTATTGAAGTGAGAAATTGTGTTACATAACAAGCCTAAAAAAGTGCAATTAATATATAGTAAAATTATAAATAATAGTACATACACTTGAATAAGGTAAAAAAACATATATAGATAGATATACAATAACTTATAATACAAAAACGAAAATTTTGGTTTGTATGTATTTTTTAATGCCGAATCATAAAAAAAATATAATCAAAAATCTTGTCAAAAATTTTTTTTATTTGGCGTGGACCACCTTTATCACTTAGGGGTATGAAAAATAGTTTACGTCCTATTCTCGGAGCTACTGAATATATACTGATAATGATAATACAGTGTGTTGGTTGCACTCTTATCATTTTAAATGTATAGTCTAATAAAGACGTTTGAAGGAGAAACACGTTCTTTCTATTGCACCCCAAGTCACCAAGTGTAATTCAACCTTAACTTCATGTACACAGTGATAATGACAAAAATGTGTTTTTTTATTTTTCTAATATAATTTTCATCCATCAATAGTGACTATAGCAATGAGGGGCCAAGTGAAGACACGATACTGTCGTGGACGAGCGCGGCGACGTGCGCGGCGAGCTGGCTCACGCTGGGCGAGGAGGACGCGCTCGACTGCGCCACCACGCTGCCCGAGCGCGCGCCGCTGTGCCGCGCCCTGCACACCGCCGTGCATGTTATATGCACGTATGTATATTTATTATTTTATTGTTTGTGTGTCGATGACTTGAAGACGCTACGTATTGTATATTAAACGTAACCTTCTCGTTAGGGTTTCTTTTTTTCTTAAATCCAGAAACAATCAATACCCACAGTGCTATACTTTACAATCCACCATTTTACAATTTCCTTTCGAAATTTTTATAACAGCAAGCGTTCACAGACGGCGCCGTTTGTAAATTGATGAATCATATGATATACCTGCAATATACCCCTTTTTGTTTAACGTTAGGAAATGCATTTACGCACGAGGTGTGGGACTCACCGGCGTAATAAAGCCAGTACTACCCACTAAAACCCAACAAAACCTCCCCCCGTCTTAATGGGGCGTCGCAGGATCGCTTACGCATTCAACTACGACGCCCCGACGGCAGGTCTGCCGGAGCAGACCACCAGTAGATAGTGATTTTTTGGCCTTTTAAATAAAACTATATTTTTGTACTTTTTATTTTTGATTTCGGACGTTTTAAATTCTTTACAGCAGCGAGCTTGCTCGCGGACTAAATATGTATTCTTTTTTGTATTTGAATACAAAATGTGTGACAGATGGAACGAAGCAATAAGCGACAGTGCGCTAGAGGCGTGCGAGGCGTGCCTGTCGGCGGTGCGCGCGGCGGGCACGGCGGGCGGCGCGCACCGCCACGCGGGCGCCGCAAGCGCCCTGCTCGCCGACCTCGCCGCGTTGGCGACGCCGCTCTTTGCCGCGCATAATGTGCCTAATTCTATTAACGAGGTACTTTTTTTATTACGCATTCTTATTTTTTTTAACTTCCAGTGCACACTAAAATGAGTATATATATATATATATATATATATATATACAAATGTATAAAATATCAGCACAATAAAGTCCTAGTGTCATTTGATATTTGAAGATAAATATCTCCATAAGGAAACGTGCGTTTACTTGTGGCGATGGCGGGTTGCTAATGCCAGTTTCAAAAGAAAAATGTGGAACCTCATTCACATACAAAAATTTCATATCGATACAACTTAAATTAGAAACTTATAAGTGAAGCATGTTGTTAATAACTAAATATGGTAAACTTGAAGCTTCCATACAAAAATGATAAACCTTTTTCACACACATACAGAATTACAAAACGATACTTTAATTAGTGACTTACGATACGTGGGACGCTAATAAGAGTTTGTTAAACATAATCCAACGAACAGGAGCTGCTATCGGCCATCATCACTTGCTGCGTGTCAATAGGCGAGTGCCACTCGCGCGTGATCGTGGAGGCGGTGGAGGGCGCGGGCGACGGGCGCGGCGCGCGCGGCCTGCTGCAGCTGCTGCTGGCGGCGCAGGCCGCGCCCGGACACTACCCGCTGCACGAGACGCGCTCCAACTTAGTGTTCGGCGTGTGGTACACGTTGCAGGTGTGTTGTGGTGCTCGTTATGATTTATTTATTTCAAACATATTAGATGAGTTTAAATGAATATTAAAAGAGTTTAATTGTGGTTTTTTTTTATAAATTTATTATAATTTATAACATTTTGTACACGTTTTAAGTGTAAATTTATTTTGTTAAAGGATGAAATATTGAACATGACAAACGACACAGTGAAAATAAATCCAGTATGGCATGAAGTTTTTACGCAACTCCTTATCACGTTAATAAAGAAATCTGAGATGCCTCCAGAGTCGGCGCTATCTAAAGACGATCAGGAACTACTCCGGTGCTACAGACAGGACATAGCAGATATTGTGGTAACAAGACTGTAATATAAAAACAAATTATTAAAAATAAAAAATTAAAGAGTGCGTGTATGAATGTGTACGCGCGCAAGAAGTAAAACTTCTGTAGGTTATCGGTACTCTTTATGAAATTCAATTATGTTTTAAATAATTAGGATAGGTGAGATACTAAAAAACGTTTATGTGTACATATGTACGCACGTAAGAAGTTATACTTGTTGGCGTAACAACAAAAATAGCTAAAGATTTCATCCCGTATATCACAATTCTTTGTTGTGAAAAAAAAAATAATAAAAATAATTAGATAACGCATATTAGGCATATTACAATCATATATTTATAGAATATCGTTTAAGGAAGGAATATAATATATATCATTTGTCAGACAATAACAACGGTTACAATGGTATCACACGTTCGCCTCATCCGATCACACTTTTCATAACACTCGTCACGCATTCACCGGCTTATTCCCCAAGTCAAGTGTGCGTAAAGAAATTTTACTTCAACATAATTGTATGATCGGGACAACTATACAAACGTGTTATAGATGTATTGCTTCATCATCCTGGGAGACGGTTGCTGGGGGCTAGTGGAGAACGCGTACACAACAGCAAAAAGCGCTGCGCAGCGCGAGGCGGCGCTGCACGTGTTCCTGGCGCTGGCGGACGCGGCCACGCAGGCGCGCGCGCCGCCGGCGCTGGCGGCGCTGCTGCAGCACGCGCTGCACGCCGCGGCCGACCCCGCCGAGGATGTGCGCGTGCTGCACACTGCGCTCGATTGTCTTGGTTTGTGTTTTAGTCTGTGTTATAGTTTTAAGAAAATAAAGTTTTTTTTGAAGTTTGTAACAAACATTTTATAAAGTTATAAAATTATTTGTTTATAATAATATTTTTCAAGTTGGTATATGACTAACTTATAAAACTACTAAAACTACTAATCCGCTTCGCTCGGATGCGATTCCGGTGTGTTACTCGTGTGTGTTGTCGATATTAAATTATAATAATAACATTCTATGACGTGTGGCAGGTGCGTACGCAGCGTGGCTGAGCTCGCTGGGGAGCGCGCGCGGCGCGGCGCTGGCGCGCGAGTGCCTGCGCGCGGCGGGCGGCGCGCTGCCGCGCTGCGCCGCGCCCGCCGCGCTGGCGCTGCGCAAGCTGTGCGACGACTGCACCGCGCCCGCCAGCGAGCTCGTCGCCGACATCGTGCGGGTCGCGCAGGTCAGTCTCGTACGTGTTTCACTTTGTGAGTGAATATTTTTGTTCATTCTACACGCTGTGATGACTTAGAGATTATATATCAATACATAAGCAAATAATTGGCATATTTTAAGTTTATCAGCACCGAATATGCACAGACGACACGTGTTCATGATACACGTGAAGCAAATCATTTAATAATCTCACCGACACTTCACTAGTGCAGTGATCCCATCGTACACGAAAAATTTGAATAGTTTTAAAACTAAGTAACTAAACATTTTGTCGTAGTTGGTTTTACTATTTTTCAACCGACTTCTTTAAAAAGGAGGAGGTTGTGCCGTGTGCACATACAATTAGTCATATATACTTATGTACTGTATTACGTAGTACTTCTTTAGAAATAAGACATTTTCTTGCGGTAAAAAATATCGTATATGTTGACCCAGAGAACCAGCTATCACCATACCAAATTTCATCAACTTTCCTCGAGTGGTTTTTCTGTGATGCTGTAACAGACAGACATACAAACATTCTAAAAACTATAGATTCGGCCTCTGTATCGATAATAATGTTTATTGCAATAAGACTTTCCAAAAAACATTTAATATACAGATTCCGATTAGTTACAATTTTATTATATGTATAATTGTTTGCTTGTTATAAAAACATCTATCGTTTTTTGACAAAAGCTTCCAGTAAACATTGTAGTGAGTGTGTATAAGTAGGTCGTGTGGGCCCGCAGAGCGCGGACAGCACGCTGGACGCGTGGACGCGGCGCCAGCTGCTGAGCGCGGCGGGCGCGGCGCTGGCGGCCAGCGCGCCCGCCGCCGCCGCGCCGCTGCTGCGCGGCCTGGCGCTCTCGCTGCGGGACCTCCTCGCCGCTCAGGTGCGATACCTTGTCGTTATATGCACATGTGTATTTTAAACATCATATTATTTAACTGATAAATAAACAGTATAATTATCTAGCAAATTAGCTGTATTTTTAACAGCATTATCTATTAGTTATATGAATTGTATAAAATCTCTATGCAACATTGGTATCAGACATACTATTATTATAATATTGTTTTTTTAAATAAAAGTGCTTCAGACCTGCGAAGAACTGCCGAAAACATGATTGACACTAGAATCAAGCGAAATACTATATAGTTGAAACAACGTATAATTAATAAATTCACGCCCGCAATTAAATAATTAGTTGTCACATGGCTTAGTACAGTACGAACCTCATATGTTATGAATTATATGTATCGCATTTATGGAAATCTGAAACGCTTGAATTTACCTATATAAATAGCAGCTCACAGGGCTGAGCAAGAAACCACTATATACTAAGACCATTTGTAATATAACGTCGGGCGCAGGCGGCGGACGGCGGCAAGTGCGGCGCGGCGGAGTGCGTGTCGCTGATGGGCGCGCTGGGCGCGCGGCCCGCGCTGGCCGCCGACCTGTTCCGCGCGCTGCGGCCCGCGCTCGCGCTCATGCCCGCCAACGCCACGCTCACACAGGTCTTTTTCATCATCCGTTTTTTTTGCTTACGTTATTACTTATTAATCATGGAATTTTTATTTTTGGAAAAGGCATAAAGTCGTGCTGATTTTCAACGGGACTGTAATTAACCAAAACTGACAGCCCAACTCTATCGCTGTTGGCGCACTGCCCAATGGGGATCGTTAGCGCTCACACTAACACACCCTTGATCATGCTACATCCCTAAATAATGTAATAAATACCTATAGCGGCATTAGAGAGAGCATTTTCGGCTCTTTATCTCGGTAATGTGATTTCTTAGAATAATATTACAGCTTTGTACCGCATAATTAAATAATATAACATATGTATATGACACAATAGTTATGAACTTATCGGTACATAGAACTGCTAAAGAAACTTCATACGAGCAAAAACATGGGCAAGAATTTGTAATATTATAAATATATAAGTAGCCTAAGTTAGTCCTTACAGCATCACCTATCTGCCAGGAAAATCCCGTAAAAAATAGTGCAGCCGATTCGGAGATTAGCCAGAACAAACAGACAGACAGACATAGATGTTAAAAATGGTGTAAGTGTCTTCGTATAAGTATATCATGTAATTTCATATGCATTTAGTAAAAAGCTTTTATTTTGACATTACAAACGGACACTTCAATTTTATTTATCTGTATAGATTTTATATTATTATTATGAGATTACATAAATTAATTTAAATTTACCTTTTATGAAACAATATTTGATTATTATATTTATAAAATAAAGGAATTATTTTGATAAACATTTCAGCCAATGTTTCAAATCTTAAAACATACAGTATCAGCAATGATGAGTGACGTCATATCAATCATAGAAGACGTGTCGCAGCTCATAATAGCTGGTTTTGAAACGCAGCCCTGCCCGGTTGGACTTGATTGTATAAAACTTGTAAGTGAATATAATATAGTCGTTTGATATTTAAAAAAAGAAATCAAAACCATGTGTCATTCACAAAGTCATTAAAGCGTGCTCTCGCTCAAATCAATTCATTTCTTATAATCATTTATTTGATATAATCCATTTTTTATTCTTAAAAATAAGTAAAATAATACTAAAATAAGAAAGTATTAAGTTTTTAAAAAAACACATCTAAACAGAAATAGCAGTAGTGAATGTAAAAATTGAATATAATTGGCATACGACGAATATATTAATGAGTGTACCGTATAGGTGACGGTGCTGGTGGGGGGCGAGTGGGGCGGCGCGGCGCGGCTGGTGCGCGCCGGCGTGCTCGCCAGCGCGCGCGCCGCCGCGCCCCCGCCCTCCCCCGCGCCCCCCGCGCCTGCGCCCCCCGCGCCCGCGCTCGCCGCGCCCGACCTCGCCGAGGCACTGTTCGCGCTGCTCGTCGCGCTCACCAAGAAGCAGATGCAAGCTATTGATTGGATAGATGATTTGCTGCCGGATCTCGTTGATTTGGGTAAGTCTAGCATTATAAAATAAAACAATATAATTAAAGGCTATAAAAGGTATGAATATGCCTATAGATCGTAAATAGTAATTATTCAACAGCACTTGTTAATGCAACGCGTTTGAAATTTCTGTGTTATTCATTTTATATTTTTACATCTGCGTTTTCTCAGACACGTAGCTTACGTCACGATGTTTTCCTTCACCGTAAGTCGAGTGGTAATTATGTCGAAAAGGATTCGCACATGAGAATATTAAAGTTGCGAGATCCGGGATTTGAACCCGCTTCACTCGGTTTCCCAAGTAAGCGTGTTACCATTGGGCCCCCAATGTATATGTACGTTTACTGTGTCTGTGCAGCGTGCAACTGCGTGCGCGTGTGGGAGGCGCGCGCGGCGGGCGCGGCGTGCGCGTGGCTGGCCGCGCTGGCGCAGCGCCGCGCCGCCGCGCTGCAGCGCTGCGCGCCGCACCTCACCATCACTGCGATGTCTTGTATTGGTACTATACTTTTTTTTTTTTTATTGTCTTAGGTATATTAATATTATACTATTTTCACCTGTCAATACCATATGAATAGGGAAATGAATATATTCAATCAATTATATTAATAAAGATTTTCAGAGCAATATTTTAAAACAAAAATATTGTAAGATATTGTTAATGTTTATGTTGTATGTTATATATGGCTTTGTATTTTATGAACAACTAGCTACTTTAAATTCGTTCAGTCGATCGTACTAAGTTTCATTCAAATTCGTCGAGATGTTTCAATTTGAACGAATAACAAACATACATAAACATACAAATTATCGTGTTTATTTTATTGCAATATATATAAAGTGCTATATAACGATTCCTTGATGATACTAGGCGGCGCGACACCTCGCAATCAAATGGAGCCGCTAGCAGAGTTACTGTTAGCACTGAACCGCGCGCAGTGGGACGAGGCGGGCGCGGGCGCGGCGGGCGAGTTCGGCGCGTGGCTGCGCGTGGCGCTGGCGCGGGCGGGCTTCCCCTCGGCGCACGCCACCGACGCGCACAAGCAGAAGTTCATACAGGCCGTGCTCAGGTGAGGCACACTATTTTTGAAGTTATACATCTTTTGGCATGTTTGGAAAAAAATATGAGTTAAATTTTTACGATGCGCGCGCACACCGACAGCCAAAAAACGACATGATGAAGTTAACCGAAAGCGACATGATGAAGTTAGCTGCATTCCTTTTAAGAGAGTTGTGAGATACGGGATGAAATCTTTAGCTATTTTTGTTCTGTTACGCCAAAGAAGTATAATTTACATACACACTTATTTTAATGATAATTGGTTTTTTTTTTAATTAATGATGGTTCAGGATTTTTTTTATTTAATGATGGGAAATGAATTTACGCATATTGCGTCTTTGTCACCTCCGTCACATCACATCCGGCTGGATTGCCGGACGCTAATGATAATATGTGACATTTAGTCGTTTGTTTTTGTGATATTATCATGTACATAGGAATGAACGACAGTGGCAATAACAGATTATAATCTTTATTTGTTTCCTAATTGAAAAATAAAATCTCCTAGTCCTGAATAAACCTTCATAATCCTGAATAAAAATTGTGCGGGTCTCTTTTTTAAAAATGAGATTTAAAGTTATCCAAATTAGTTTGATTTTTATCCAATTTAGTATAGAAATGTATGGGGCTACTACATAATTTTAAAGATGTTCTGTCCTTTTATAGAAGCAATATATTTCTTAATATTTTCTTTTGTTTTGCATAGAGAGAAGAAAAGTAAAAGAAGACTATTGGAGAGCGTGCAAGAGTTTTCGCTGGCGTGTCGCGGTCTCATCGGCACCGAGTACGCGCGGCAGTCGCTCGCCTCCAAACAGATGGTAGCCTAAATTAGTTTTTAATTTTATAAAATGTTGTAGGCTGTAAATTATATTTAAAATATATATTTAAATATATTTAATTTACATTGAAGTAAAGAAACAACGTTTTGTCATCAATCCTTGTGAATAGTATTGTAGAAATCAGCTATAAATAAATTAATGATATTTTTTTATAGAATATTAATTTAGGCCGCTTCATATTGACGTCACAATTGTTTATTTTATATAAATTCAATTGTCACGATAGAAATAAAATATATTTTGTAATAGTATAGGCAATATATATTTTTTTCAGTTCCATTACTTACTAGTAGCACAATGTAAGATTAGGACGAACTCTTTCAATTCGAAGTACACAGATTATACCGTTTCGCGATAGCGATTATGGCTAAGGTTGTCACAAATTAAGGATTTTGTTGTTACTGAAAAAAATGCCCCTTTTAATGATTTGCTATGCATTATTATACATTTTGTTTATTCCATTTTAGTTTGTGTACAAAAAAACATTAAACAAAAATACTCACGCGCTAGCTTTGAAAGTTGTTTCTAACTACAAAACCAACAACTCCCATCTCGATTGTTCTCTCAACCAATCAATATGTTCGTCAGCCGATAGTATCGATTATTAAATTGTGCTAGTAGTAATTGTATGTACTAATTTATTACTAAATACTGAGTTGGCAAATGAATGTGATATTTTTTTAAATTTAAATAAGCGTCGCTTTATTATTGTATATAATTTTAAAAAAGCCTTAAAAGGTTTATGATGACTATGTAGTGTTCCTAATTTAGCACTATAGAAGATTAAAAAAAAATTTGTGATGTATCAAACTAGTGATTCTTTTTGTGTCAAATCAAGAGTTCGATTCCAGTGTAGGACAAATATTTCTATTTATTTTATAAATATTCGTCTATCTCTTATTAACTTTAAACGAACGATTGTTCCACTGGAGACTATCAACTATTAATGATGATAGGATGATGATGTCAAAGAAAGCGATCAGAAATGAGGCATTGTTAGTCACTATACTCTTGAATAGGAAAAATGCGTCTCAGGTAGTTATCTACATAAAGTAGATTTTAAATTATTTTTATTTCAATCTCATTTAATTCATCATTCTCTATTCATTTGTAAATCGACATATCAACAATGTATAATTTAGTATTTAGTTGAAAGATCTTGGTATGAAAATAAAAGTATCTTTAATATATTCTGTTTTATTTAATGGCATACACAATGGGCTTAACTTAACAATAAAAACAAATAAACAAAATATAAACAACGTTGCGAGGACCTCAAATGATATCACAAATGCAATATAACAAAACATCACAGACATCAAACTTAAAACCATGATATGTTCTTTAGACATAATACTAGTAATAACAAATTAAAAATTAAATTAATTTTACATAATTAAAAGTTGCTAAACGCTTAATGCAATAAAAATATATATAGATAAAAAGGAAAAAAAGAAGCATCTTTTTAAAGATAGTTACTTCTGACGCAGAGATCAGTCAAGGAGATGAGCCCCAACAAACTTTCTAGTTCCATTACAATATTGCCTTAGATATATGTATATTTTTTAACATAATACAATCCAAATCCAACCATAGTACATACCTATCACTTGATCACATTGACTAGAACATTCCGAATCATAAATGACAAAATAAGTATAATTTACGGTCGAACCGAACATTGATAATTATCAGATGTATATATGTATGTTTATATTTTCAAACACATTGAAATACTATTATGAAATATGAGCAATTAAAGTTAAAAAATTGAAACAGCTTTTTATTTTAACCCATAATATTATATGTACGTCCGTACAACCTCCATTCGTGTATATTTTCCAGTATTCCAAAATTGAAAGGAGGAAAAAGAGCTCCAAAAAGTGTATGAATATTAAACAGCTTACTTATTAAAACCTGCCGGTAGACGTAATGGTATTTTCTATATTGTAACTTGAAAGGATGTCAATTTTATACCAATTGTTAAGATCCATTTTTTTTGAGAAGTAGCTTTTATTAGAATATGCTGGGTAGAAATGCTATTTGTCATTCTTACACGCATTTTAGTTTGTAACCAATAAGGTTACATAAATAGTTGTTAAACCATTTTGCTCTACACAATAAATAAGTTCAGACCCCTTAGTTTACCTCTCTAAGATTGTGCAACATTACCCTTAAAATCGACAGAAAGTCGAATATACTTTTCAAACTTACACATACAGATTTATAAGGTCATCAATGTGATACATACACAATTAAGTCATTAAAAATTTTATGGACTCTTAGTGTCTTCCAACCACAATAATTATATACTTATAAAAATAGTCACAAATAATGTAGCCGGCTTCTAATGATTTATATACTTGACCTTTCCCATTGGTCGTGTAATGTCTAAAATAAACACTGACATACAAATATATAGGGGAATAAACCATTACTTTTCTTGAAGTCGGCTAAATATTTTAAGAAGGAAACTTACAATTATGATTAATATATAGAAAGTCATGAACTAATGGTAATATGCATAAATACATATAAAAGCTTTATAATCTTATAATTATATTATGTTATATTATATTGATAATACAGAATACTAATACTACAAATATTTGTAATAATTAGGTATCTAACAATTTTTTAACAAATTTTGTAGTTTCATCGGTTGCACAAAATCATCAATAAGGGCTGTTTATAACATATATAACATTACACATTTATAATTATAGAAAGTACTTGCAATAGGGAATATACGTGATTTTTTATACAATAGCTTACATCGTTATATAATAGTAAAAAAATATAAACTCCAAAAATTAAAACTTAATATTAAAAAAAAAATATTATCATACCGATACGGATACTTTAAACGCCTGCCAAATGGCAGGCGTGCCCGCTTGGTGTGACGTCACAGTATGATATATACAGAAAAATGACGACTCAATTAGTAAGCGACAAACTCCCTCATCGCTCTGTAATGATATACTCTGACGTCATATTCGGTCTGACCAATGGCTTTGCACTTTGAACTACTTCCTTAATAAAAAAGAATTACATACATCCTTAAAATAAAAAATACTAATATAAACTTAATTCAAAAGCAATAAAGATTATAAAAAAAACACTTTCATTTAAATCACGAATGTATTCCCTATTATATTATTATATAACACCAATAGATATGGATACATGACTATAATTGCATGCATTAATGTATATGTGTATTAGACACTAATTTATTCTATAGACTACTAGCGACTCACCTTCGCTTCGCTTCGGGTTCGTCCCTAGATAAAAACAAATCTATCCCACGGGAACCGTACATTTTTCCGGGATAAAAAGTAACCTATGTACTATTCCAGACTATAATCTGCCTCTGTGCCAAATTTCTTCCAGATCCGTTCAGCCGTTCTGTCGTGAAAGAGTAACGAATAATCCATCCATCCATCCTCACAAACTTTCACATTTATAATATTAGTAGGATTTGCTGTCTCCATATAATCACCAAATATAACAAATTAAATTTAAAAGTGTTATTTATCATAGAAAATATGGGTACTATAATATTTTCTTGATATTGGACACCAATTCGAATCTATTAGTAAAAATACACAAATTTTAAAATGAGTCTTAAATAAATGATTTTACCAATAATAATATTCATATCCTATACATTAAGATCTTTATACTTAAATTCAGACTGACTTAATTTTTTACATGCTTCGCATACAAGCATAGATAGAAGATCTTACAACTACGTATATCGGTAGAAAGAGATAAAAAATATAGTCTTTAACTTATAATCTAAAGTATTGGATTTATAAATATTTTGTACAAATATAATGTCAAACTTAATATATTTAAAAAAATCGCCTCGAGGGTATAGAAACAAGCATGTACGCCTGCAAATCCGAACGTTCTAGGTTCGAGTTCCGGGTAGGGCCAGGCATAATTATTGGAGATTTCTAAGATAAAATATTTAAGGTTAGTAAAGTCTTCGGTCCTGCGCCCGATCTCTCATCTTTGTGCTCATACTTGTACACTATATACATACCTCCTGCGCACATCGCCAGTCGCAGTGAGTTTAGCCGCTGTAGCCGATATCGGTTAGAGTACATTATTATATTATTATTAATGTTTGACATTATATTATACATAACTTTAGCACACTTAATAAAAAGAATTCGCTAGTGCGCTAATAAAAGAGAATATAACCAAGTTTTCGACGATCCACGCCACAATGAAAAGCTACACACTACTACACAATAGTTAATACATACTATAAATAAATATAATAAACATATATAAGATAAGATGACTTATATGTATAAAATTTAAAAATGCAATTTCGGTGCTATACTAGACCACATACAAAGTCTTTTCCACATACAAGTGATCACTCACTGCGTTTCCGATTCGGCAGGAATGCCGTGAGTCTCGTACCTCACTACACGGCCCTCGCTCACGTACACGACACACTCTAATCAAGAACCCGACTCATCAAGAGCGTTTTCTGCAGGCACATCTCGTTTTTTTATTTCCACCACGAAGTCGAGATACTTGTCTGGTTCGCTGTAGCGGTTCTGCAGCCTGAGGAAGTTGGCCGCCTGGTCCAGGGTCAGGTGGAAGCAGTCCTGGCGACTCACGTTGAGGGACGTGCTCTCGAGGTCGCTGTGCGTGGCGCGCGTGTACGCGAGCTTCCTGTTGTTCTGCTGTCCCGTTACTGTCACCTGTTAGGAATATATTTGAAAGATAATAACACAATAAAATTACACTCGGTATTTTCTTATATGTAATTAATATATCATTCGCCCAGCAAAGTTAATCTTAGAACACTTCTACTACTAATACAGCGAGCATTATACGGCGATTTGAATAGTGACAGATGTTCGGAGAGAGGAGAGTGAAAGCACGAGTACAGTGAACTACTGTTCACGTGAGAACGATATTACAGAATATTTCTTACAACTACTTCTTTGATTTCTAATATTATTATAGTTAGACTTATCTATTTATATTTATATAGTAAGGATATAATATTACATTTATTTGTAATTTTATTTTCCTTTTGTGAAAATATTGAGCCATAGCATATATATCAAGTCACCATGGTTTGACATTACAATATAGGCCTTGCAAATAGCAATCTTTGAATATTTTTTATTTTGTACGTCGTCATGACGTCACTATAAAAATGCACATGCGTAGTAACAAAAAGAAACAGCTCTTGCGATCTAACAGTACTAAGCAGGCTCCTGGTGTACCAAGAGAGCACAACTCAAGTGATTATTAATTATTATGACTACAATGATATATTAAGACTTAAATTAGAACATTTGAATGATACAATTATTACCACTTGAGGAAAACTGCATGTCTGAGAAAACCTAACAAGTTTTCGAAAGACATGTGAAGTCCGACAACCACCACTTAGCCAACATGGTGGACTTTATCCTGATTCTCCTTGTTAAAGGGCGGCTCAAGCCCAGCAGTGGGACGTTAAAAAATACTGTATACAATACATACATAATGTATTGTAATCAGTATTTTTCACATGTCTTTTGAAAACTTGCTAGGTTCTCTCAGACATGTAGTTTTTTTCAAGATGTCATCCTTCAGCGTAAGACATACATACATACATACACAGAGTGAACCTAATTTTCATATAAAAATTAATATTGTAGAAATGAATTTATTATTATAGTAACTTACCTTATAAGTGAAGTTGTTAGCATTGCATTTAGGGCCGATGTAGGCGACGTAGACCACGACGCCCCACGTGCGGATGTCGACGTCCACGCGCAGGTGGAACAGCTCGCGCGCCGCCATCACCAGCCAGTGGTCGTGCTGCTCCGTGTTCACCTTCATCGAGAACTTGTGCCTGCGACCCACTTTCAGCATCGATAGGTGTTCGCTCTGTGTACAATATTGTGTCACTATGCTTTATTGTATATGACGCGCAACAGATTTGTTAGTGATATCGCAATGCGCCATTAAACTTGTGCTGTATAAAACAATAAAAACAATTATGTATTTTTGGATGTTATAATGCATAAGAGTAAATGTTTCTGTAAAAGAAACACTATTAAGGAATATTTTTAATAATTAACATGTTAAAATTGTGAAATCTACACCAAGAAGCTCCTTAAGTAGTAAGGTACTAACTTCAAGTTACTACCAACCAGCAATTTTATTAAATAACTGTTAATCAAACATCGCGTAGAATTAAGTTATGCTTATATCACAACTAATTGAAATTAATTTTGTCCAAAAGTCCCACTGCAATCAGCTCAGCAATTTTAGAGTAATGTTGAATTAAATGAAAATCAACAAGCCATTTGGGCACTCAAATAATTTTTTTGACATTTCAACTTTATAATTTATCTTTATTAGTATAAATAATAATATTCTTCAGTCTGTGTATAATAATTTTTAATAAATGTATATAGGTCAAAGCTTTCAGACAAAAAAGTGATCTGCTGTCGTTAGTTTCGAGAACAGCGACTAGTGAAATCTAATAATGTCCAATAATGGTAGAATAATAAAAATCATTCGCAACGTTACACTAAATGGGCCCAATTATATTATTTTAATATTTAGACTATATGGTACCTTTAAACTGTCTGTTCTCAGTTGTATTACTTTATAATTTATTGCAAGGGACATTTTCTATTTGTTCTTGTATAAAAAAGAAAGAGTCTGACCGTCCCATCTCAAACGCACCAGGGACTCATATCTCACATGGAAGTGTGTCATACGCTGACGTAATACACATAGGAACATTCGCATACAATCTAATTAGTGACCGACCGAAGCTTCGTTTTCGGCCTTGTTTGGCCAAAAAATCATAATTCGGCCATATTTTTAGCCCTTAAGCCCGGCAATATATCGTATATAATATAGGTGATGTTCCGTTTCTCATCAGGGTATGTATGTGATTTCACTGAGCTGACTTAAACAAACCTTATAATATTATCTCCATAGATGTAAAAAAACGTGTGCGTACTTATGTACGCACGTAAGAAGTTATATTTCTTTGGTGCAACATAATAAAAATGGCTAAAGATTTTATTCCGTATGTAACAATTATCTGTTTGAAAAAGGAAACTAACTTCATCATGTCGCTTTTTGGCTGTCGGTGTGCGCGCGCATCGTAAAAATTTTACTCTCATTTTTTTCCAAACGTGTCAAAATAAATATAACCTCAAAAAAAAACATAAAATTTCAGTGCACAGAGGAAACCTAAATCATTTTCATTTTCGATCGAAAATAAGAATAAAGCCGTCTTTTTCGTTTTCGGCTGCAAATCCATTTTCGGTCGGACTCAAAATATAATAATAGCAGTTCGACTTCTATGTGTATTGTCTATATTGTAAGTCGCGGTCGGTGCAGCAGTGACCTGGAAGTGCAGCGGCAGGTCGGCGAGCGGCACGGGCGCGCGCTCGGCGCAGGCGGGCGCGGGGCAGCGGTAGCGCCGCGCCGCGCAGCTGGCCTCGTGCGCCGCGCGCCGCCGCAGCCGCGCGTCGCGCCCGCAGCCGTGCCGGCACGGGTAGCGCAGCATCTCGGACACCTGCATGTCAATATTTTAAGGGGCCATTCATTCTTTACGTAATTCTCAGGGTGAGGGGGGGGGGGGTCTAGAAAATCTATACATGCCCTTATCTGGGGGGAGGGAGGTAAAACCCATTCTTGCGTAATATTTTACAAGTTGAAACTTATTATTAAAAATCTATTTCGGATGCTGAATGATTTTCTACATTCCATAATGTGCATTTCGATTTACATCTTATTTTACAATTTTTTATTGTTTATTAAAATTATAAAATCTTAAATATATTCATTTTCATCCATTTTAAATGTTATAAATAATAATTATATTATAGTAAATAGTTCACGCGTATTTCCGATCTGATTCTTTTCTAACGTTTTATTATTCAGAAAAACTAGAAAAGTAGAGGGGGGGGGGGGAGTCGAGAAATCTTTCTTATCCTTACATGGGGTTAAAAATCGGAAAAATCATGCTTAAGTAATTAATGAATGGCCCCTAAAACGTTAATATTAATGTTATATGTTCGATGTTAATACTATTTTACGTTACATTCGTCTTGTTATATAAATATCCTAATGAATAATACTGCTACTATACTAAATATTTGTTTTATACTGATATCGAATCATAGGTGTTTAAAAACTTGAAAGCCTTGCAAAAAACTTGACCACTCACCGCCTCCATAGCGCGGTTGCGCACCGAGGAGAAGGGCGTGCGGCACACGGGGCAGGCGGCCAGGCGCGCGCGGCAGCGCCCGCACACCAGGTGGCCGCGCCGGCACTGCGACATGGGCGGCTCCATCACCTCCAGGCACACGGGGCACTCTAGCAGCCGCAGCAGGCTCTGCGGGCGGGGAGTTCACACATTACATCCTATACTACCGTCATAAAAAAGAAAGCTTGGTCAAAGTTGATTTCGAGATATGTAAAGTTTTGTCTTACTACTACGTCAAAATTACTACTATAACTCGGGCGAATCAACATGACTGGCAACCTGGCTCGAATGACGTTTGTGCAATGTACAGTGTGCAAAAAAGTTTTTGTTTCCATTTCACTTTCTCGGACGAAAACGAATAATATTCAATTTTTTAAACTTATGCATGTATATTATTAAATTACATAGATGTATCTATAGGTTTTAGGTAGTAAGTTGTAGTTGTCTTTCAAGTTATATGGAAATAGAACAAAAACAGTTATTCATATTTTTGAATTGGATTTATTAACTGAGATGCTATCGCTACTGCCCTCGCAAGGCGACGGCGGGCGCCACGCGGGGCAGCGGGGGGAGCGTCAAGTTCGAGCGAGGTGTCATGCTAATTCACTCGACTTGTAGTTTTGATGTATTTACGTTGAAAATGGTTATAGTATATGAATTCATAAGACTTAAAGCTTTATGAGTAAGACTATCAAGTAGCTTTTTTTTTGCTGATTCCGAAGCTGCACTTAAGTAATTTTTAACCAAAATGTTAGTTATGGCTTTGTTTATTATGGTAGCAATACAGCGGGACAATAGGCAATTCGAGCGTGGTTCTCACGCCATAAAAGTAATACATAATTTTAGCTGGCTGATCAATATTTTCAAGCAATAAAGTGATATATATAAATAGACCTTCATTTATGTATATTATGTTGTTTTCTTTATTGTATATGTATATTTAAGCCTTTAATAAAATACCTCACTAAAATACAATAATAATCCTAAAAAACAAGACAATATTTTAAGTATCAAATGACTTACTTGATTGAAATCTTTCACTGATTCGGGTTCAGCCTCCCCGTGTGCTGAAAAAAATAAAATATATATATATAAAATATTTAAACGATAAGTGCCTATAACAATACATTAAAGTTATACAATAATTTACTTACAGTCTCGTTTCCTCTTAACACTTTGTGATATTTGTGCTAAAGCAGTTGTAGGATTTTCTGCCGGTGGTTCCTATGAAACAAATTATGTATGGAACAAAGTGTTTTTGCTTTTACTACATACTAGAAGTTAATATATTTTATTATTTTTGATGTTACAGAATGTTTCAGTTTCGTATAACAGTCGAATAAAATAAGCTACGTAATCGAAATTTTACGAGAGAGTTTAAATTTTTGATCAAACTGTTTATAATGGCACTACATAAAATTTTGTTAAAATCAGGTCAGTTTGGCGTGAAATGGACACAGATATGTAGACAAACAAACAAAAAAATTCAGCAAATATTGTTTATTCTGCACACGTAACATTCATGGTTTTTAGAAAATATTTCATGTTCAGATTTCACTTTGTTACAATTTTATTAAATGTATAGATTTGCACACGAGTGTATAATAAATGTATATTATATAAAAACTTCTAAATGCTCCAAACTATTTTTAAATATATAAAAAAAAATATATAAAAAATTCGACTGCGTAAATAGTCGGAGAAATATGTATGTACATACGTTTGACTCGCAGTCTGTACAGCACTCGTAAAGCATGCACGTCTCTGACTGCATAATACTATGTTCCGTTCAACTTGTTCCACGCAGTCAGATTTTTTTTTTATTTTTATAATTTAATTTGTTTAAAAATCGGACAAAAAGTTGTATGAAAAGTCATGTCTTTTGAAATTAGAAAGAAGAAATACGGATATATTGCGCCTTATAGTTTAAATTAACGGTGGAACACAAATAAGTAGTCCAATAAACATACTCCATACCTCACGGGTGTCTGCCTCAGCGTCTTGCTCGGGCTGCGCCGGCGCGTCCTCGTCCTCCGCCTCCCGGGGCTCTGCCCCGCCGCCGTCGACCTCCTCTATATCCTCTTCCAGAGACGCCCCCTCTCCTGATGTATCCACTGTACAAATCCTTACAACTTACTTATGTTATAAACGCGACTTTTGTAAATTTAGTTTGGCCGGCACTTAATCGCTTCATTATGAAGGCATATATTGACAAACTTTTCTCGCGGCTCCGCTTGCATAAACTATTTTATGTATAACTGTTGCGATCCCACTGTCGTAGCGTGATAAATAAATAAATAAGTTGGGACATTAAAACACAACACCGTCTAGTTCCATGGTAAGCTACGAGGCCTGTGTTATAGATACCAGATAGTTGATACACTAAACTTACATAACTTTAAATAAATATATATTATATATATAAACACCCAAACTCTATCTTTAGATAGATATAGAGATTTTAGAAAAAAAAGAGGTCAAACTCAGTGAGATTTGCCGCCGTTGCCGAAACCAGACAGGAGGACATTTTAATAGCTAACCTTATCATTTATAGAATTAGAAATATCCATTAATGACAATTTTTGTGAATAAAATTTATGCGGGAAAACACTTTCTTTAATAAAAATTTAATTTAGTAAATAACAACTTACTGTCCGCATTTTCTTGTTCTTCAGCATTATCATCATTATTTTCATTTTCTGGTGACATTGATCGCGGTGGTTCTATTCAAAGGAAAGAAATAGAATGAAAAATAAAATCATTTATTTCACTAAAATAAGCCAATCGTATATTATATATATTTTTATATAATTACTACTTGATTGATAAGGATTGGTTAAGGTTTGCCATATACGTCTCTAGAACGTAAAACTCAATTAACAACAAAAAGTAACAAAGGGACATACATACATTTTGCATCCATGTGCATTGTGTAGGTATATATTAAAAAGAATATTGAAATATTTTATTTTAAGCCATGTATAACGTAAATAATCACAAACCTTCGTCGGAATTTTGTTCTCGTTCGGGCATTTGTGAAGCGCGCGCTGAAGCGGCGGACGCGCTCGACGCGTCAATCACAGCGGGGATTACTGACCGAACAAAAAAAAAACATTTATTTTATATTACTAACACAAATGAAATATATTTGTTATATAGCTGGGTGGAGAACGTATTCACATCAGAATAGCAAGCTCAAACCATGTTCATGATTAATTTTCAAGATCAATCCATAGCTAGTAGTGGAATATAGTGACTACAATGAGCCCCTGAACCTAAGCTCATAAAATCTATACATATAATAAAATTGTAACTAAGCCGAATCTGTACATTAAATATTTTTTGGAAAATCTTATTGAAATAAACATTATTATCGATACAGAGGCCGAATCTATATTTTTTAGAATTTTTGTCTGTTTGTCTGTTTGTTACCGCATCACAGAAAAACCACTGGAGGGATTTTGATGTAATTTGGTATGGTAATAGCTGGCTATCCGGGTCAACATATAAGATACTTTTTACTGCGGAAAAATATCTCATTTCTGAGAAAAAATACAAAAACTGCAATGTAAGAGTATACTAATATGTAAAACCTAAGAATTTGGTTTTTGGTCATCTGAACGCGGGAGGAGCCGCGGGCAATGCTAGTATGATATAAAAGCATACAGAAGCTCCTCATACAATGTTTCATAATTTGACACTTGCAAAGAACAACACTGTAACTCAACTTTTGGTAAATTAAAAATACTTTTTTTTAATTATTTTCTACAACTATCCAATATTGTTCTTTCCAGGCAAAGATGTAAATTCATATATGTTACATACATACAATTTAATATATTGTAATAAAATAATTTGAAACAAAAGATACGCACTACTACTTCTAGTGCAGGGAAGTGGCGCTCGAGAGCTGGGCCGTCTTCTGATACGACTTATCTTAAGAGCCGTGGCCATATCGGACTGCATCGGGCTAAAAATTATGTTCCTGGATGTGCCTTAAAAGAAAATATAAATTATTTAATTTACAATATCAATATTGCGTTTTTAAGTACATTCATTTATAAGTATTTTGATATATATGTATGTATGTATGTATGTATGTATATATATATATATATATATATATATATATATATATATATATATATTATATTTTTTTAGTATCAACCAAAATGTAAAATATTGAGTTTATATTTGTGGTATATGGAGAATGATAAAATCATTCCAAGGAACAAATAAGTCATAATATACAATATGTCGCTGAAAAGACAGAAATGCATATTATGAATATATGTATGTATATTTGTCTTAATATTTATAATAACACTGCTACGTCACGTTTAGCTTTTTAATTCCCATTCGAGTTATTCTCAATTCTAGAACTCGATGCTTACCATACTCTGGATGACGGCACATGTTCGTACCTAAATTGCGGGTTAATCTCTTAATTGCCAGTATACGTTGTATGTTCGTGACGGGATTGTTCAAATCTACACGCTCACCTGTTGACTCATAGGCGCTGCAAAATAAAAATAAATAAAAATTATCCCATTTTAGTATTGTTTATATTTACTTTTTAATATTTATACTATTTATTATATTTATATTTGAATTTTACCGCGAGGGCCCTGGAGCACTCATTCTATTAGGATTATTCAATAACGACCAGAAAAGGTCTCGCTCTAGTCTCGTTTGGTTTCTTCTTGTTGGTGACATTGAGGGTGCAGATGTACCTGCTCCTATGAAAAGAAATTTTGGTAAATTAAAAAAATAGAATTAGAAAACATAACTAGATATTCTTTATGTAAATAGTGCAGGTTTACTTTACTTACCACTAGGTCCAGAGTGATGTGAAGTGTGACTGTCTGGAGGCCTTCTACTAACAGAAGGTGCTGGTTCTGGATTAGATTGTGGATTGTCTTCATCATCTATAGTACATATAATAAATTTATTATACATATATAGTCCATATAATATATTTATTATGAATCGTGAGTTACAGCGAATAGAAAGGAGCGAGAACGGTGATATTGGTTATTTTGCGCCGTGTCCTATCCTATAACCCTGACGCAAAGTCAAAGGGAGCTGACTATATAAGCTAAATAATGAGACTAGATTTATGTTTTTAAGACTAATACTTTGTAATTATTAATTAAGACGATATAGACGATTTTGTTATGGTCCACATTTCTGACCTGGTACCCGTATGTTTCATGGTGATTTTAAAGATGTTTCACCTCAAAAATCCGAAAAGATAGTTTTATTTAAAATGCTCAACCTCAACTTGAGACAGTACTTGCCAAATTTTGCCAGAGTGAACATTTCACACCTTTGGGACTTTCTATCCACACATACTAGTTTAATGGCTTTATGCCATAAACATTCTATCCCCATTAAATATAGAAAATATAAGTCAATCTGACATAATTACATAAATAATAAGTACATTAGGAATTTACTGATGAGCTCCAGTATTATCCAAAATATCTGTTTAAATCTACTAAGATATTATATTATAATGTTAATTGTGTTGTTTTAAATAAATCAATGTTAACATAATAACTATTAATTAATTCCTTTAACTGAGTATGATACAATCTGTGATATTTACATAAGAAATCTTTTTATAAAAAACTAGTGACACACCTCGCTTTGCTTGGGCTCGTCCCTAGGTTGATTCCCCATACAAACTTTCATTCCCATTTTCACTCCCTTAAGGGATGATTGCCAGGATAAAAAGTATCCTATGTCCTTCCCAGGGTCTAAAACTATCTTACCAAATTTCATCTAAATCGGTTCAGTAGATCCAGAGATTACCCCTTACAATGTCACAAACTCACAAACTTTACCTCTTTATAATAGTAGTATAGATATCATTATTTGCACCCTACTAGATCCCATACTAACCATATAATTATTTGACTATTTGGTTTTTAAGGGGCTATCTTCTTAATAATTTCTAAAATAATGAAACTGTGGCTGCTGTTATATAGTATGCAGTCCCTGTGGGGATGGGTTATATACATACATATGAAAAATAGAGAATATACCAAAGCTTGTGATATTGTAAAGTTAATATTTAATAATATTTTGTTTTAATAGAATTTGAAATTAAGTTTAATATATCTTAAAATATGTATTAATCTTAGATTTAACTAATTTTTTATCTTCTACAAGCAAATTTATTTTGTAATAAATGTTCAGATTTATGGAGTTAAGCCTTGAATTATATAACACTAGTCAAAATATTTATGGACCGCATTAAAATAAGTATTTCCATTGCACTGCATTTTGTCATGCTTCCACATCACTTAAAGGTAACAATGTTGAATACAAAGCTTATAAAACATAAATAGAAAATGTCATGTTTTAAAACTACTTTTATTTATTATATCATTCAACAAGTCCACATAATTTCAATCAACCAAATCTTTGGTAATAAGCTACTTCGATAACTATAAATTTTAAATATTCATTATTACCATAATATAATATACGTGAATTAGGTATTACAATAGTCAGAAAATAACAGTAGTACAACATTTTGAATGTTAATAGACATATCACAATAAGTAAGATATCATCTTGTTTGTATTCTAAAATGCACCAAGAAGTTTATATAATTAAGTACGTTTCTTACTTATATCTACGTAGGTACGTAGAATTCAATATTATGATGTTCACAAAATGGAGGGTAGTACACTGTATACATATTTGATAAAAAATAATAGCAATGCGAAACGGAAACAGACGAAAAATCAAACAGGTTAATACTTGAGGTTTAAGCCCTTACCGAGCCAATGTTTAATGTTTTGTTTTAAGTAATTGAAATATTTCATTATTATCCCGTTTAAATACATAAATGAACCTACCAGAACTCCATGGATATTCTGTTAGTCCGAGAGACTTTTTTAAGCTTTCCTTTCTGTTGCTCATCTTATCGTCTTTATAAAACAATCAAAACGATCGTACAATCTGTTAATAAACACTTAAACAAATCTCTACATTAAAACCGGAGTCCTACAATAAATAACCACTGGTTCTCCAATCTCCAGTTTGAGTTGACATAAGTATCATAGACCAAGCACAATAAGTATGATATGTACCATAGAGTATGTAACCCTTGTAAATTGTAATATGTACACCGTAAAATAATACTATACTATACTTCTACGTGTCAACTACAAACTTTATAGGATGGTGTCAAATAACAAAATAATTATTCAATGAAATATAAGCAAACCGTGAACAAGGCTACAATTTACAAAGTACAAACATGCTTGCAAAATATCTTGCATATACAAATAAAGAAAAGTATTAATTTCTAGAAATTAGTAATCTACATTTTCCATATTTGTGGAATAAGATCTTAGAGTATACATATGCTATCCATATTATGTATACTCTAGCTTATGTATACTCTAAAATTAAGATATTGCGAAATATATTGAAGAATAATTTTTCATCTTAACATTAAGGCTTATTTATTCTAAATAATAATTATACAAAAAATAATAGGTTACATTTTTGGCCTTATAATTTTAATGTCTGTTCTAATTTTTGAATGCGTGCTAAAATTACGATATTTTTTTATTTTTATATTCTTTAACTTTTTTAAAAGAACTTCACTTACAAGCTCTGGTTTTTTCTTATTTTATTAATCAATTATCTTTGCTTTAACCATGCTTTAACCATCCATGGCTTTAACAGCGAATAGAACAAAATTTTTACTTCAGGCTACACTAAGAACAATACTATAAAATATAGTTTATCACGAAGATTATAAGAAAGTAAGAAAAATTGCAAAAAAATGATCCAATGATCTTTTAAAAAATATTCCAATTCTTTTTTTTGGTTAGTTATACTTTTAAATAATACAAAAAAGTCTATTTTTAATTTTCTGATGTTGGCGATATTGCCTTACAATTCAAACCGCTTTCATGACAATTCTTATTTTAACCAACAAAACAAGCCTTCAAATTTCAATGCAAACTTAAAAAAAAGGTTCAGACTTTAGATCTGAGATCATATATTAACTAAGCGATTAAAGTGATAAATATGACTGATTTACCGTATCAAGTGGAGTATGCTAAAACTGGGCGAGCTTCGTGCAAAGCATGTAAAAATAAAATTGATCAAAGTGAAGTACGAATAGCGATTATGGTCCAGGTAAAACTACCACTATAAATGCTGTATTATGTATTATAAGTTTAAGACAATGATGTCATCAAATGTATTAAAATATATAGGCCTCTTTTGATCATAAAATCAAGTATTAAATGGTACTGTAACAAATTCAATAACAATAATATTTTACCGGCGAATAGCTTACTTTATGAACTGAACAGAAAAGAAGTGCGTATTTTTCGTGATAATTTAATAAGTAGGTCATATTTTTATAACAAAACAATATTTTAATACTCTTACTATTAATAAATACAAAGAAGTACATTTCCAGATCTGTATCAAATTATTCTCATGTAGGATTTATTTTATTTTAATATTAAAAATTAAAATCCTATTGTATATAGCGAAATTGCATAATTCTGTTCATATGCATATCAGCTATGATTGTATTAATTTAAAAAAAAAATTAAAATCAGTTAACTTTATTAGCTTCTTGCTTGTTGTTATAGTCAGCATTTCATGATGGAAAACAACCAAACTGGCACCATGAAGAATGTTTTTTTAAGAAAAAATGTCCAGGAAGTATTGCTGAAATTGCCAATTTCAATAAATTGAAAAATGATGACCAGACTAGAATTAAAAGCAAGCTAGGTATGGAATTAATATTAACTTGTTCTATTTGAAACCTGTTGACTAAATTATAATATATAAATATAAAATGTACACTTATGATTGTTATACAAAAAAACAATTTGTTTATAGCCTAATCTCTAGTATATTGTTAAGCAGAAAAAAGATACAGTGTTGATAAAAAAGCATTATTATTTCAATATGGGCAATTGATGATGATGATGTTCTCCTAGCTGATTCCGGCTATGGCGGCCAATCTCATTGAGACTAGCCAACTGCGCAGGTGATTTTATAGTGCACAAATGTACGTGCAGGCACAACATACACTCTCTATTCCTGTCACTCTCATACTCCGGTGGGACGACTGCTCGACACGAACGGTGAGAGTTAAGGCGCAGGACCGACGGCTTTACGTGCTCTCCGAGGCACGGGGTGAAACATCGCCAACTTTCCAACTCCGGGCTGTTACTGAGACTTACTATACAGAAAAATTGAATAACTAAACTTGGCCAGACCCGGGACTCGAACCCAGGTCCTCCGAGTGTGCAGCCGTACATGCTAGCCACTACACCACCTGAGGCAGTTAATTTGGGGAATTAAAGACTAATAACCAAAAGTCAAATTAAATATGTACATGAAAGTGCCAGAATTCAAATACTTCCCATTTATCTCAAAAAATGGGGAAAAGCCCCTTACTTCTGTTTATATGAAAATATTTTCAACCCACTACTTCAAAATGGAGGAAGTTCTTAATTCCATAAGCGAGAAAGAGATTGCGGTCCCTATAGCTCTCGTTTATCAAGGTTCCACTATATATGCGTATTGAATTTGCTTTATTGAAAAGGTTTTTTTTACTATTCAAGCATATGGCATAAAATTTGATATAATTGACAAAATTCAAAAAAGAAATGATAGTCAATTTAGATATGTGTTTATTTAAGTATGTTACACATTATTTTCAATTCACAAGAGTTATTTTAATGATAGTTTACACATTTATACCTAAAGGTGGCTTTTATCTATAATGTAATACAATTCTGAGTTGAATCTGTACATTATATATTTTTTGTATATCATGTCCTAAAAATGCAATTAAAATTAAAATTTTAAACTCAGTAATAGGAATTTATAGTCCAATATATACATTATTAACTATTTTTACATTTAGCAATGTTTGTGTCCATTCTTAATGTAAAGAGTAAAGACTCATTTAAACCAAGAAAAAATGAAAAGCATGCTTGAATCTCGCTGATTTTTTTATTGAAGCTTTATATGGGCTATGATATAAATTTAATCAAAACTTACAAATGTCTTAAAAAAATCGAAATTGTCATTTGTCCAAATCCTGTGCTCATAAAAAAAAATGTTACTTATATATGTTACGTACTTTTCGTGTATATTTTGAGTCTTATGTAATACATTATCCAGTATATCCATTAATTAACATCATGTAATAAATGATTGTTATGTTTTCAGGTGGTTCTTCTTCCGGTATTGTTATGCCTGCTGAAAAAGGGAAAAAAGGCAAAGGTGCAAAAAGAGAGAATTCTGATAAAACAGCTCTTTCTAATTTTTCTATAGAATATTCTAAATCTAGCAGAGCTTCATGTAAACACTGTGATATTAAAATTTGTAAGGTAATTTGATATTTAGTAGCATTTTATTCGGAAACGGCTCCAACGATTTTCATGAAATTTAGCATGCAGGGGGTTTTGGGGGCGATAAATCGATTTAGATTAGTCTTATGTCTGTCTGTCGCTAATTTCGTATGCTCGGGCATAAGCATCGTGGTCAAGCGGCCAAGGATGATTATCATAGGTGTCCGGGCTACAATCACCAAACTAGCACGCTTTCAAAGGCTGGCACTGTCTGCTACCAGTGGATCCATGAAAACAACCCCCACAGCAGCAATAGAGGTTGCGCTCCAGACAACACCCCTGGACCTATTCATACAGCAAGAAGCGACTATGGCTGCTATAAGACTGATGCATTTAGGTCTATGGGGTAAAAACCACCATAGTGCACACACATCCATACTGGATAGGGCAATAGGACACGAACCACTTATTGCTGCCCCGTGTGACAGAACACACAATAAATATATATTCAACAAAAGATATAAAATAACTATGAGAGAAGAGGAACAAGACCACTCACCTGCCAATGAGCTACGGATTTATACTGATGGCTCAAAGACACGTGAAGGCTCAGGAGCCGGTGTATTTTCCCTTGATCTCAACATCAAAATACAAATACCATTAGGCATACACAGCTCGATTTTCCAATGCGAATGTGTAGCCATAACGGAAGCCGCAAGAACCGTGTATAGTCGTGAAGTAAACAACTACAATATAAAAATACTCTCCGACAGTGCAGCAGTTCTGCAGGCGCTAAATAACAAACAAACCAACAACAAACTAATAAGTGAATGTCACAATGCCCTGGACTTGATATCAACAACAAATCAGGTCACCCTTCAATGGATCAGGGCACACAGTGGTTCACTTGGCAACGATGCAGCTGACGAACTTGCAAAGAGGGGGTCAAAACTAGAAGTGACTGGCCCACTCCCGCTTCTCCCCATACCCTTCGCACAGATTCCCACCTGGATCCGCCAAAGATCCACGACATTACAAAACAACAGATGGTCACAAACTGCAGACTGCAGACAATCAAGATCAGCTCTGCCTGCAGTAAACCCACGACTTACAAAACGCTTAATAAACCTCAATAGAACAAATCTCAAAATAATGATAGGGACGATAACGGGCCACTGTCCCTTGAACAAACACCTATATAACATAGGCGCAACGGACACCCCTCTGTGCAGAGGGTGCCTCGGCGCTGAAGAAACAGCTGCCCACGTAATCCTGGAATGCGTAGCGGTAAGTTCTCAACGTGAAGAAATCCTCGGACCAGTGAGGTCGGTCCGCGAAGCCTGTGAAGTTCCCAGGAAACTTCTGCGCTTCTGGGCGGAGCTAGGCTGGCTAATATAGCCAGGATTCGCACGCACAACGGACCAGAAGAGTGTCTAAGTGCGGAAAACGAGTCCACCTTACATTACATTACATAGGTGTCGGGGTTTGAATCCCAGTTGTAGAAGTCCCAAAATTGTACTCTTGGCTTAAAACTCCGAGCGAAGCTCGGTCGCCCAGGTACTAGTATATAATATGTAATATATAATTTCTTTAATAGTTATATGATTTCTGTTAAAATATTACACTTTATATGATTTTCTTTTATATACAGTAAAAAATATTATTTCAGTACCTTAGAGATCATAAAGTTTTTTATCAACAGGCTGTCATTTGAATCACAAATAGAATTGCTATAAAAGAGAAATAAAACTCTTATAAAAATTTGGTAATCAAGAAACTACAGAATGAATTCGTGTGAATTTGATTGTAATTTGATGAATTTCATGTATATAATCTGATTATTGCTCAATAGTTTAACCAAAACACTATATTTACATAACACATATCTTTTATAATTACAAAAATTAATTTAATAATTGTTGACTGCCTTATAAATTATAATATAGTAAAAGAAGCATTATTAATGAAACAATCTTTTTCTAGGATGAAGTAAGAGTATCTAAATTGGAATATGATCCAAAGTATGGAGATCATCCTAAGTGGCATCATGTTAAATGTTTTGCCGAACTCAAAAATGATTATTTGTTTTTGGCGGGTGGAGAAGACTTGCCTGGCTTCAAAAGCCTTAGTAAAGAAGATCAAACAATGGTTAAGGATATTATAAAGTATGTATATTTTTGGTTGTTAGTTTTATTTTTAGTTGTTATAATAAATAACAAATTTTTAATATATTTTTTTTATGTTAGGGTATCTAAATCTGATGAAGTAGAAGTCAAAAAGCTAAAATTAGAGCCAAAAGATGAGAAGGAGATTAAAAAAGAAAAAGAAATTGAAAAGAAAATAGAGAAACAAAATAAATCCTTTCATAAGTATCGTAGTGCTCTCAGTGAACTTACCAAAAATTATTTACAAGAGTTACTTGAAAGTAATTCACAAGAGGTTATGACTCGTGATGAGGTAATATAAAAAGTAAATAAAAAAATAAATAATTACATATTTCAGTTATGATTTAATTATTCATTACTTTTATTGTTTCCATAGTAAGTTGATATTTTTTTGTAGTGTTTGGATCATTTAGCTGACATAATGACGTTTGGTATCCCTGAACCGTGTCCAGAGTGTAAGGGCCAGCTTGTGTTGGATACTTTCTATTACAAGTGTACTGGTAAGTCTCTTTAAGTACTTTATGTTTAAATTGGTAAAAAAAAAGAAATAGTATTGCTAGAGTAATTTTTTTAGAATTATTCAGTTGATGATTCTGTTTCAACAATCATTTTAGTAACTAAAATCTAAATACATTGACATAACATTTTTTCAAGTAGCGGTGAAGCAGAAAAATTAAGAATCTTATGTTTTATTTGTTTTTTTTTTATTTCAGGTAATATAAGTGAATGGTCGAAGTGTCGGTACACAAATAAAACTCCTAAACGAACTCCAATGAAAGTTCCTAAAGCATTTAAAGATGTAAAACCTTTTAAAGGATTCAAACCAAAGTGCAGTGATCGCATATTTGAAAGTGAGCCACCGCCTACTACAGTTGTAATAAAGAAGGAAGAGTCGGGAAGGTATAAAGACGTCAAATAACCATTTTAGTGTAGTAATTTAAAATTAATTCATTAATGTAACACATAAATGTGTCTTTTTATTTATTTGTTTATGCTGGTTTTGGTATAATTCATCCGACCCACAATCAGGGCTCAATAACCTGTTCAATTTAAACCGGTTTACATTTTGTACGTTTTCATTTGGCGATACTTTGATAATGGAGATTTTTTTAAGTAGAAGGATTCATGTACGTTTCTTACTTATGAACGATTGAACCGATTTATAATAAGACAAGAATAATCGTTTACCATTATCATTTCGGCACTAAACGTTCGTTTTAATTAACCGGTTAATGAACTAGCGATGATTTACCATTACATTGCCAAAATTAACAGTTTTTTTAAACTTGTTCCGAGCCTTGCCCACAACTGATAAAATATTACTTGAGTACCATCAGCATATGATCAGATGAAAGTAGCACTGGAAAGCCATAGATTTTCTAATATGAATACAATAATTATACCAAAAAAAAGTACATACATACTACAGTATTTTTTTGTCAAATTTCTTTTTTTTTACTAATTATCGCTTAATAACACAAAATATTAAAATTATCCAGTTCGCAGAAGGAAATGCCAATACCACCACTAAAAAATCTCCAATTCTTCCTATACGGTAAACTCAAGTCCAAAGAGGACGTAAAGCACCGCATCCTCAAGCTGGGCGGCCTCGTGGTGAGCAAGCTCACGGACACGCTCGCCGCCGTGGTCTCCACCAAGGCAGATCTCGAAAAGATGAATGGCAAGATGCAGGACATACAGGAGAGCGATATTGAGGTAGGGGTATCGTTATAATAACCTAGGTTCCTATTATATATTGTTTTCGGCTCTTTTTGACGTCCTACTGCGGCAAGGCACCTTTTTAACGGCACCCTTTACTACTAGGCGAAACTGGCCATAGTCCATCACACTAGTCAAGTGCGGGTTGGTAGACTTTACATGTCTTTCTAGATTCTTTCAGACATTCAGGTTTCCACAGGTTTATGTTTTCCTTCACCGTAAGACAAGTTGTAATCATGTTAAAAAAATTGATTTGCACATGAAAATATCAGAGGTACCAGGCTCGGGATTTGAACCTGTTTCACTCGGTTTCCTAAGCATGTGCGTTACCACTGGGCTACCACTATCTACTATATACTACGTTATTGAAAAGTTTCAGTATCCATCACATATCTCTATCAGATTAACGCGATAGTATAAATATATTGTATTAAAATATCATTTGAGTAATGAATATCATCATAACACAACATTTATATTTGGTGTAGCTGACGTATTTTAAAAATATTGCTAACTTTAACTTCGATGAACTTTGTAGATTTAAATTTAGCGTCCCGCAATGCTATATATATCCGTTATAATTCAAAATCATGGTTACATGAACTTGAGGTAATTAATTAGCAATCCTGGACAAAATCGTAGCTAAAACTAATTAATCATAGATCTCACTCATTTTCTATTTAAGAGTTTAATTTTTACGACTGTTCGCCGAGTGGTCGAAATTCGATCATAATCATTATTAAAAATTTAAGAAAACATAAGATAAAAAAACTGTTTTTTTTTATTGATAACACTCAAGCTATGGACGCATAACTATTAAACAAAAAATAAAAAAGAAAATCTGTTGACAGAGGAGAAAAAAGCTCTGAACTGTTTCGTCTTATTTATATATTTATTTGAATTGTTTTAGGTCGTTGAGGAGTCATTCCTGGATTTAATTGATCCCAAGAATGGAAGCATTTCAAAAACCCTTGAACTTATAAAAGAGAATAATATTGCAGATTGGGGATCGGACGTAAGTATTAATGGCACCACCTTATTTATATTTTAGCATTTTTTTAAATGTTATATTTGTTTTTTTGTTTTGAAATAGCCCACCAAACGCGTACCGCAAGACGTCTTAGATGGAAAATCCATTCCAAAGTCGGGAAGTATGTATGCGAAATCAAAATCGAAGAGCACCAAATTAAAAATCAAAGGTAAGACATTTAATTTCAAACGTTTAATACATATAGTATATCCTTAGTATACATACATATTTCAATTTAATAGATATTTACCTCAGACGTCTTAATGAATATTATTCCTTATTTAACTAGTTATTTTTCCCTGAAAATCTTTAAAAAAATGTATGGATAATGTAAAAAATAAAAGTGGCGATTTCGCACCAGAAAATGAATAACGCGCAAAAATTCTTCGTACTTGAATGACCATGTATACCAATTTTTATGACGATTGATTGAATGTAGATGTTAATGCTTTGCTGGGCCATCACATGGCGAGCTACAACAAAGTAGTATTCATAAAACCCCTTCTGAAAACACTTACATATACGAGTCAACATTTCAAAACAATCGGCTAAGAACTCTTGGAATTTTTTTTTGTTCAGTTTTTCACAAACGATAATTTTTTCATCAAGAACTTTAATATAAATGATTTATTTACTCGCCATTGAAGGTGGTACAGCAGTAGATCCAGACTCTAACCTCGAGGACGTGGCGCACGTGTACCAGGACCGCGAGGGCAACAAGTACACCGCGGTGCTCGGGAAGACGGACGTGGTGGCCGGCAAGAACTCTTTCTACAAGATACAGGTGCTGCGCGCCGACACTAAAAACAAGTGAGAAAATTCTAATTTATTCACATACATACATTCAGCTCTTTTTAACGTCCTACTGCTGGGCATGTTTCTCCCCTTAGCGCAAGGGGGATCAGGCTATAGTCTACTACGATGGCCAAGCACGCGGGTTGGCGGGCTTTACGTGTTGAATAAAAGCTTGCAGCTTCCTGGCACTGGTAATCATATTTAAAAAAATAATCCCACATGAGAATATAAGATATGTAAGGCGCGGGATTTGAACCCGCTTTGTCAAGTGAGTGCGTTACCACTGGGCTACCACTATCTATTGTCTTACTAATCTATTTTTTACTTCTACTAACGAAATACGCTCGCTTTGCTCGGGTGCGTCCCTAGGTACGTTTTAATTTGATAAAAATAGTTATTGCAGATATGCTCTTTCAAATACATTTATCGGTACGACACATGCTACCTACTGTAAATTAGTTGTACCATGCCTATAACCTACGTGCACGAAATACGAACAAACAAATAAACATTGATTTTTATAAATATAATAGATTTGTATTTCATGTTCAAACTATGGTTTGCACTTTGCACTCTAATGTCAATTTATTTGAAGTAGTAAATAGATTATTTTGACTTAATTTAGTACATTCTTATGTGGGATAGCATGTTCATTTCGAAGGGTTTTAAGCAGTTGTTTCTATTTATTACTTTAAAAAACTTGAACTCTAGACAGCCCGAAAAAAAATATATATAATACTGTTCCTCATTATTTTGTTTTAGATTTTGGGTGTTTCGTTCCTGGGGAAGAATTGGTACACCCATTGGTGGCAATAAAGTGGAAGAATGTAAAACTCTCGATGAAGCCATCGATAAATTTGAATCTCTTTATGTGGACCGAACTAAAAACTCATGGTTAAAACGCCATAACTTCGTCAAGGTAATTAATTTAATTAAACAGAAATCAATGATTTTATGTATTTTCAACGGCACAATAAACAATGTTTCTCAATTCGACCGTATATATTTTTTTTATGTTTGTTCGCGGATATCTTCGTCGTTTATGAACCGATTTTAATGAGACTCAACTTTTTTTTTTAACGTTGGGAAATGCATTTACGCACGAGGTGTGGGACTCTCCGGCGTAATAAAGCCAGTACTACCCACTAAAACCCAACAAAGCCTTCCCCCGTTTTAATGAGGCGTCGCACACGCGCGTAACACACATCGGGGGGAGAAAAACTATGCCTGCAGTAACACTATATAAACTAATTTTAAGCGTCCATTTATTATATTTTCATATACCTAGATGCCGGAAGCGTACTACCCAATAGACATGGACTACGGCGAGGACGCGCCGGCCGCGCTGCACACGGACGCGGGCTGCTCGCTCGCCATGCCCGTGCAGGAGCTCATACAGATGATCTTCAACATCGACAACATGAAAAAGACTCTTTTGGAATTTGAGGTTGCTATTTCTTCCTATATATTGTATGGATTGGTACATTCTGTATACATAATGAAATAGTTAATAAGTCTTAAGTCGTTGTTATGTGGATTATACCACAATGTTTGTATAAACCATAAAAACATTTTTAAAAAATATTTAAGTTATAATGATTATCTGTATTTACTTTTGCAAATGGTAATTATCCATATGAATTTTTTAATTGTTTGTTTGTCAAAATGTTATAAAAGAGAGAAAAGTTATTTCTTATTAAATACATAATAATCTATTTTTAAATAAATATCTATCAAAGAATAAGGCATGACTTAATAGTTTTAACCGTTATATATATTCATACGTTTTTGTTAAATTAGAGTTTATTCTTACTGGTTGAAAGATAAATAGTGAAGAATTACGTAATAATAGTTTCTTATTATTTTAGCTTGACACAGAAAAAATGCCTCTTGGAAAGCTTTCTAAAAAGCAAATTAAATCTGGATACAGTGTACTGTCAGAGCTACACAAATTGCTTGAGAAGGGCGCCACTAGTGAGAATAAAATTATTGATGCTACTAACAGGTCTCTCTTACTATTTTATTTATCTCGGATATGGAAAAAAAATGTGTGACAAGTGGCAAAAAAAATCATAAAACTAAATAAAAATAACTAAAATTAATAATACTCAATAACTTAATTTTACGTAAAAATTACTTATCTTCATTATTTTAATATGATGTTACACCATTCATGTACTAATCAGAAATCTTGTACAGAAATTAAATTCTCTTTAAATTTTTAGGTTTTACACATTGATTCCACATAGTTTTGGTACTGATAACCCTCCACTCCTCAATAACATTGAGGCTATTCAAAATAAAACTCAAATGTTGGACAACTTACTTGAGATTGAGATCGCCTACAGCTTACTTCAGACAGGTAATTATTGCGTTTTATTACGAAATATTTTCTCTAGCAAATTATATTAAATATAACAAAAATAATTCTATTTCTTCATATGATATTGGTGAAATAATCTGTGCTCAACCGGCACGCTTTGAAGCCATTAATAAGAAAATTGAATTGAATTAATCCTATTTCTGATTTTGTAAGTAATTATATGTGAATGGATAAAGATACTCGATACAAGAAGTATCTTTAACGCCGCCAGGTAAATTTCTAAGAAATTAATTAAATTTCTAAGAAATCTATTGTTAAGAGCTGTAACGCTGTCGTGTCCGCGCTCGTGGAGGGATTAAACAAGTAGTAAACTATCGACGTAGCAAAAGTTTTCAAATAAAAGTAGACATACAAAGAAAATAAAAGTAAAGAACAATAGTCCCGAAGAGATTGTCTTGAAAGTTTCATATGAGAGGATGTTTCTTGCCATCCTGATGGTAAACATGAAGAATATATACTAGGAGTTCAATCTCCATAAGTTTTCATGACAATCCAAAAAAATTTACAGTAGGTTCCAGAAACTTCCACGAGTCGCTCTGATTTACTTAGTTACCAGGTGAATGTAGCTGTATGTCAGTAGCGTGAAGTTAGTGATAAACAAATCAGTGTGAATTTAATTCATTGAAAAATGAATTCGCGATATAATAATAAAGTTTCGTTTTTGAACAGTTTGCTTACATACAATAAGCAAATAGGTTTTTTTTTACATTCTTTATGATACATTTAAATTTACCGGGAATTTCCCCCTCCCTGTTGCGGCCGCAGCGCTCTCTGCACGCCCACTATTATTTTTTCAAATTTTTGGAACAACTTACATACAGAGATTGGACTCCTTGTCTATATTCTTCATGCTTAAAAAGTTTAAAATCAGATTATACAAATGTTACGCTTAATTTTTTTCTCATACCTATTCAATAGAAAACGAAGATGACATGAGTCCAATAGAAGCCCACTACCGCAAGCTGAAGGCGGAGATAGAGCCACTGGAGCAAAGCTCGGAAGAGTTCCAGATGATAGTAGAGTACACGCGGAACACGCACGCCGCCACGCACGCTTACTACACTTTGGAAGTGCAACAGGTTCGTTATTATATTTTGCATTGTTGTAACGAACGACGCCCCTTTTGACGTCCCACTGCTGAGCAGGTGCTCCCTGAAATATTCCGATGGAGATCAGGTCATAGTCCACCACGCTGGCCAAGTGCAGGTTGGCAGACCTCACGATGTTTTCCTTCACCTTAAGGCACGTGGTGATCATGTTAGAAATGATTCGCAAATATAAATATTGGAGGTGTGAGACCCGGAATTTGAACCCGCTTCACTCGGTTACCCAAGCGAGGGCGTTAGCACAAGACTACCACTGCCTATAAATAATCGCGTTACATGATAATTCATGAGACAGTATAAATAAAGTGACAAAATATTTTTTCACTAAATTATGAATATTTGTGTTTAGTTGAAAGATTGCAGATAAAAAATATGATAATTTTATATTCTTATATATTTTTATAATACAAATATTATGTTGCTTATGCAGGTGTTTAAAGTTGTCCGTGAAGGTGAAGAAAAGCGTTTCAAGCCATTCAAGAAACTTCACAACAGAAATTTACTGTGGCACGGCTCCAGAGTTACCAATTTTGCTGGAATACTCTCACAAGGTGGCGTACCTATACATATTTTGTATTTAGTATCCATTATATTATGTTATATAATCATTTCGATAAATATAATATAAATATATAAATGTGTTAGGACATTAACAAACAGCACCATCTAGTTCCATGGTAAAGTACGAGGCTTGTGTTATGGATACCAGATAGTTGATACACTATACATATATAATTTTTAAATATGTACATATAAATATAAACACCTATGACAAGAGTACAAACATTCTTTTTCATCACAAATGAATGTCCCCAGCGGGACTCTAACTCGTAACCGCTGACACAGCAAGTAGGGTCACTACAAACTGAGCCAAACGTGACGTCGAAATAAATGAAGAATATATAATAATATTGTTGCATACACCAGGTCTGCGCATCGCCCCGCCCGAGGCGCCGGTCACCGGCTACATGTTCGGCAAGGGCATCTACTTCGCGGACATGGTGTCCAAGTCCGCCAACTACTGCTGCACCGACCAGAGGAACAACGTGGGCCTGCTGCTGCTCAGTGACGTCGCGCTCGGAAACATGTTTGTTTTATTCGCATTTTATATTGTACTTTACATATTAGTAATCTCTTACATTACAGTTTTTGTATTTTTTCTCAGAAATGACATATTTTCCCGCGGTAAAAAGTATCCTATATGTTGACCCGGATAACCAGCTATCATCATACCAAATTTCATCAAAATCTGTCCAGTGGTTTTCTTATGATGCGGTAACAGACAGACAGACGGACAAAAATTCTAAAAACTATAGATTCGGCCTCTGAATCGATAATAATGTTTATTTCAATAAGATTTTTCAAAAAATATTTAATGTACAGATTCGGCTTAGTTACAATTTTATTATATGTATAGACTTTTATTATATGTAAAGTCTGTTAATATGCAATAAAGAATATATATATATATATACATATATATATATATATATGTATATATATATATATATATATCAAGGCCATCTAATGGCACTAATATCTTATTTTTACTGATGAGTTTTTATATATTATTAATTAGTTTGAAAACTGCTGCCAATTGACGGTTAAATTACCCGAAAAGCGGGTAATTTTAGGCGATTTTTGATGGCGGGTAGTTTTAACGGATATTTGCATTGAGTGGGGTCAAAATAGGTATTTTAGTTTTGCTGATTCATTTGATATTTTTTTTATATTTGATTTAATAATTTAAACCTGTTTAATTGAGAACTGATTACAATGACTTCTATTATAACATTATTACTTTCTTTTATTCTATATAAAATATAAATAAATTACTTAAAAAAACTATTTTCGGGTATTCTGCTCATTGTTGGCGTTGGCGGGATAAACCGGGTATTTTAAGGTTTATTGGTCGGGTAATTCAACGGCTGTTATCTGGCAGCCCTGATTATAATACCGTTTAAAGCCTCAACAAGTGTTTTGTATCGTGCAGGAAGGAGTGCCACCGCGCGGAGTACGTGACGGCGCTGCCGGCGGGCACGCACTCGGTGTGGGGCGCGGGCCGCACGCAGCCCGACCCGGCGCGCGCGCGCCGCCTGGCCGACGTCACCGTGCCGCTCGGCCCACCCGTCGCCGTCGACAAGGACACCTCGCTGCTGTACAACGAGTATCCTTTATATAAACGATTGTGTTACATGTCTTTCGAAAACTTGCTAGGTTCTCTCAGACATGCAAGTTTCCTCACGATGTATTCCTTCACCGTAAGACAAGTGGTAATCATATCTAAAATGATCCCCACATGAAAATATCAGAGGTGCGAGACCCGGGATTTGAACCTACTTCACTCGGTTTCCCAAGCGTACGTGAGCGCGTTACCACTGAGCTAACATTGCTTCTGTCTTTTATATACCTTTCGTTCATATTTTTTCATACCTTACATTATATGTATTCAACCCTTTTTAACCTCCCACAATGTGAGGGGGATTAGGGCATAGTCCAACCACGCTGGCCTGGCTGGCTGCCTTTTTATTATTTTGTTCAATTAAGATGCATTTTTTTTGTAATTATTGCACTTAAAATTTGCATAATATCTTGGTACCATTTGTCTCATTACGTAATATAGTTTAGCCCTGGTCACATCTATTAGAACGGTTGGACTATTTCAAATTTATTTTTATTTTTTATATATATATAATTTGTATAAAAAATTTTGTATGACCTCAAAGCTCATAAATTTTATTGAACCTCAAACAGGTCAGCTTCTTTTAATCATTTTAATGCTATTAATTTGTTTTTTGTCAAGCATTATCTTTTAACTAGATATTGAACTAACTTTAAAAATTCCTTCTGTAATAATGGAAAAGTAACGTTTTTATACGGACCTACCCTGCGAGCTTATTATGTATTATATAATCAATAGAAATCTAAATTGTCTTTGTAATATAAAAAATTGTTTCTTTAATAAACTATCTCAGATTCATAGTGTATGACGTTGCACAAGTAAACGTCAAGTATTTGGTGCAAATGAAATTCCACTACAAATAGTGAAACCTGAAGGTTCTGGGAAGCTTGGACGAAGCTATCTTATTTTTCTTATTGTTACTATAATTATTAATGTTTCATGGCCATACATTGTATTAAATTAGATTTACATAACATTAAGTTAATGGATAAAGTAAATGAGCGAGTGAGAAAAAAAACAATATTAAACAATTTCGTTAAATTACAAAATCGTAATTATTTTTTTTACAAAATTTTAATTGTGTCATATTTTGTATTATATGAAACATTTCTAACATAATTTGAAATAAATTATTTACTAAGCAATCAGGTCGTCAGAATACATCACAATATTCTAAACATGTAACAATTATTATTTTATTATACTGTATTCGCCGAATGAACCTAGCACTGAGATTTTGCGCTTCCACGTGATTAGTGCAGATAGACGCTCTGACCGCGACTACAATGCAGGTCATAATTAGTCCGTCGTTGCATTCTGTACCGTTTAGACGTCTCTCGTGTAGTTACCTGATTTATTATATGTGATACGTCGGAAAGCGAAAATTAATAAATAATGTTTAAAAATACAATAAATTTAACTTTAATGTTGATTTTATTTGTATGTTGATTTTATTTTATTACAAATTATTAATAATTCCTCACTAAAGCATTAGCAATATGAACGAGCCCTATGATTTCAAAGCAGTTGCAGGTGTTAGTGGGTGGAGCTAGACAGTTTTCTGTCCTTATCAGTTTGTATGCTAATGTGGGACAGAGAAAGCGCTTAAAATATATTCACTCCGTGAATAGAGTATAGTACATTGATATCAGATTTGCGTTTCTAATATAAGTCAATTTAATTACCAAAGACATTCCTTGTCCCTATTAATTATAGTCGCAGTATCCATTATGCTTATATAATGTGATAAAAGGCCGCTAATTTTACTTAATCAGCATTTGAATTATTATTTTTGTTTTAATGTTTAATTATTTTTAATTGTGTTATTATCATAATGATAATGTTGATCTGTCATATTATTAGTTTTTTTTACTTTTATTATATTACATCTTAATTTGAATTTCATACTTTGTTTTATTTAAGTTTTAACAAATGGGTAACAGAGTTGTCGATGTATTGCGATTGCGATATTTTATATTATTATGAAGATTGCGTATTTGCTGAACTTCGATTCTTGTTACCATCTAATCTCAAAAATGTCTTACGGTGTCACTCGCGCTAAATAAAAAATTCAAAACTACTTAATATGATCTCTTTCATTGTACGATACCATTATACCGATAAATATAGTTTAAACTTTAAATAGGTTATAAGTAAATGTTATAATAATTTCATGAAAGATAAACAACTCCCTAAATAATATTTGATGTCCAGTTTATGTTTAATAGCATATTGCTTAGATGACCACTGCATGCAAAAATATACCTAAACGTTGCAGAATATAGTATGCCGTGTATAGGCCGTTCATAAAATACGTTCGCATACAAGGAGAGGGGAGGGGTCTGGCTGAGTGTGACAAGATGTGACAAGGGTGGGCGGGAGGTATACGGCAACGTGACGTTCGCCGTTTATTATTTTTTGACATGAGCGCTAGCTCTGTGGCGCGACTCTAGCGGCGTTGCGATTAGTCACAACTGGTTTCTTTGTTTTTCCAATACTTGAGAGAGTAACGTTTCCACGTACCCTGCGCTCTCGATTCAGTAACAAATGAAAATACTGTTTCTCATGTATTTATTATTATTTTATTCCTTCATTCGCCATTTAGCAGTGATCTGTGCCAAACATTCAGATCCATTCAACCCTTCTGGTGTGATTGAGTAACAAACATCCAAACATCTAAACTTTCACATTTATAATATTAGTAAGATCAGAGACGTTTCTTTTGATTAAAGTTAGTTTTTTTAATGATATATATAAACACAATAATAGGAAATTAAATAAAAAAAATCATTTTCTAATTCACTTTATGATTAACAGTCCCATGGTTGAGGAGAGGTTAGATTGGCTAGAGCTTAGGTGGATTACAAATATCACCATATTACCAATAAAATAGTTAAAACATTAAAACACGAAATAGAAAATGGTTACGTCAGTCCGTAATAACGCCGCTTTGTTATAGGCAGATTTTATTTTATGGTAGTAATTTAATAGTTTTTTATGAATTCATCCGCCCGCGGACCGGCGATTAGTAAGGGATTCATTCATCAGCAGGCTTCTAGTGAAACTAGACATGTTGAAACCGTCTATGTAGAGAAGACAACTGTTCTCGGCAATACCGCTAAGATAACTCGCTCGTCAAGATGTATAGTACAGTACAGAGGAGTCCTCAGGTTAGGTACCTTCTAGAGTGCCACATTAACCGACAGCTTAGATAGTAGGTACTTACTTTTAATTAGTAGTAACTTACTAGGTACTTAGTATCAATAGGGTCAGGAAACCTAAAGCTGTATATTTGAGGTTTCTACTCTACAAATTTAAACGCTATGAGCTATGATAATGGTGTCCAGTCCTGATCACAGAGCACATGGTCCTGACCAAGATCTATATTTTATAAGCGGAATGGGAAAGAACTTTGCCTTTTCCTCTCGCCAGATGTCACGATCACTATAGCCCTCAGTATGATTTTTCTTTCTCGCAAAACTCTCTCCCACTGCTTTTTAGTATTTTTGCAGCATGATTTTGAAAAAACACAGTATATTTCGAATTAAAAACTACGCGCTTCCTGTCGCAACTAAACATTGATAGTTATTAGCAGTATATTGCTACATATATAAAGTTATGTTATATGTAGCAATTTACTCAAATTATGATTATGGTTGAACTACTGCAGTCAGCGCTGCCAACTTGACCGAAACGGACAAGTTATGACTTATGATGAACGATCTTTAATAATATTTTTAAATTGTCAATTGTCATCGAGACAGCGCTAGTGTCAACTGTCAAATGAAAAATCATAACATTCATAAACTGTCAACGTGACATTATGTACTGTACATTGCTATCGGATCATATTAATCAGTTTCGCGCAGTTAGCAGTTAGAGAAATTTAGGAGTGACAGTAAAATAATAATATTATGTTTATTTAAACCAAAGATATAGATATATTATAATTAGAAGTTTCTATTGTTCACAACATTATTTATATGTACAGTTACTTTCATAAAGTGTGACATTTCAAGAAAATGGATGCAGATATCATTAAGTGGAGCAACAAAGAAGTTTTAGAAACATTACATAAAGAGAAGATATCCAGCTTCATAGTAGACATATGTAAATCTCAAGACATAGATGGGCAATGTTTGCTTTCCTTCGTTGATCGTGATTTCTATGATTATCCATTTGATCAACTAAAACTAGGTGAAAGGAAAAGATTTATTTTATTAGTGAAAAAATTACAAAAACGCAATCGAAATGCAATGTGTGAACTTGGTTTGTGTGAAGATCAAACATTAATTAATCCTGCTACTAATATTAATTTTGTTGGTACTAATTTATCACATTTGAGCTATAATCTTCACAATCAACTACAAAATGAACTATATGAGAGAAATTCAGAATGTCCATCAACTTTTAGTACAGATGTAAAAGCTTCCAAATTAAAACCCGAAGTATGGAAAACTGCTATAGCTTTAGGTAATAATTATGAGTAGAAATTATTTAATTTTACTTTATAGTTTATATTTCCTTTATTTTATTATTCTTATTTCTAGTGAATATTCTATTACTTAACTTTAATAAATTAGTAATATTAAAACATTTTTTATCAGGTTACGTGTTTTTGGTAACATGGGTTACAGCAGTTGTTATGGTCATTGTCCATGATAAAGTCCCTGATATGAAAAAATATCCACCACTGCCTGATCTCTTTCTTGACAATGTACCTCATATTCCCTGGGCATTCGACATGTGTGAAATAACAGGTTCCTTCCTTATGGCTATTTGGTTGGTTGTACTGTTTTTCCACAAACATAGGTGAGTGTGTATTTTATTATTATTTCATGAAATAAAAGTTTCAGTTAACAGTATACACTATGAACCAAGACACTTTTTTAATATTACCATTATTGTTTATTACATAGTATCATTACATATAATATAATATAAGATTGAGAAAAATTGGCTCTATATCAAATTATTTACACAAGGGTGCCTATCATAATTTATTTTGAGAATAAGAGTGGCTCATTCCTATGTCTTTGTTGATTTTGGTTTGTTTTCTTTGTTACAAAATTAACAATAAAAATAACACTTATATTGCACACAAAGGTTTAATATAAGTGTCACATCATGCCTCAAATGTGAACTTTGTTTTCTGGATGAATCACTGAACTAAATATCTATTTTACAACATAATACCAAGTGTAAAGTAACTAGTTATCTGTTAAAATACATTTTACAATGATTGTAAGTTATATTAATAATAATATGTAATTTGTATACTTATATCAAAAAACTTTGGCTCAAATGTACAGATATTCAATATGCTTAGATTTATGTATATAAGTTTACATCAATGTTCATACATACATGTGAATTGTTGACATAATCCTAATCATACATCATTGTTTAAAACTAAAAATTATTTTTTAACTATATCTCTCGATAGGGAAAACATTCTAAGTATTTTTTTTTATTTCTGTCTTATTAGATTCATAATTCTGAGAAGATTCTTTGCATTGGCTGGAACAGTGTTTTTATTGCGCTGTTTCACTATGTTGATAACGTCGTTGTCGGTGCCTGGGTCGCACTTGAAGTGCGAGCCTCGGTTCTACCCTCCCGCAGACGACCTCACCGTGTGGGGCCGACGTCTGCACCAGGCCTACGATATATGGAGCGGTGCCGGAATGTCTGTACGAGGGGTACGCACGTGCGGTGACTACATGTTCTCTGGACACACCGTTGCGTTGACGCTGCTCAACTTTTTCATCACTGAATGTAAGTTTAATCTATTATTTTATGTTATTGTTGCTTTTCAATTTTCATATCATGATACTTTAAAATAAATAAACACACTTTCACATTTATAATATTAGTATGGAAGTATGAATATATATATATATATTATGTATGAATAAAATTACATTTACTAGCTAGGACTTACCCGAGCTGACGAAAGGACACACCTATAGGAGCTTTCCTATCACCTATATATCTTTCTACTATACATTTTATTGTTTTACTAGCATAGCCCGCGGCTCCGCCCGCGTTCAGATGACCAAAAACCAAATTCTTAAGTTTTACAGATTAGTATACTCTTACATTGCAGTTTTTGCATTTTTCTCAGAAATGAGATATTTTCCCGCGGTAAAAAAGATCCTATATGTTGCCCAGGATAACCAGCTATCATCATACCAAATTTCATCAAAATCCCTCAGGTGGTTATTTCTGTGATGCGGTAATAGACGGACAGACAAAAATTCTACAAACTATAGATTCGGCCTCTGTATCGATAATAATGTTTATTTCAATAAGATTTTGCAAAAAATATTTAATGTATAGATTCGGCTTAGTTACAATTTTATTTTATGTATAGATTTCAAATAGTTTAGGCATCGTGCGCCGATAAATCAATTCGACGACCAGTTTTATTCCGACTTCAATTATAGTTCTTACGAGTTTTGACTGTAAACACATTTTAATCAGAATAAAAAATAGCAGCTCAGCGGTAATGTAACTTTCTATTAGTGAAAAAAAATCAGAATCAGTATAATCATTAGTTTCGACGATTAAACCCTACATCTAAACTTATAAATTTTACCTCTTTATTAAAGACAGTATAGCTATAGATTAACACACGAGCGCGTCTTTCTAAACTTACATTAGATTTATAATTTGATCACAGCACTGTAAAAAATACATTCGTTGAGTCAAAATCTTAACACTATATTGGGTTTTTTCTATGTGAATAAATATATAAGAAATTAAAAGGAATAATGGGCGTTTTACATTCGTCTCCTTGAAATTAAAAAAAAAGTGTTTGTACGTGCTATTTCATCGATAGATATCCTTAAAGGGTAGGTAACATTATCTTATAATATATCCAGAACAAATATTTGTACAACATCAATATCAATACAAACATTAGTTTGTGCTGATATTGATTTTGCTATATCCGGTGTATCGTTCTAGTGTCTACTTTGCTCTAGACTATGTTATACGATTGGACAGCATAATGGTTTTGTACAAAAACTTTTATGTAGTAGTAGGTTAGGTTATATAAGTAAATATAATAGGATTTTAGAAAAGTTGAAATCTAACATTTTACCTAACCAAGAAACGCACTGGGAGCTGGCCCACTTCGGTGGACGGTGTACCATGCGTGATGCGGGTTGCTCCTGGTACTTCTCTGATGGCAGAGTGGACCGTGAGAGCAACTCCATGGTTTTTGTGGCCTGCCGTCGGGGCGTCTTGTTTGAGTGCGTAAGCGATCCTGCGACGCCCCATTAAGACGGTGGAGGTTTTGTTGGGTTTTAGTAGGTAGTACTGACTTTTCTAGTCGGTGAGTCTCACATAACCTGTGTGTCTTCAGGTGGTATGCGCAAATGCATTTCCCACCATTAAAAAAACACATGTAAACAAATGTAACGTTACCTACGTATGTATGTCATTTATTGCACAAGTATCTATACCTATATATATGCTGTTGCATAAATCATTTGGTTACAATGAAGATCACACTTTGATAATGCCCTCGCCTAGTAAAGTACATAATATAGTGTTAAACAAAGTAATAAAATAGAATTGATTAGTGGAATAACCATTTTGTTTTACTTCACTCAACGCAATAAAAATTTTATAAGTATTTAAGTACTAATTATTAGATTTCTTAGAAATTTACCTGGAGGTGTTAAAAGTTACTTTTTAGTTTACCGTACAACGTTGTCTATTTTAAGTTGGTATATACTATACACATACATTTACTATACGCCATATGACTGCCTCCGTGGTGTAGTGGCTAGCATGTACGGCTGCACACCCGGAGGTCCTGGGTTCGAGTCCCGGGTCGGGCCAAGTTTAGTTATTGAGTCTTTCTTTATAGTAAGCCTCAGTTACAGCCCGGATTTGGGAAGTTGGCGGTGTATAACCCCCGTGCCTCGGAGAGCACGTAAAGCCGTCGGTCTTGCGCTTTACTCTCACTGGTTGTGTCAAGCAGTCTTCCTACCGGAGTATAAGAGTGACAGGAATAGAGAGTGCACGTTGTGTCTGCGCGTACACTTGTGCACTATAATATCTCCTGCGCAGTTGGCTAGTCTCAATGAGATTGGCCGCCGCGGCCGGAATTGGTCAGAAGAGAACATCATCATCATCATATGCCATATCTTTTTGTTGTTCTTAAATAAGTCCAAATACAAATTCAATAGGAAAAGTCCATAAATTGCAATTCATTTTAAAGGTAAATTACAAATTACATAAACAAATCGTTGTTAACTCAATGTTTATTTTTTATTGCATAAATCATTATCTATTGTGTAATCATTTGACAGAGAATAGGAAAAATAAATACAAACAGACATAGTGCCTAAATTAACGTCGGATTATAATTTAATATAAAACCTATTTCATATTATTAAGAAAAATTCTAACGCCATATTACGTTATATTCCGACAGATGTATATTTTTTGTCTATAATTTTATTTTCAAAAATGTTCCTTCCGTGTTTAGTTAGCATTGGTTCTTGGATTAAGCGCGAGAAATCAACTGGAAATTTTTTAAACATTCGTTTTGGCAGATGCGATCTACTTCAATCTATTCGAAGTGTCCTCTAAAAACAACTTTTATGTAATATGTATTAAAACAGCTCAGAAGGGTTTTTCAGGAAGACAAATATTTGTCAATTAATAATTATATTTCTCGCTTTTTCTGTATACTCATTTTACATTTATATTTTATATTCCTAACTCATATAATCCGAATCACCGACTGTCCACTTGACATATCCAAAAATCTATTGTCCAAATCTACAAATTGGCACATAAAATAACTGAATGTTACAGTATATATGTTTTTATAGTTGTTGGTTAGTAGTATAGGTTGTAGTTGCACTTTTCTTGATGTAAATGATTCAACCATGAACGAATTAATTGTCTCTGATTCGTTCATGGATTCAACATATAAATAGGTATTATTTTAGTAACCCGCAAACCATTTTTATTAATTGTTAAGTTAATTAATTAAGTTAATAAGTTATCATAAATGAAAGAAAGAAATTATGAAATTATCGTATCTCTAAAGTCTAAATAGTACGCTGAATGTCCCCAAAGATTACAGAATATTGACAAACTTGCTGTGATACTATTGTACCTACTTTATTCAGTTACAACAATTCGGCCACACGAGATTTGTGACGTAGTTCGTAACGTTTTCTTCCTATTGAAACTGTGCCATTAAGATTATTTCTGTGGCATATATTTTCTTAATTTATTATTATTACATTTATCGATAATATTGTATTAATTGCGTCATTAGATTTTATATCAGGAAGATATATATATATATTATGGCAAAAGTCACTATAAACAAAATATATATCGGAGATATTACAAATATATATTTTGTTATTGTAAACAAAACATTTTGTACGTAGATACATATCTATCTTTACGCATCACGGTTGGTTCCTTTTGGAAAAGCAGAGAGCATAGTGCCAAGTGTTCCGATACATTAATTATAAGCGTTTCGAAGATAAACACGTAATGTTATTATGTAATAGGTAACGACTTACCTTCGCTCGAGTGCGTCCACGTACCTCTTTGCGCGGAACCTTCTTTCTTTTTCTAAAATAAAAGTATCCTATGATACTCTTTATAACATCAACCTCTGTACCCTACAAGCCCCGTTAAAATCGGTCTAGCCGTTTTGGAGATTAGCCGGAACAAACAGACAGACAGATAAAAAATTATTAATAAAGGAGGGGTGCGGACTACTAAAAACGTATGCCCGTCGATAGTGTAGGAAAGCTTATTTTGCTAAATGATACTTTAAACATGGAAAATCTTATTTATAAAGAATGTCATTTATTTTTATAAAAACTAGTACATAGCTACTTCTAATAATAATTAACGTTGACATATACGTTATATGCCTTTGACTGCTTTCAGTCACACGTGGCGGCCAATCTCAATAAGCTAGCCAACTGCGCTGAACTTCAATCAACAATACTATCGAAGGCGCTGAAGTTAGGTATAAAGTACACTAGTGTGTGTTCAAACATCAGTTACGGTAATGTTAAGATAGTATTACCGTGCTTCAGTACATTCTCTATTACTTTCTTTCAGAACCGACTGCTTAACGTGTTTTCCAAGGGTTGTAACACCGCCAACTTACTAACTCAGCGTAACTACTAAAAATTTCTTAATCGACAAACCAAATACCTGTACATGATCCGACCTGAAACTCAAACTAAGAGCTGAGCCGCACCTATATTCCAGCCACTAACACACCACAAGGCAGTCAAATGTTTAAATACTCGTAGTAGTGTTTATATAATAGCGAATAGAGTTAAATTCAACTCTATTTCATTTCTTAAAAAAAAGTTTTATATTTATTAACGCACACTTCATAAAATTTAGTAACTTATAATTTTTACATTTTACATTTACAGTATCTTTGGCGGTAGTTCACTTAATAAAAAACTCCTGACAATACCTAAAAGACCAAAAAAATTCTATATTAATATTATAAAGAGGTAAAGTTTGTGAGTTTGTGACGTTGTAGGGTGTAATCTCTGGATCTACTGAACCGATTTAGATGAAATTTGGTAAGAATATAGTTTGAGACCCTGGGAAGGACATAGGATACTTTTTATCCCGGAAATCATCCATTAAGGGGTAAAAATGGGGATGAAAGTTTGTCTGGGGAATCAACCTAGGGACGAACACGAGCGAAGCGAGGGTGAGTCGCTAGTCGTAATAAATAAACTAATTGAAATCCGAAAAAATGGCCGTTGAGCTTATCAGCTATTGTTAAACACTTTGACGACACGTTTGGCTCAGTTTGTAGTGATCCTACTTGCTTCGCCAGCGTTTGCGGGTTCGAGTCCCGCTGCGGGCATTCATTTGTGTGATGAGCAAGAATGTTTGTACTCCACTCATGGATCTTTATATTTCTAATATGTACGTATTTAAAGTTTATATATTATGTGTAGTGTATCAACTATCTGGTATCCATAACACTAGCCTCATGGCTTACCATGGAACTAAATTGTGCTGTGTGTTAATGTCCCAAAATATTTATTATTTATTATTATTTACTTTTAGAGACTCATATAAAGCGAAGAGAGAGTATAAAATTACGAGTATATAAATATTATATCGTAGTATTAAATCATTCGGTTTATTACCTACGCATCATTTTTAATGCTAATTGTCATATGTAGGTACTACAACTGTAATTGCTCATGTTAGAATAGTATGGAAAAATTAGTCACGATTTTCCTATAAATATGTACCTACAATTTTTGTGTTCCTTGCGTTTTAGTAATGTAGCGTAGTTATTCTTATCAATTCAAGGACGTGATAAAAAACCATTTCTCCAAAAGTATTAGTAATATTAGGTTTTACTGACAGATTTGGCGTTAAGCGTGTGGTCACATATTTGTTAATGTATAGATTATTTATCTAACAAATACATATACAAACCAAAAAAGGAGCGGCCAAGAAGTGCTAATGCAGTAGGTATTATAAAGTTGCCCATCCACGTTTATCTATTTCGTTTTATCCGTTGCCATTATTGTCATTATGAAAACTATCTGAGAATTAATTTTGTTATTTGAATTTATAAAACCAGTAATATCATCGATTGTTTATCTTTACTCGCAACATCCCATCTCACACGTCACAGATCCCATCATTCGATCTTATAAACAAGATTTTAATTGTTTTGTTCTGTTAGATAATATAAGATGAAGAATAATAACAGTTAGTTTTTTAACAGGAAGTATCAAAAAGAAAAATGTTAATGATATTTAAATTGACTGTATTTAAAAAACAAACAGAAAGCGTTATTTAATAGTTATATTTTTATCAACATTTTTGTTTTCTATTATGTATGAATATAATTAGATAATATATTTTTTGTATTTTATGTCATCATCATTATTATACTGCAGATACCTGTCGTTAGGCACATTAATATTATTTCCCTACTTTAAATAAAAATGAATATTCGTATGTTTTTCCTCTATGCGTTCCTAGATCATTAATCCGATTGTGATGAAACTCTGGTGGATTATCCTGTATAACGGTATTCAACCCTCTTCAACGTAATTTTTTAATTTCAGATACTTCACGCAGCCTGTACCTGCTGCACATACTGACGTGGGTGATGAACATGTTCGGCATATTCTTCATTCTGGCAGCGCATGAGCACTATTCTATTGATGTTTTTATTGCGTTTTACATTACGTCGCGTCTCTTCCTTTACTACCATACGCTATCTAATAATCAAGCCTTAATGCAGAATGATTCTTCCCGGTGAGTACCCCTGTAGTATGTAGATAAAATATATGTTCCAAAAATATAGCCGTATTCTTTAAATTTAACTATATTGTACCTACGGCTCCGATCGCGTGATAGGTACGTCGATAAAAAATGTAATTAAGAAGATACATCCGTGTATCTGTATCTTCGCACATAAACTATCGTAGTACCCGGCAATCCAGCCGGGCGCGAAGCGAAGAAATGCACAGGTAGGTGGACCACTTCGGTGGGCGGTGGAAGGTGGCCCTCTTCGGTGGGCGGTGTACCATGCGGGTTGCTCCTGGTACTTCTCTGATAGCAGAGTGGACCTTGGAGCAATCCCACGGTCGTTGTGGTCTGCCTCGGCAGACCTACCGTCGGGGCGTCGTAGTTGAATGCGTAAGCGATCCTGCGATGCCCTATTAAGACGGGTATTAAAAAAAACACACACAGCACCATCTAGTTCCATGGTAAGGTATGAGGCTTGTGTTATGGATACCAGATAGTTTATACACTACAAGTATATAACTATAAATACATATTATAAATATAAACTACAATAACTGGAGTACAAACATTCGTGCTCATCTCACAAATGAATGTTCCCATTGGGACTCGAACCCTCAACCGCTGACACAGTAATTAATTATATAATAATAATTATATATTACTGTAAAATTTCATCAAAATCCGTATCATATCCGTAGTTTTTACATGGAAGAGTTACTAGGTAATATAGGTACGTCACACCCACTCACAAACTTTCGCGTTTATAATATTACTAAGATTTTCTCAATAAGAGCTCAATAAGATAATATTCAATATATGTTGATATCATCTTTTCTTCTCTTATATTGGCGTTTATTGCTCTTATCCTTATTCGAACATTTTTCGATATATTAAGGGTCTCTCAACACAATGCGCACAAGTACTTACCGACTGACAAATGAATATACATTGATCATATTATTGTCATTGTATTCTATCCGAAACAATTGTAGCATACACCAATAAAATGTCGAATAATTCTTTATTTAATATATTTTTTTATATAATTATTCATTTGCGTTTTTGGAGAAGACTTTGTTTGTAAAACCTGTAATATTTTTTAATACACAAAAATAATTTTAATATTAATTTAAATTATAGGCAATTAAGATATAACCCTTTATCTCTTAACAGTAGTTGTAAATGCTTTTCAAATTTCAGTGTTTAATAAATTGTAATTTGTTAGCTATTTTTAGCTATTTACATACCTATTCTAAAATAGTACCTATACAAAAAATAAATATTAAAACTAATTAAACAAAATTAATTTGCAGGACGAGAATATGGTTTCCACTGTTGTCCTTCTTCGAGTCGGAAGTGGATGGTATAGTGCCTAACGAGTACGAGGGTCCAATGGAAATAGTGACGAACTTGAAGCTTTGGGTGTTTCAATTGGTCGTAGACGTGAAGAGGTCGTCCATGGCCAAGGTAGCAGGCAGCAAGTTGCAGGAAGGTGCGGCGATGGGGGAGTACTCCGTAGTGAGGCTCGTGGACGGCATCAAAAGGAATCTTAGTCTAATTGAAGAATATAAGAGCTCGCGACAAAGGCTCGTAACTCTCGACAAAAACGTTCAGGCCGGACTGTTGGAAGAGTTGCCCGACGCCGAACTGCGACACAGGAACATCGCAGAGCTCGCCAGCGACTCGGTTTTTAAAGAATTTAGCAACCCACCCTCACCAGTCATGAAAAAAAATATATGAACTATCAAGTATTTGCATTTTAGATTCTCAAATGGGTCTAGAAACCTGTTTTACATTTCCATTTTAGATTTTATATCATGTTATTCCATATTTATTCTAAGTTATATACCTATGTAGTAAATTACAAAGATTTATTTGCTCAAGATTATTTCGCTGAAATATTACAAAACGTTATAAATTATTCAATGCGTTCTTTTATTTTAGTTGTATATTGATTGATAATTAAAAATAATCTTGTTCCAGTTCTTATAAATTCATATAGCTAAATATTATTGTTAATTATTAAAAATATAAACAATTAAAATAAAACTCCTCCTTTTTGAAGTCGGTTAATAATAAGAGATTTACTCATATCTTGCCTTACCGACTTCATTTTGAGACATGGTTAAATACGAAAACATATTTTACGAGCTTTATATTCATAGTATCTTAAATGATTGTTGTAATATTTTTATGTATATAATACTATAAAAATAATGCGGGATAAAAAGACAAAGAAATTATGAAATTTTGCATATTTTAATATGGGATAAGAATATAACGTCGCAGGTATTTGGTAGGTACATACACATTATAATTACTAACAACCTCTTCCTACCCCGTAATAAAGTTGCCAAAAGATTGAATTGATAAATTGACTTTCAATTAATATTAGTATTACCATTATAAATAAATCTTATCATCGATACCTTACTACTTCAACGTTAATCGCCTACCAATTCCTTTCAAACAGTTTCAACAGAGGTAATGTAAAGGTTTATTATTTTTATATGGCAATCAAACTGCCTTGTATAAATAGAAAAAGATCGCTTACCCTCACCAGACGACAACTGTAAGGGTCTTGCTACTTTATGTCGACATTAGTGCTTTAACAAGGCTGTATTAGGTTAGGTACTAATAATTATTATTAGACGTATTGTTATTTTGTTTGTTTAATTTTTAGTTACAGGCATTTTATTTTATACTCCGCGCGAGGTAGAATAAGTGTAAGTATATATCAATATTATTTGAAATCCAATGGTAAGACTGCTCAATATAGCATTTCGTCCAGGAATGGATAACAATCATCAAGTATGATAATTTTAACAATTACTAATTACTTATCCTCGCTTCCCTCGAGTGCGTCCTTAGATGCCAATCAGCCTACGTGATACTCCAGGTTATATATTATTACCTGTGTAATAAATTTCATCGAAATCTGTTTAGCTGTTTTAGCGTGAACGAGTAACAAACAACGCATACAGAATTTAACTGTTATTTACACCATATCTTTTATTTATTATCACCCTCCCGACCTCGCTGGGCTTGCACCCTAACACAGAGCCCAAAACCTTATAAAACTTCTCTACCCATTTGCGTCTTTACCATAAGGATACATGCCCAGGGCCCCCAGCCTCATGAGGGCCCCGAAAAAACGACATTTTCGTTTATATGTAGAAACTCAATTTTTAGTTTATAATACACTGCACTGTAGTTATAGTCTAAAGACTGAATAATATTATGTTCCTTCGTTAAATTTTTCTATCTTTCTAGCTGACTTTTTTACGCAATCAGGTTTTTTTTAATTTTTGTAGTTTACTTAATTTTTTTTGTCATTCAAATTTTTTTGACCTTTCAAAAAGTACTCCCGTCCCGCATGGCTTAAGACGGTCCTACTTCTACCCTGCAGTAGTCAGTATCTTTTTTTCTCATACATGTAGCGATTATCATCTTCGGTCGAATCATCTGACCGTTAGTGAAAGCGTTATTAAAATCGATCAAACCGATTTCCATTCTACACCGTGCTTTTATTTCTCTGTAATTGCAAAGTAATGAGAATTTTAGATAAATATTGGAATTACATAATATATTTATAATTGTCAATAGAAAATATATCAACACGTCTAGCAACACGTAACAATGTACCTACTTCCATACCGATAGTGCATTGACACTGAACAGTGCAAACTTTCCTCGAGTTCGCTACATTGGTTATAAAGTGTTTGCAGAAACGTAAATGTAGGGAGTTAAAAAACTAATAACTATGTTTCGTCGTTCTTATAATTTAGCCCAATATTAAGTCTAATTAATATCCCAATATCATTAAGTTAAATATTTAGTCCATAAACCTCAGAAAGAAGCTAAATAATTTAATCAATAAAAAATTGAACAAAACTACTTTCTATTGGTTTCCCATGATAATTCTTCGAGAATTAAATTATAAATTATATAGGGACATAAAGATATTTAAAGACTTTTTGTTATGTTTTTCATTGTGATAAGAGCATTTTGATGACCTTGTAGAGACGAATGATTTCTTCAAAGGACAATATGATTCAATTGAGTGTTATTAACCAAAAAGGTTTGATTAGATTAGATAGCATGAGTGATATTAAGGGCCTATGATGTAAATACTTATTACTTTTTACCCGACTGCAACAACGCCCAAAGGGAGGTTTTGTCCTGTATGTATGTCTATGCAATCAAAGATATAAATACACGTAGTTTTTTTTACTTTCTACCTAATGTGCCTTAGTCATAATTAGTCTGTTCCAGTCTGATTTAAAATATGTGTTTCGTAAGTCGAAACTAAAATTGAGCGTAAGAAGACTTACAAATACCTATACAGCTATTACGTAGCCGTATTCTAAGCATCGCCCTTCGGCTCACGATTTAATATTAGATAAACTTGTTTGAACTTTGAGTTTTCTTTGGTCGGGTGGGAGAGGAAAAGGAAGTAGGTAATTACTAACGGTTATTTTGGATTTGTGCTTGTTAAAAGAAACGGCGTATTCGTCACCGTCACTATCTTGCTGACTACCTCGTTGGTCCCAGGACTTCGACCTGGGTTTGAGTCACAGTATGGTAAAGCAGTTTTTAAATGCAATCCGGAGTTATGAAGTTAGAGGTGACACCAGTATCCCTTGTGACCCAGAGAACATTTCGGTTGTGCGCCTGAAATCTCACCGGTCGTTTAGAATTGTGGTTCCTATGTTAATTTTTTTATCGTCGTCGTTTTGGTAAATTGCTCCTTTACGTATAGATACTTTACATAGTCTTAATAGTACTTTGGATTAGCAAGTGTAGTCTCTAGTTTATATCAGATTGTTTTTGAAGTAAAACTTCTTTTAGAATCGTTATGATTTGAAACTCGATGAAACGGAAATGCGACACTAAAAAGAGACAAACACATAAATATATAGGATTAAGCCGGCGAGAGAATGAGATAGAATACATTACCATGTTGTTATTATCTGACAAATATAATATTAAGTTTCACTTCTACCATGTGTGAATTGCACACACGCACTTTTTTTATTATACATATTTAATTTAATTTATAGTGTGTTCTTTCAGCCTAATAAGCGTTACCCAAGAAAGCTTCTTTCTTCCAATTTGTAAAGGATCGCTGGGTCAGCGCGTGACGCTACCACTAATCAAATTATGTATTAAAAAATATGACAATTATTGCTTATACAAAGGTTCATTGTATTATAGGTTAAAATATAAAACACAATTAGTATTTACATGTTTTTATAATACGTTTTAAAATAAAAGCTCTTAATAATGTAGCATTTATATAATTGATGTGAAAAAATATTAGTAAAAATGTCTTTAAAATCATTAATGCGATGACATCAAATCATGTATAAGAATAAAAATAAACAAAGGAGTAATTTAATAGAATGCTCATTTATAAAATATAAAAGAAATATAAAATCAGCACCTTAGACTAAAAAGTCTTACATTTCTTAATATTAATGTCATGTAAAGAATTACATTGAGTTTCTAAAGCAAATGAGCACTCTGAAGTAAATAATAATTTGATTTAGGTATACAAATATTTTTGAAGAAATAAAAAATTACAATTAATACTTTAAAATAATACATGCCTTAAAAAGACAATAATAACAAACTTTTTGTTTGAGAATGATAATTTGATTAATCTCATAACTTTTAAATAGGCCACTTGATAGCAAATATAACTAGATTGAAATGTAACATTATAAATCAACAAATAAAGACAATGAGCTCCCCTCTCAAACATGATGATGATAAATGGTGGCTTGTACTTGTAACAATGCAATACATGGTTCATGACTTTAAACACTGAAGTTTAGTTGTATTTATTTAACAATATGTTTAAGATTTTCTAAAGACTCATCTTTAACACTTAACTTTGTACATGTCATGATATTCCTATGAACTACATATACATATTCAAACGTGTCTATCAACACGGTTGACATGAAATTATTTCATAATAGAGCTAATATGGAATAATTATGTTTTAGATTATATGAATTGTAAGGGAGTTCACTGCATTTGTATTATATACAATGACTTAAAAGTATGCCAAAAATATGATCGATGCAATATAAATAACACAATGATGGATAGTGCTTGCTTAGTGCTAAGTGATTTGAGCTGATAGCATAAGCCCATATGGTGATGATGATTATTCTTCAGAGGCCAATTTTTCACTTTCAATGAGTGCTTCAGATAACTTGTCTACACTTTGTTCATTTACTTGATTTTTCTCCACAGATGGATCACGAGAGCTTACAGAACCATTCTCAATTGCTTCCTCTGGAGCAGACTCATTTTCTTCAGAGATTTGTTTGGATTCAATTTCAGTCTCAATAGGTTTATCATTTTCATTTGCTGGTGCTTCATCTTTTTCAGTAGAAGTTTGTCTCACAGGGGATATTTCTTTCTCTACTGATGCTTCAATTTCTGAAGAAGTTTCTTTCAAATGACCGTTGTCACTAGGAGCTTCTTGTTCTTTCTCAGAATTTTCTATAACTTCAGCTGAATCCCTTTCTTGTGATTTTTCTTTTGAATCATTTTCTTCTTGGTTATTTTGAAGGACTCCATTAACAGCATTAACCTGAAACATATTATAATATTTATGAACAAAGTTTAGATGTAGACTTTAAATAATATAACATGTCTACCTTAATTTAAATAGATATTTCAAACTTATACCTTATTTTCTGTTTGAGGTTCTTCTGCAGGCACTTCTACTTTCAAAAATTGTTCCAATGTATCTACCTCATTGGCTAAATCAAACTGGTCATAATCCTGAAAAGAAAACCATATAATAAGATTTTAAGTATAAGTCTGCTTAAAGAACTACAGTATTATCTAATAATCTCTGACCTAACCTTCGGAATGCATGAATTATAGAGACAATGTAAAATAAAAGAGGAAAAACAGTGTTTTACCAATGACATCATTTAACAATGCGTAATTTAAACTATTTTTTAAAGTGAAAGATAAAATAATACTTACACCACAATACTCATCGTCGTTAAACACTTGGGGAGGTAAAGGAGTGCGAGGGTTGGGATCGCTTACAGTCCCTCCGTTTGATTTTGAATTATTTTGCATGAAATCTTTATCATCTTCTTTCCCAGGTTCCGTTATGTCGATTATTTCATATTTAATATTTTTCGAATCAAGTATCATCAAAACACGCTGTTGTCGCTTTTTTACCTTAAAAGTACATGAAAAAAGTTAAAAACAAACATAACTATGAATCAGCACTGAAAAAAGTCTAGAAAAGCACCCGGTTGGCCCAGGATCTTTTCTAATATTATACTAACTTCTTTGTTGCCTGAAATACCACTTATGTACACTTTAACAACCATGTCTGTAAGGGTCTTGTGACCAGAAATGTATACAAAATAAAATAATTTTCAACCAAATCCTAACTGAGAAAGATATAGATAGGCTTGGCCATTAGACAATCTGTTGTAATAATAATTACCAAAGTTGTCAAAGTGACACTAGAGTGTTACCATTACTCTCAATAAATTGTAACAAATACTACCACTGTTACATTTGAATTTTTATATATAGAAATTAAAAATTAATAGTACAGGAGTGATTTTACTTCTACTCTAAAAATTAATAATATATTTTAGAGAAAACAAATAGTTAACGTTTAACAACAAATAGAATTTATATAAATATTGCTCGCACTTATTAAAAGTTATTGCATATTAAAAGTCAAGTAATATGTAATCTAAGAAAAAGCTAAGTCAAGTAACAAACCCTGTTTTTCAATTACAGAGCATAATGCTGCACTTTGGCGCACAAACACGAACAACGCGAAACACTACTTAATATTTTCTGCTACTGAGTTGGTAACCGTTGCGCGCATCATGGCAAGGCAGTACTTTTCAAAGAGCTTGATTGTGCCGGAGCGTTGCTCTCTTAAGAGTATATATAAGCTATACGTATACTTTAAGGTTGCTCTAGTTGAAAATTCGAAGTTGAGCATTATGCCGCAAATGCGTTTTAGTGCTGTAATTGGAACACGCCCAAAACTAACTTAGACCGCTGTAGCTCACTATTAACTATTTTGACGATTTTGAGTGCCGACCACACACATACTGCACCGCAATGTAACGGTACTCTTTATTAAACGAATATTTTTCCAATATAATCATTATTATTGATACACTAAACTATAGTAACATATAGTAAAATTAATGAGGAAATAAATGAAACAAGATAATTATTCATACAAATTTATTACTTCATTTGATGTTATACAAATGCGTATTGTCTTGTAAATGTGATATATTGCTTGTAACTGTAAGTTATACCTAATGAAGCAAGCCTACGGAATGTATTACGTTCGTCACAATGTTTCTATGATTTATATGTCCTGCTGGTATGACCCTTGATTATTATAACTTAAAAGTATATATTTCATATATATGGCATTTCATATATTATATATATATATATATATATATATATATATATATATATATATAACGAAATAAGTTCATAGTAACTTTAATTGCACGTTCGCATGGAATAAACAAAGCCATTTTGCAATTATGTGGGTTGTTTGCATCTTAAATTGTTTACTGGTGAACAAAAACGAGTATGTATTATAATTCTTTCTGTACAGGTATTACTATGTAAATTTAGAAAGTATATAAAATTAATTATTCTCAAATACATACATATAATATTCTTATTAAGTAATTGGTCGATGATCACTTAGAACTTCACCGATTTAATATTAATTTAAATAGAGATTCACAGTTGGAGAGGTTCAACGACACATACACAAAAATAATTTAGTGTTATCCTTGTTGTAACTATTAAATTAATTAATCTATATAAATAAAAATGAATCACCGAAATGTATGTACGCGCATAACTTCCGATCGACTGCACCAAATTGAATAATTCTTTTTTTTGGTGTTTGTTATTGTTAGGAAGTTTAGTATAGAAAAAAATTAAACGAAAATTTTATTTTTACTAAAATAAGATTTTTTAAATCTCATGATATGAAAAGTGAGTGAGCGAAATAGTTTTTATCCCAGTAATCATCCCTTAAGGGGGTGAAAATGGGGATGAAAGTTTGTATGGGGAAGCAAACTATGGACGCACCCGAGCGAAGCTAGAGCGAGCCGCTAGTTTAAATTAAAATTAAGTCAGTCGTTATAAACAATAAGGTTATATCATGTGGCGTATATTTACTATTCGTTGTTACGTTAGTTACGTAGTTGGCGGAACTCCAAACAGCTGTTGGTTATATTTGCACCTCATTATATATTATTATTTACAACAATTGCTTAATTAATTACATTATTACAATTTTGTCATGTTATATAAGTCACGACCTATATTAGAAGCCACTTCCCATGTATTTCATAATGAGCTGCATAAATAATGTAATTTTATAGGTATATTGAATGTATCTATAAAATATATAGGGAAAAATACTTTGGAAGCATACAGACATATGTATATACAATGTAAATATTTGGATGTATAGTTGCATACGTACACGAATAACCGAATAATAATAACTTTTTATATCGTTTTCACTTCGAGCGCCAAGAATTTTAATAGCATTTACTGCGAACAATACAAACTAATTGATATAACCTCTTTAAAAACGTTTGACATTTATTGAAATAATTACAAGAATAATCAATTTATAAATAGAACACCAAATATATTGTCAGACTGATATTGCTGGTTTGTTGAATAGAAAACTGTAAAAAAAAAGTTGTCAGCTGTCCATAATTTACGGTGTGTGTAGGAGTAAAAAATTTGCATTCTGCGATTTCTTTTCAACAGTAAATATTTTATGTTTGTGGACTAATTTTCCGTAACATAATATATCTTTGATGATCTCGTAAGATTATTTACTATACAGTTGAAGGATGCAAAGTGATTATTTGTATAGGTTATTCGATGGCGGCGAATGGAATATTTTTGAATATAGGGCCTTGATTGCGATTTTAACCTATACTTCTAGGTCACCGCGAGAATTAACAATAATGCACCAATTAACAAAAGTCATAATATCATATTAATAAATAAAACAAAAAATCTAAAGCCATGATAAAATAAAGTTCAAAAATGAGATTTAATACCCTTATCAAATATAAAAACTCAATATTTACAAATGTGATAAAAAATAATAAAATATATTTTTACAAGACAATAGTTAAATTTTTCATTTTATATTAAATTACACTTTACTTTCTAGATCACAAGCCATAATAATTTAAGTGGTAAAATAAATCTAAAAATATTAAAATTAAAAAAAAAATAACTACAGGATTCGTTGTACAAAATATTATTGGCATATTATTTAGCGAAACAAAGAACAATATTGTAACTCAGTATTATGGCAAATTTTAAATACCGATTTTTTATTTGGGTAATAAAGTTCTATTTTTAAATTATCTCAATACTGAGTTACAATGTTGTTCCTCACATGTCCAACAACTAAGTACTGAGAAGGAAGTGGAAGCCGAGTGCCGACATTGTTATCACCAACGCATAAACTATAAAGCTCTATCATCGTCAAAATCAAATGAACCGTGATTGATTTATTAGTAATTGAGAAATTTAGATAAAATCATTGAACAAATTTTGTGCGCATTTACATTTTAGCAACGATAAGTCCAATTACAATTTACCTTATTTATTTGTTTACAATACAGAAGTAAAATTTTTACTTTTATTTAGGATCATCATGATCGAGATTAAAAAAAAACAAAAATTATGTAATATCATTGTGTGGAAAGTTTGAAGCTAATATTTTACGCGGTAAAAATTTCTAATAATATACAACAAGACAAGAAAATTTATTATTAAACTACCCGCGTATGATATACATCTGGTCGAATGTTAATATAGGCTTTGATATGTCACAGATTATAATTATTATTATACCACTGCCCTAGGAAACGTTACTTAGTAGAATAATCAGTAAAATATAGCGTTAACTAAAGAATGGACACTCACAAAGGTTGTGTCCAATTACCCTTAAAGAAATAGACACTAAACCTGTCTGAAGGAAAATTAATCTAAAAGCTTCATCCTCATGAAACACCTATTATAGCTAAGTTGGTATTGGATATAATTGGAATGTTTGCAAGTTTATCCACGAGGACTTAAAATCATTACAATGACTACTATTTAAGAAACTATGAATTTTTTTATTGTGAAATTAGTATTAAAACGTCCTCATAAAAAAAATCACCAAAAACTTCATTGCCGATGACTCTCATAACACTTTTCATAATATTAATTCAACGCATTCAGGGATGATAAGTTTAAAGCTAATCTAGCGGACTTTATGAATTTCATTTAACTATATTTGTTTCTTTAACAGCTACAAGCAAGGGAGTCAATAGGTTGCTATCAATAACGTTGCCTAGTTCTATTATAAGGCTAGTAGATGCACCATTATCACCTCCATTTTGTTTTTTTTTTAACTAATTGTAAATCATTACTTTTTATATTATATAAATTCTAGTGCTAAATAAAGTGACATTAAGTTCAATTTCAGCATATAAAATAGAAAAAAATATTTATAATTTTATACTACATAATTATATGGACATAACAGCTCATGGTAACAGCTACAGTAGTGTAATTCAAATCGTAACTGTAGTACATTAATCTATTCTTGAGTATAAGCAGAACTAGCTAGCGGAACTATGGCGAACTGAGCAAAGTAACAAAGAAAACTTAGGCGAGTCGAGGCGATACGAGTCGAAGCGATGCGAGGCGAAGCGAAGCGGGGACGTGACGTCGCTCAAACGGGCGTGCCAAAGTCCGGGTCGCCTCGCCCCGGCAGCAGCCGCGGCAGCGCCTTGCGCTCGCGCTCTTCTTCACCATTGCGCGCCTCCGTCACGCGCCGCGCCGACCCTATCCTGTTATCAAATTACTATAGTCACATTGTAATAAAAAATATCTTCTAAGATAAATATATCTAATGTCATTTATGAAGGACGATGTGGTAATGTTTTGTAAAATGAGAAAATGTAAGTAAACCTATATAAAGCGAAACTATATACTAATGTAGAATAGTAACACCAAGAATTCGCTAATTTTATTTATAAAAGGGTATAAGAATAAAATATGGCTCATATTTAATTTGTACTCTTCTTTTCTATGATGTCAATAGTTTGAAAAAAAATTAACTCTGCACATTTGGCACCATATATTTTACAAAGAATTAATAATTTAAAAAACTTTTTTCAAAAACCAAAATAGAATAGGGATCGTAATATCTGTGCTCAGTGCTTGTTTTACGAAGTGTTCAAGAAGGCATTAGAGAACATATATGCTATTTAAATTAAATTTTATTAATTAAAACTGCTTTTAACGAAGCCGAAATTCCCAATTAAGATTTAATATATATTAATTTTTCGCCTAGTTCTTGCATAATCAATATTACCTACATATGTATTAGCTATGTAAGAAATATTCTACGAACAATCAAAATTCTAAAAAAAATCATAAATCCATTTATGATCAACAATTTAAAAAAAGCATTTACCGGAAGCCTTTAGTCTCTTTCCTCGGACGGCTATCGCCGTTCACTTTGCTTTTGAGATAAACGTCAAGCGGCGGCGGCATCGCCGTCTCTCGCGCCTGAAGGTCGGGGGCCGGCAGCTTCGTCACTGACGCGGTTGACGTAATGTTTGACGGCGCTGACGTTACGCCCGCCGTGACAGTTGGCGTCACGGTGGCCGCCATGACGGGGGTCGCTGTGACGGGCGTCGCCGCGGCGGACGTCGCGGCCGGCGTGACGTTGACGAGCGCGCATGACGTCTCGCTGGCCGGGGAGGGGATCGAAATCGGGAGATACCCAGACGGTGGTGGCTCCTTATTATCGTTTATCGCTGTGTATTATTAACAATAGTTTTGTATGTAAATTAATTTATTAGGTATTTATTACATTATGTGATTTCTTATTCAAACTATAGATCTGAAGACATATTATATACTTTCTACATATAGAAAGTAATAGTTTAAATATTACAATTATAACTTGTGCTGAGTAAGTATGGAAATTTAAATTATAAATAATATATCTTTACTAAAATATGAAATAGTACCTAACAGTTGTAAAAGTAATACTACATATAATACCTAAACATGCCGATATAACATTATTGGCGAAAAAAATATTTATGACTTTTTATCGAAATAAATTGATGTCGTTGGATCGTCTAAAATGTATATACTGCAGGCATCTCGCAAAGTCATACATACAGCCGAATCGGTCCAGGCAAGCACCGCCAACATCTTAACACCGGGCTGTTACAGAGACTTTCATGACAAAAACACTAACTAAATTTGGCCCGACCCGGGAATTATCAATAGATCATCAAGGCAGTTATATTTTATTAGGCTTCGTCCCAAGGTCGATTCCCCATAAATGTCTTTCCCAGGGTATCAAAGCTATCTTCTTATCAAATTTCATCTACATCGGATCAGTAGTTTCGGAGCCTAATTGGTACAAACAAACAAACAAAAAATCAAATCTTTCCTCTTTATAATATTATTATAGATAAATATACTCAACATACGAGGGGCGGCGCGCGCGGGCGCGAGGCGCGGCGAGCGCAGCGGCTCGTCCGACGACTGCGCGTCCGACACCGCGCAATACGCGCCCTTCGTCCGCCAGTCCTGAGGACATTCATATAGTAGTCGGCGGTACATAATGCACATCGAGCTAAAGAGGGAGACGTCGCTAGATTCGGCTTCGTAGAGCGTCGTCTCTGTCGAACGGAGCACTAACGGCCCGGTATCTATTGGGAACTTGACATAGGGTGTTTGCCAATTACAGCACTAAAGCGCATTATGTGGCATAATGCTTAACTTTGAATTTTTCAACTACAGCAACGCTCCGCACAATCGAGCACTTTGAAAAAAATGGCTTTGACGTGATACAGAAAATATAAGAAGAGTTTTTTCGTGTTGTTCTTGTTTGTGCGCCAAAGTGCGGCATTATGCTCTGTAATTGGAAAACAGGGATAATGTACTGAGTGAATGAGACGACGCTCTACAAAACCGATACTAGCCGATTTACTCCCTCTTTAGCTCGATGTGCATTATTTACATAATAATATAACATATTTCTATAATAATATAGATAGGGCTATCCGTGTTATTACTAAGTAAAGTAATAAAAAAAAGTGCGTGTGTGTGCAATTCACACACGGTATATGTGAAACTTAATATTTTATATTTGTCAGACAATAACAACGGTTACCATGGCAACATGCCAATGTATACTATCTCATTCTCTCGCCGGCTTAATCTTATATATTTATATGTTCGTCTCTTTTTAGTGTCGCATTTTCGTTTCATCGAGTTTCAAATCACAACAATTCTAAAGAAGTTTCACTTCCAAAAACAATAAGCAGAAAAATTAGTATTGTATATTACCTGGGGCTTGCGCTTCTTCTTGAGCGAGTTGCGCGTGTGCACGGGCGTGGAGCGCGCCGACGTGGACAGCGACGCCGCGCCCGCCATCTGCCGCGGGGGAGCACATTGTATAGTGGCCATCGCCATGTTATATGCTTATACAAGAAGTTTCAATCTTCTAAAATCTTGACGACACGTTTGGCTCAGTTTGTAGTGACCCTACTTGCTGTGCCAGCGGTCGCGGGTTCGAGTCCCGCTGAGGACATTCATTTGTGTAATGAGAAACGATGGCAACTCGCTAGTATATTATTATATATTATATTTTTTAAGGAGTTTAAAAAATTTTGACAATGAGATAGACGAGGAGGGAGAGGTCGACGGTATTTTAAGAGCCGCCTGCAGTATATACAACTTTACTAAGCATTTAAGAAATCCAAAATTAGCTAAAACACGTGAAACATTTACATTGCCTAATATAATATAAGTACTTTTTAACTGAAACTTATACAAACTTTAAAATTACTTCTAATCGAAATTATAGAGGGCCATCGTTTACGAATTGATTTTATTCATGGCTGGCGATAATATGGCCATATGTTAAACGTACACATAGAAATACATTACTTTTTGATATCAGTCAATAAAGTTTTAAAATATTACACAACAAAGAAACTATGAAACCGTTTACAAAAATTAAACAATTCTAATATATTACCTCTAGTCGAGCTTCTATCTTAATGGAATCGTCATCCATATCGAGTATGGATAGATTATTTATATTGTTGTAATCCGCATAGTGCGTGACGCTTCCTCCGCCAGTGCTGCCGATACCTTCCCTATCATTACGAACGTACGTTCTTTCCTGAACATATGGACCGTTTTCCTCTCGGGGTCCATACTTTTCTACATAAGGTCCATTCTCATCGCGGCGTTCGTACAATCTGTCTTGGGTGTACGAGGTGTTCTCTTCGTGTGGTCCATAGATCCTTTCATCCCGCGGTCCATACAATCTGTCAGGTCCATATGCAGGCCCACCATCGTTATGTAGACAGGCACGGTGCGGGTCGTACACAGGCTCGTCGCACGAGTTCTCTTCATCGCATTCACTGCCTGATGCATTGCTGTAATTTGTTTTATTCATTAACACATGAATATCGTATAATATGGACTGTATCTTATTTTAAATTTTGATCATCTTTCCGATAGAAGTCTCTAATTTTATAACATAAACGTGAAAAGCTGAATCAAATCGATATAATGCTAAATATTGCTTCGAAAATATTTTTAATACGATACTAAAATTTGACCAACGGATTAAAATGAAATTACAAGGGTTGGAGATAGGTTGCTTTTTACCGCAGGATATTATTTCATTTCCACGGGAAAACAAGTTATGATTCAACCCAAAAAAATATTTATGGTTCTGTTCTCTTTTTCTCTTATCATTTTTGGAGTCAATTAAATAACATAACTTTTATTATAAAGCCACTCACTGATGATGATTTTGGAGAAGATTAATAAATGAAAAATATTTTTTTTAATATGTAGTAAGCAGCAACTCACTGGTGATTATACTCGGGTGTGCGCGGCGCGGTGGGCGTAGCGCCCGACGCGTCCGGCTCCACGAAGCCCTCCCCGTCCTCCGGGTACAGGGGGAACCTGGGATACGATGAAAACCTTTCATAGTCTAAGTTACTCCTTATAACAACAGGTATCTTCCAGTGAAAGTCAAAATCGGTCCAGCCATTTCGAAGATTAGTCGGAACAAACAGGTAGACATATAGACATACAGACATTATAAAAAAATATTTTTTCTTATAAGTACCGAATATACGAGTACTTTCATAATATGCATTTGGTAAAAACATAAAAGCTCTTATTTTGACATTACAAACGAACACTTCAAATTTATTTATTTGTAATAGAGTAGCTATTTATCCTCACTTTGCTTAAGTGCGTCCCTAGGTGTCTTTTTGACATACATTTTATTATGTTTTTAATTCGTTCGACAATATACCAATAAACCATTTTTTATGTTAGTAGTATCGCTCTGAATCTGCTATCGCTCAAGTCTGCCGAAGCAGACTCAACAACCATGGGCTTACTCCAACGGTCCACTTTGTCGTCAGAGAAGTATCAGGGGCAACCCGCATGGCATGGCACAACGCCCACCGAAGTGGGCAGCCTCCTAGGGCGTGTTTTGGCTTCGCACTCAGCTGGATTGCCGGACAGTAATGAACCCCCTCCCCCCTCACCCGCCAACACCACCACGACAAGGTGATCGCACGTTAGGGGGGATCATGCACCTAATCAAACCCAACCCGTATTTTTCGACTTCAATCATAATTATTATTTCTAATAGTAAACTCATTTTTATCGGAATAATAACCATACCATACATATAGCACTCGGCGATATTTACATTTATTAACTTCTTCTTAGTGAAAGAATTTTCTGAATCCAATCAGTAATGTAGAGATTATCCCCTACCTTAACTTACAAACTTAAAGTCTCTATATTGTCAATTTTTCATTTGTTTATATTGTAAATGATAAATTAATAATATACACAAGTATTTTAGTAACAAAATGGTTTTCACTAGTAATCATTAATAACATACCTGTAATTATCTTCAGAAAGACGATCATCGTCGTCTGTAGCAATAAATTGAACACAAAGGGCGCAATCTCCTTTTACACTCTGCAATGCTTGAACTGCTTCCTTATGGCAAGCCTAGTAGGAAATCATAAAGATATTATCAACTAGCGACTCACCCTCGCTTCGCTTCAGGGTCCTCCCTAGACGAAAAATAACTATCCCACGGGAACCGTACATTTTTCCGGGATAAAAATATATAATAATCTTTGCTATTCCAGACTTTAATCTATCTCTGTGAAAAATTTCATCCAGATCCATTCAGCCGTTCTGGTGTGAAAGAGTAACAAACATCTGGGTGGATGTTTGTTACATCCTCACAAGCTTTCACGTTTGTCAGTCAAATGTAGTTGATACATTAAATGTATATTTTTAATTTATTACGTATTAAACTTAATAATACATATTTAAATTTATTTATAGATCTAAGTAGATGTATGTGTACATATAACAATGACGACGACATCGCAACGTTGCCCGTAATTTATTCTGAATATATGGGTGCTTCGTAACTTCTTACATATTTGCCGTTATCAAATTACCAAGTTCTTCTCCCTACCGAGTTTTTTTTAATCAGATCCTTAGACCACAACTCTAAGCGTCAAAATACAAACATTCATACCGAATTCGGAACCGAATATGTAATTCGGTTAAATATAACCAAAAAAAATATCGTTAGATTGAAAGAATAACCAATACCTGAGTAAGATCTAGGTCGTTGATGGCTAAAATGGCGTCGCCCACATACAACTGACCGGTGAGCGCGGCGGGCCCGCCCGCCTCCAACTCTGATATAAGAATAGGTACTCCGTGTTCTCGACCACCCTATAAACGATTACATTTAAAAAAATCTTAGGTGAAAGAAACCGTAAATATTAACTCTTTGGGTCGTCATTTATAAATTAAATATTTTACATATTCATAAAAACAATAATAGGTGGCTAATGATGGTCATTCACTTGCTACGCAATGTCTTGCGTAGTGTTTAGTTATTACATATTAAATTCGCAATATAATTAAATTTTCAAACAACTTCGATTTACAACATTTACAACCATATCTTTACAAGCCATTTCCTTTACGAAAAAAACTCAGTCCCAAATTTCATCATGATCATTTCAATTTTGAACAAAGATATACATTTTAAAAATATTTCCACTAGGATTAGTAGGAAATATTTTTAAAAAATAACTTTTTGCAAATAATTTCGAAATTAACTTTTTGCAAAATACTTATAATAAATCCTTTAAAAAATCACGTCAGAGTGGACTAGGGTGAAAAAGATAAATGAATAATAAAAAAACAAAAAAAAATAAACATATTTATAATCAAAAAATATCATCAATTAAAAAATGTATATATTGCATACGAATATATTGCATACGAACAGACAGACATGACCAATATCTGTCCACAAGGCCCCTGATTCAGAGGACTCTAGCGGGCCGCAAACGATTCTTTTATTTCAAAACATTTTTTCGAGGACGATCCTTATAGAAGTTTAAAAACCGCAAGAGAAAAGTGTCCTAAATTTTCGCATATTATTTTTTACGAGGACCACGAGAAATGTGATCGTACCTTTGTTCTATAAAACGATTAATGGTTCTCTGCTTTTTTACTAAATTTTACTCCACATTCTGTTTCATAATAGGCAAAGGCGGCACTTCCATTTTTTTGGCATTTGGGCCCAAAAAGGCTAGTTACGCTACTAGGTATTGTTCAGTTATTATGATTACGTTATACTAAAAACGTAATACACTAAGTACATACCGTAACCGAGATGCCGAGCCCCAGGTGCGGGGAGCGCCGCACGCGCACGGTGCGCGGCGCGGGCGGCGCGTGCGCGGCGGGCGGGCGCGGCGCGCGCGGCGCCAGCCCGCGGCACACGCGGACCAACGTCTTGTGGCGTTGGAGAAGGATTTCTGCTTCCACCTTGAATGAATGAATGTATGTAATTAATGCAGTGGTAGTGGTAATAATAAAGGCAGTGGTAGCCCAGTAGTAACGCGCTTTGCAGGGGCGTTGTAGTATGTACGCAAGCGATCCTGCAACGCCCCATTGCACTGCAGCGACGGATTCCGCTGTGGATTTTAGTGAGTAGAAGTCTCACAGTACCCTGCCCATTGACGGTCGGCAGGGTCCCCATGATCAGTTTCCCCAGCGAAAACAAAAAAAAACAACAACAACAAAAAAGTGGTAACGCGCTCGCTTGGAAAACCGAGTGAAGCGGGTTCAAATCCTGGGTCTCGCACCCCTGATATTTTCATGAGTAAATCATTTCCAACACGGTTACCACTTGTCTTACGGTGAAGGAAAACATCATGAGGAAACTTGCATGTCTGAGAGAACCCAGTAAGTTTTCGAAAGACATGTGCAGTCCACCAACCCGCACTTGACCAGCGTGGACTATGGCCTGATCGTATTAATAAGAGGCCCGTACCCAGCAGTGGGATGTTAAAAAGCGGTGAATACATTCAATTAGACTTATACAAGCACTTTTGAATAATCATAGAATTGCCATTATTTTGTATTGTACAATGACATGGGTCATTGTATTAACTCTAAATCTGCCATATAAAACATATGACCCGCGGGACATTACCTATTATCAAATGAATCGTGATCAGATCAAAATATTTTTCATTTACTTATTGTTAAGGAAATTCACTAAATCAGTCTTCAACTGTTTCGATTTATGCTCATTTTTTTAAGTATTTCATAAAAATATATATAAACCTTCCTGTAATATAGGAAACTAGACGTATGAACAGAGTATCCTATTTTAACTGGTAGCTCTATTTTATTATGTTTATGTTACTCTATGGTACCTACCTACCTATTTTGTGGTACAATCAAAAGAGATATAATATTTTACTCTAACATTAATCGACGATAGAGTAATACTTCAATAAGACATACGACTAACCTGAGCCCACAAAGAATCTCTTAGTTCGGCGCGCATGTCACTTCCCAATAACTGTAACTGCTGTATCCGTCCCGCTAACTCCTTATCCAGATATTTAGTAGCTAACCTGTAAATAAATATAACGTGTGGGCCATACTATTATTAAATCACTAGCAAATTACTCTATCTACTCCGGTGCGTTCCTAGGTGCCAAAAGGAAACCTATATGTAAACTCCAAGTCATCTATACTAATATTATAAAGAAGAATGATTTTTTTGTTTCTTTGTTTGTACCGAAAAAGCTTCGAAACTACTGAACCGATGTAGGTGTGGTAAGTTAATGTGAGACCCTGAGAAGGACATAGGATACATTTTTATCCTGGAAATCATCCAATAAGTGGGTGAAAATGGGGATAAAACTTTGCTAAGTGGTGAGTCACTAGTAGACTTATATGTATACTAAATTTCATCCAAATCCGTCGAACCATTTCAACGTAAAGAATTAACAAACTAACACACACACTCACACACAGTCACACACGCAAGCTTTCTTAATTATAACAGAGGTTAGATAAAATTATGTATGTATTCATATCTGTAGCGTCTAAAGTGTGTAATATGTATGTGCGAGTACATGCTATACAGAATTAAACGTACGTTAATTACAAAGTGTTTTTAATTAATTGATTGACGACACGTTTGGCTCAGTTTGTAGTGCCAGCCTACTTGCTGTACCCTACTTGCTGTGCCAGCGGTCGTGGGTTCGAGTCCCGCTGGGGGCATTCATTTGTGTAAACCACTCGTGAACGTGTGTTTTTTACTCCAGTCATGGGTGTGTTAACATTTTTAATATTTATGTATTTAAAGTTATATTGTAAACTTCTATTTATACATATTGTATTATAATTTTAAAATTGGGAAGTATATTAAACAAAACTGTGATTTACCTAGCACCAAAAAGTTCGGAATGTAATGCAAGCACTGTCTCTCGTAAGGCAGCATTTTCTCGCGCAAGCTGTGCAGCTTCGGCACGCGCACGCGCCGTCTCTGATACATTGCCGACTACGTTCGCACCTTGTTGGCCTGAAATATACAAAAATAATATGGAAACAATCCGCTATACAAAAAACCGCATTCATTAAAATTAAAAAAAAAACTTAAAAAAAAGGACTGCCGCCAGAAGTAAAAACTTAAAACAATAAACAAACATTTATGGATTTTCAAATTAATTGTTTGATCTTAAATTACTTTTTTTTCTAATTTGACATCTATCGGCACTCTAAGTGTTAGCGTTAACACGTCACGTGACCATGTCGATGACGACTTACATGAATTTACTCCAAACCTGCCAATAGAAGTTTTCACTTCAAACTGTTTTTAACCAACTGTAACGTACAGGACTCCTCATAATGAGTCCAAGTCATACATTTTAATAGTAGCCATTGAAATGTTACACTCTCCACATCTTGGCTCAAGCATCCGATGAGTTCAAAGATAACAAATTATTGTGTTGTCCTTTGAATTTCACATAACAATTAACAGTAAAGTTTCAAATTAAATTTTCCGTTAGAAATAGGCTTTAAAAATCCACTTTACAATCGTATTATTGAACATCAAAATTATAATAAATTTCAAAATAGAAAAAAAAACACAAAGATATCTATAATCATGTTTCTGCTTTTAAACATAAATCATCTTAAAAAGAACAAGCATTAATCCTAAGATAAAAATTTACCTGAAGCCCGAAGTTGTATTAACTCAGCCCTAATATCCACAAGCTCCGCCTAAAAAAAAGAATAAAGAAACATGAAACCACTATATGTACAAATAATCATGTTGCAAAAATGGAGAGTATAAGGTTTCAAGAACACCCTACGATTTTTATCGTAGAATCTCTGCCCACCTAAATCCTACTTAGTCAGGACAGATGGCGTTAATAGGTGCGGGCAACGTGTGTTCGTATAAATTGCCTTCTCATCTTCGACTTCACAAACCTGCTAACGTATGAAGCCCTCATAAATCAAGACAATACAATGCACAAGTATCTACTAACATCCCTTGAAATAGATTTTATTACTTCGATCAATTTATGCCCCTTAAAAGAGGCGTGATATATTATTATTATAACTGTCAAACAAACGGTAATCCCTGCGGGCGATCGACATTAGTAGCAATATTGACATCTACTCTAAATTGCTCGTCATTGATAATGAAAGGAAAAAACTATGTCGGTTCGGTTATTATTCATCTAATCATTAACACTTTTCCATTATGAAACATATTATCTAACAAAGTTTCACTTTTATTTCAAATGAAATAAATATTCGTTCAATCAAGTACAGATGCTATTATTTATTTATGCCTTATGTAACCACTTGTAATGTGGTGCTGAGGAAGCGAAATGTTATCGTTAATATAAAAGCTTCTCAATAAAGAATCTTTGTTTTGGTACAGTCGTTTTAATTTTAATTTAGGACAACCTTTTAATATTAGATACTCAAAGGCATCAAAACTAAATATTCAAAGCAAAAAAAGATAGATACATATTAGTACGTAACTAATGAAACAATAATATATTAAGTTGAGCGACTTCGTGTCTTATCGGGCGTATTGTCAATGCTATCACATGCTACTTCTAGTGTTTACGTACTTTAAATACTAGTCCACTCCGCTTAGGTCATCGAAGTTTATTTTATTTGCAACGACGAACAATAAAATTCGAACTGAATTACTCAAAGATTTATTAATGCAGATCTGCACATAATTCATTATGAAGGTATTTATGAGATAGGCTTTGTATTAACATTCATATTCAATAAATGCAACCTACGCCGATTTCAAGATCATTATCGTCTTCGCTTTGAGTGGGCGTATATTTTAACGGTCAATTGTGAATATTACAATAATAGGAAGGCTTTTCAACACGAACAATAATAAAATTATTATAAAAAGATAACGGTTCACTGAAAGCAATTAATAATAGGTACAATTTTAGTGCGCAATGAAAGGTCAAACGTAACATAAAAGTAACACTATCGATAATTATCGAAGTGCCAATAAGAATAAATAATATTAAAGAATGTGGTGCTCAATTGTACAGTATTTTTATATTACCGTTCCTACATTCACATAATGGGCCGAATGATCTTAGATAAAGTCTGGCGTAGCGAAGATTGATTCATAACAGTTTGGTATCATTGCACACATCTTAGATACACAGCATAAGGCAGACTTGCGCACGTGCCGTCGCGTCGCCTGCTAGCCACTAGTTGTATACAATATACATGAATTAACCACTATTTTATTCATGGCGCTTAGTAACAATAAATCTTGTCAACCTGTGTCGACACTGTTATTCGTGTAAGATGAAATTCGACTCTCACTCAAAAAGCAGCCAGTTTAGGTATCGCAGTACCTTATCTAATACTGCACTTAAGTGTGACCACACAAGTTGATTACATACATTCATTGAAATAATTATAATCGGTATCTTAAAATGAACGTTAACAAAATGGTTCGTTCTAGATTGCTTAAATAAATTAAAAATGACTAAATATATCATTAAAAGCAACAAAAAGGTTTTAAATGTTGCTATTCACGAACAGTACTCAAGTGCGGTTAACGCTGGTAGTATTATTTGTGCGTTGGAACACAATGCTACACCGCTTTTCATTTACATAAAATGTTCGCGGTGTGTCACGAGACACGATTGTCCTGCTGCTTTTCACCTGATGTCACTCAGTATGCAAACATTCCTCTTTACAGTAACTGTTCTTAAACATTTTAAGGGCAGTAGAGGTTAATTGCTTGCATGAATTTTCGTCTGCTTTATGGCTTTACGAGCTGCTTATTGCGTACGTGATGTTAAACTAATTTTACTATATGATTATATTCAAAAGTAAAAAATAATATCGAGTCGGTAATACTAAGGACAGGAATAAGTCGAACTTTTAAGTGTTGGTTTCAATATGTTTTATATAAATTGTTTGAAGTTCAATGAAAAGTAAAAAAGAGATGTTTTTTTTTTAATTTATTTATTGATTTATTGAAAAATTGGATAGTTTTGATTTTCTACGTCTATCTTTCTAAATATATTTACTAAAATTCTAAAAGTCATCAACTTTTATCATGACACGAAATTCTCATTTTCAACACCCATCAGTCAGGCTAAGACGGTCGATGAAAACTGTTACATTTATATTTTAACTAATTCTGCACAATAAGAGTTTTACAATTTCAAATCTTGTTAGACTGTGAAGGAAACCCCTAATATGACAATGCACTTCTTTAGTGCAGATTTATATGCAAATAAGACTAGATTTGACCCAAAACAGCTTTTGATGCAAACTAACTTTTAATGAGCACGACACCAATGAACATCATTTACACTGCCATAAAACACCATAATAACAGTTTTGGTCAATTACACTATTGCTACATAAAATAAATAATATTTCAATACCTAGACTAACTGCGTACAATAGTAATCAAATGTTCAATTTAAAAGTATATTCAATAGATTGGTAAGACCCAATGGCGTTAAACAATAGAAAGGCGTGTGAGGAACAGCGCCACCCAACATACTAACGGATTCTATCTGAGAAAGACTCAAATCGCAGCGGGTGCTCATTTGCTTAACACTGTCTTATCTAAGTTACATTATTACATACATATATATTGAAAAGTGCCGCTTTAACTGGCAGTCGGTTACACCACTTTGTTTATAATGTAGAATGTATAGGAATCTATTTAAGATTTCTCAGGTTGTGGCTTAACTATTTCTTAAAGAAACGACACGTTGTGCTTGTTGTACTTATAACAATGGCGTGATTTACACGGTATGCAGCGAAACAAATGACAAGACAATATAATAATGAAGAAGCAATATATGTATAGTTAACTATCATTGCCCGCGGCTCCGCCCGCGTTCAGATGACCAAAAACCAAATTCTTAGGTTTTACATATTAGTATACTCTTACATTGCAGTTTTTGTATTTTTTCTCAGAAATGAGATATTTTCCCGCGGTAAAAAGTATCCTATATGTTGACCCGGATAACCAGCTAACACCATACCAAATTTCATCAAAATCCCTCCAGTGGTTTTTCTGTGATGCGGTAACAGACAGACAGACAAAAATTCTAAAAACTATAGATTCGATCTCTATATCGATAATAATGTTTATTTCAATAAGATTAAAAAAAAATTTATGTACAGATTCGGCTTAGTTACAATTTTATTATACGTATAGATGAGTACTCTCGTCGACAAACTAGAGACGCCACTATTGGCTGGATTCATTCCAAACATTTGTAGTTAATTATTTGAATTTATATTTAGAATTTGTAATTTATTTTGTAAAGTATTATTATTTATTCTATTATTACAAAAAAGATTGAACATTGAATATTGGAAAATGAATCTACAACTTATATTTATTTTCGTATTTTACTCATTCCTCCATCCTATTCTTAAGCAAAATGCTGGGTGGACTAGAATGCCACCGACCTCTTTGTAATACAAAAATAAAAAAAAAATATAATTTCTGTAAGTATACATATTTTATATCATCAATTATTACTTTAACAGTAACATTTTGATAAATATCTTTTACTATTGTGTATTTAGGTTACAATGTAAAAGAAATGTACCTACATATCTTATTTATGCAAGAATTTCAAATAAACTTGATATACAAAAGAGTGGTGAAAAAATTATTAAGAAAATTTAATTAAAACTTTCATAAAGATATTGGGCGTCTGACATGCAGCGATTATCCAATACATTAAATTTCAATCTTGGATAGAGACATAACAATAGATAAACACATATTGTTTTATAGTTTTATATCCAAGAACAAATCTCCAACACGTGTATTTTGTGTTAATAGAGTGTTTAGGTTTGTAAGCATAAGTGCGCATGAGAAAGTTTGTCATCCGTTCCTCCGTGTCATTACTGTCGCGCTCGTACCTGGCAATCAACGATGCAATATGCACGTGTGGACGTCATGTCGTCTACGAGCACAAACGGTTCTTAGAATCGTATATATGTATGTGATGTAAGTAATGTCCAGAGCATGACGACATGCAAAAGCAATGCATTCTTTTAAATGTCTTGTATTATGTTACAATTTCTCAATAAACACATTACCTACAGCGATGTAACATTTTTGGATATATTTCCCTTTAAATGAGAAGATTGCTATGAATAAAGTCGATTTAAATATCAATTTATAATAGTATTTTTTAGATAGGTACAGTTTTACTTAAAGTAAATTAAATATTAACATTTAACACAGCACAGCAAACTACTATACGCTACTCAGAGTAACGGTCAAATATTAATATTTTAATTATTAATAAATAACGACTAGCTTGGTTCCCAATACAAACTTCCATCCCCATTTTCACCCTCTCAAGGGATGATTTCCGGGATAAAAAGTATCCTATGTCCGTCCCAGGGTCTCAAAGTATCTTCTTACCAAATTTCATCTAAATCGGTTCAGTACATATAGAGATTACCTCCTACAACGTCACAAACTCACAAACTTTACCTCTTTATAATATTAGTATAGATTTAGCTATCTTTTGAATGATAAGTCTATTATGTATTAGTTATTTACTTAGAAGTTATTTTTATCAAGCTTATAAGAATCATAACTGATGATAGAACTAACACATAAATACATAAAAAAACTAAGATCTAAGTATTTTGTCACCTAGGGTCGATTATGGAAAGGAATGTAAGATTATATTAATCTTTTAAACTTATAGTGCCTGTGGTCATTGTGACCTTTGCAGTATAGTGCAAGGTATTCATAGAAAATTTCCTATAGCCACTATAAAACATCATTACGGAGCAAAAATTAAGAACCTCCACAAAATTTATGACTTTTAATTATGGTTGCTAATTTTAGTAATTTACATGACCAGTAATAAATACTAAAATCTTTCCTGCAATAAACATATATGTAGAATGGTTTGTGGGCGTTCCAGTGAGCAGTTAAATCAAGACGCAACTAAAAGGGACTTAGCTCAGCCAATTGCTCGGGAACGTGAAACTAGCTATTTCTCACGTCTATTTGCGCTAAATTTACTTCATATCCATATATTATCATGATGGTACTATGCAGAAAATGTATAGTGGGATAAAAATATGGATAGTGGCTATAGGAAATTTTCTATGAATACCTATACTAACATTATCATGAAAATGATCATCCCCGTTCCCATGCAATTCGTTTGTTTTCTTTACCCGAAATATTAACATTTTTTTTACTATAAGCAAAAATATATAATCATTAATCATGTTTATATATATTATGTAATAAATATAATTTGTGATAATAATAATTTTGACAAATTATTAAAATTATACAAACTTATCACATCATGAATTTCTTAATGTATACCTAAATTTAAGTTCAGGGAAATGTTGACGTAACTATTAATTTCGCGAAATTTCATTAAAATTTAAAAAGCAATTTCTGCATAGTAATTCGTTTTATGCATCATGCATTTCCAAGCGCAATATAAAGTAAGCTTTTGCAAAATAAAGTACCACCTATAAATTCCCGGATAAATTTTTAAGCCGTTAATTTGTCCAATTTCGATAATTATACCGAATACATGCAAAAAGACAAAAAAAAATATGTTAAGTACTGCACGAGTATTTATTGAATTTTATTTCTGTCTGGTGTTGACTAATGCTATTTTGACGTTTGTCAAATTAGCATGTACAGTAATTGAAAAAACGGAGCCTTCTCCATTAACGCGACATTCACTCCTAAGAGCCGCTGGACAAAATAATTGAATTGAGAAAATTAAGGCCTTTTAAAATCACTCGCATATTCATCTGTCTTAGTAAATGTTTTATATATATATATATATATATATATATATATATATATATATATATGTACTTTCTGTTGTATTTGATATAATAATATTATTGATTAAAAATATAACGATTATTTGGTTATGCATGAATTTGAAAATATCGCAGCAATACCCAAGATAAGTATAACATTGTCATATCGACAAATTAAAATTGTAATTCGAATTTCAATTGAGTTCATAATAATTTCTTGGCATTACATACGCTTCCTGTTTGTATAGGTTTGAATAATGTTGTTGTGTTGACACAATATGAAATGTCAAAAACGCATTATCTACCTATACATATAATAAAATTGTAACAAAGTCGAATCTGTATATTAAATATTTTTTGGGAAATCTTATTGAAATAGACATTATTATCCATACAGAGGCCGAATCTATAGTTTTTTTATTTTTATCTGTCTGTCTGTCTCTTACCGTATCACAGAAAAACCATTAGAGGGATTTTGATGAGATTTGGTATGGCGATAGCTGGTTATCCGGGTCAACATATAGGATACTTTTTACCGCGGGAAAATATCTCATTTCTAAGAAAAAATACAAAAAATTGCAATGTAAGAGTATACTAATATGCAAAACCTAAGAATTTGGTTATCAGTCATCTAATCGCGTTCGGAGCCGCGGGCAATGCGAGATTTTTTATACTTCTTTACACACTTTTGGTAAGTATAAATACTTGATAACTGAACTTGTTTAAACATTAATTGTTAATACATTTAAACTCTAAATTAACACTCTCATATGAACTTCAAACATAATTCCACTGCGAAGTACGAAGTATTGTATCGTGATGAAAATTTTTAATGAGCCTATCGTAGACAGAATTATATGTAGTCGTACAAACAGGTTTTATTGTCTTGCTGTTTGCGGTCACTTCGGTCGAGGATGTGTACGCTTGAATGGGTCACAAAGTGGACCGAGCGTCTTCCTGTCGCGGTCGTCCAGAAATTTCTCCAATGAATTGACATGTGAGATATCGTATTAAAGTTCCATGCATTGTTTTAATTAATAGTATTAAATAACAACTATAATAATAAAGAATTAAAGTTTTTGAAGACGGCAGTTTAAATAAACCAACCACTATTTACGATACCTATACAGTATACATCTCGAATCTGTACATTAAATATTTTTTGGTAAACCTTATTGAAATAGTCATTATTATCGTTACAGAGGCCAAATCTATATTTTTTTAGGAATTTTTGTCTGCATTGCTTTCCCAGACAGATAGGCCGTCTGGGAACGCATCACGAGAAAACCACTGGACAGATTTTGATGAAATTTGGTACGATGATAGCTGGTTATCCGGGTCAACACGTAGGATACTTTTTACTGCGGGAAAATATCTTATCCCTGAGAAATATAAAATGTGTGACAGGCTCGATCCACTTCATGTCGTTACTGTATATATTTATAGTATAAATAATTACTAGTTTTATCACACACACCGTAAAGCTCTACATATTCATATTGGCTTCACACTTTTTTATCAATAGCTTTTCACTATTTATTCAATTTAATCAAACGTAATTTTAAAAGTTGAAATCATAAACTCAATTTATTCCTATTTCGTAGCTAGGTTAATAATTTAACGTTTTTTTTCTATAGCCGTGTGCTTTAAGCTCAGCTAGTGAGTAGTGACAGGCGATAGAGGTGTTTAATAAACGTAAGAAAAATGCAAAGTATCTGGTTATATGTACGTGTTTCAACAAATAGGCCTCTGCTCGACGTGA